ACGCACACATAATAAGATTTATATCAAATAAGTAAATAACATATGTTACAATGTGCGTTCTATCAAACGTATGACGTTAAACACACTATACATATATTCATATACATATGTATATATATTATGTATATATTTATATATATACATATATATATAAATATTTGTATTTATATATTTATATGAGCTTATTTTCATTTAACGATAAAAAATTGACGAAAGTTTGTAAACAAATGCCTGAAAAATGATGGAAATAGATCAGAGCATGGAAAACATGGAAAACATTGACTACAAGAGGCGTTGCATATGATGTTTACTAATTTTTAACCATTAATTAACCATTAGTATACAATATGTGCTAATAACAATATATTGGCCTCGAATATAAAGCATTGTGTAGATACAATTGCACACATCATATAATCTTTTTGTCATCTTATTTTTATACATTTGTACACATAATAAACCTATGCCACTATATTTGCTCTGTGTGGTATGGTCGCTCGTATTATGTAAAGTTTCATCGAGCCATGATCAAATTGAGTTTTTTAGAATTTAACCACACACACGCGATCATATGAGACTGCTAGACAGGGTAATGATTTACTCTTACTCTCAATAGTAATGCTATGACCGACTCTTCATCAAAATCCGTATTTCTCTATTAAGTAGTTTGAATGAAACATCAGAGAATCAGAACTTCACCAACACAGATCGTGTGAGGAAAGATTCAAAAGAGAAAATCTTAGATAGCAGAACATTCAGGTAAACGACTTAGACATCGAACAATAATATGATAATTCATGATGCATATTTGTATATATGCAATTTATCATGGACTGCCCACGCATGCAAGTTTTTATATATTTCATAATTTATAATTATATAAGCTTTTATATAAATGCGTACACTATTTATTATAGATTTACATCTGAATTTAATTTTACTATTCATTCGAAAATATTTTTATAGCGTCAAGCTTGAAAACATGAAAAAAATTGATGCATTGTAAGTATATTCTAAATCTAATCCAATAATAAATTAAGACCAACGAAACAAATGTGTAGTGTAGACATTGTCAAGTAAGTGAATTTTGGTTGCAACTATTATACGGGCATTTCCTATTTAATTTTTAGAATCGTTTGAAAATTAATTTTCATAAAATTTAATTTACTGAAGTTGTTTTAAAAATATTAAGAACAAAAGAAGCAGCATTGACTAATGACTACAATTTTAAATTTTGACGACGCCTACTCACTTTGTCTGATCTTCAATCATATCATCCAGACCAACCCTTCAACTAACTAACTAACATAGTCGGTCATTTTTCTGCCTCACGGCCGAGAAAATTTTGCGAAACTTGTACACAACAACTTCAACAAACGGCAGAATTATTACACATTATTGTTATTGTTATTATTTTTTTGACGATGAAGAAGAGGAGGAAGAGGAGGAAGATGATGATCTTCTGATTCATACACAACACAAAACAGCGCACATATCTTCTAGTACTTCGTAGATAGCATAGCTTTACTATAAATATTATTTGTACAAGTATGCCATATGTAGTGCGCCTTTCAACGCGCCAGTCTGCTTCATACAAATATATATTAACTTTAAATAAATATATATATATATATAATTATATATATATATATATATATATATATATGCATACATACATACATACACACACACACACACACACACACACACACACACACACACACACAGACACACACACACACAACATACATACATACATTTCTACATACATACATACATACATTTACACGTAAATTCAACAAAATTATACCTTAATCTTTTGAAATGTTCTACAAAAGCAAAATAAGATTAGCATTGGCAGAGTGGCCAGCGTTGAACTGAAACAAAAAATTTCATGTCATGCCGCTACCCTAAAATTTTTCTAAAAAATCTATGCCAGATATTTTGTGTTTTGAAATGCGTTTCATGCGACGACCTACATACTGAATGTTCATCTATCAACGCATTTACGTCAAAATCAGAAACGAAGAACCGACAAAGATTTTTAAGAAAAATTTCGAATTAAGTTTTAAACGAAACGTTGTTAACGAAAGGGTAAAATGATTTTTTTTATTCTATACAAAAATCATGTTCTGACAAACGCAAGGATTGGCACAAATAATATAACAATAAAAATAATGAATTATTAAAATTGAATGAAAGATTACAAGAAGTAATTCCGATTAGATTGACATTGGTTGGTTGGTGTTGGTAATAGAAAATGGAATGATTAACAATGTGCCTTCGGCGTATTTGAAGATTTTATTAGTTAAACGAACTGAATTAATGCTAGTGGCAGAACCTTGCGCCTCACTAAAACTTGTTGAGAGATACCAAAATTTGAATGAGTACCAGCAGAGAGAAAGAGTTAAAGTTGTAAATGCCATCAAGCAGAGCCAGGTTGACAACATTTGAAGCTAGGGTAGAGTGACTAAGTGAGAATATGAAAGACTTAAAAAAATCGAGGGCTACAGAATAAATGTAATTTATTATTTTGAAGAGTGAAGCTATTGTTGAGGTGATTGAGTTGAGGGCAGCTGTAACAGATTCGGTGGGCAAAACGCGAATTGATCAGGTATATAAAGTTTAACGAGTGGATGGTTGAAACATTGGTAGGAAGGTGATGATTGGACTATGGACAGTTTTTTTACTGAATGAATTATGCTAATCATACTTCGTTTAATTTATTATTATTATGAAGGCTTATTGTGTTTTGTGACATGCTAGCAAAATTTATTATATAGCAATAATAAATGTACAATAAAATACAAGTTAAACTTATTTCATTATCTGCATTCTATTTTCAATGTTTTATTTAGGCTCCTGGTTAATTTATAACAATTAAATAATTAATTTATTCAAATTCACCATATCGAATTCCTTTGAATAATAAAAAGTGCCAGTTAAAACATTGACCAAGTAGCATTTGCGTCTTTTTATTGTATTTTAGCTTCCGGTCTTAACAAATTTCACTATCAAGATTATTTCATAACGGATACGTCGCATTAGCACTATTATCGATTTCAGTGGAGTTCAGAATAACAGAGATACGATAGGGTAGAGCAATAAAAAACGACGATGACATGCTTTTTGTAGGTCGTAATTTATAACATCGAAAAGATGTGCATATTAGAAGATGAACTTTACTGAAAGCAACATTAGCATTGACGTCTCGCAGCATTATAATTGGCTCATGAAACCTCATGACATTAAGATCAACAATAGCTAAGAACACACAATGTCTAATGACATAAATTTTTCAGATCAACAATCAGGCCAGGTGGCAACTATAGTTTAATTCCTATTTCTATTCAGTGAAAAAATGTTGATTTGATAGAGAGACATATGATTTTATTATTTTAAATGTGACCATAAGCTCAGTAGTTAATATAAATAATATTGCCATAATATTTCGTGTGATGAAATTTATGAAAGCGTACCCGACCCATGCAGACCTAGCGAATGAACAAAATGAAACAGATAAACGTTGGAGGAGGATGCGTGTGCGTGACGAATACTTCCTAATTAAAACCAAGTTCAAAAGAAGCTGCTTACTGTTCATGATCAAACAACATACAGTAGAATCATGACTACTGGTTTTAAATTTGAATTTAATGCATTTTTACAACTATTGTTTCAGACAAGTTGAAAATAACTAACGAATACAAAATTATTTAGTGTAGTATGCATAGCTCGGTCATTGTTATGCATGAATGTGATCAACATAACTGACCGCCGACATTAAAATTACAAGTCTGATAAAAATTCAACCAAACGCCATAAAATATGTATAGATTCAATCGTATACATAGGGCCGGATTTAAAACCTCCACAAAAAATTACAGATCTCCTCTATCCTATAATTAGAAAGCCTCCACTTCTTTATTGCCACAGGGCCTTTCTAAACTTGTAAATCTGCCCATGTGTATTACATATAACTGCATGTACTATCTGCTCCTGTAATAGATTCAAACAAATGCATATAATTACATAAAGGAATCAATTTTGCGGTAGAAAATAAATTTTGTAGAACTTGGCACGTAATGATAAAATGCAAAATAAAGAGAACGTGGTATCATGTTCCATTCCAAGCACGGATCACAGCTGCAGGAACACAGCGCTTATGTAGCGAATATAAGACTTGCCACAACATTTAAGCTTCTGTTCGTTCATGACATAGAGCGTGGAGTCGTATTGGCTTTTTATATGTATTTTTTCGTATTGTGTTTTACATTTTTAAATTTCAAAATTCAATTAAATGAAATTTAATTAGTTTATTAACACCACGTTCTTTAGCATTTCATGTCTTAAATCTAACTATTAATATTTTATCCCTCTTTTAACTTAAGTTACTTTTTAAATATTTTTTTAAAAATTGGCGTCTTAAAAGTTGAAAATGGAATTAAAAAGATTTTGTGTGTTTTGTTAATTTAGTAGATTATATAAACTTAAGTCATTTTTATTAGATATTAGCTACTTAATATTAATATACATTCTAATCTGACATTAATTATTTCATTACATTCCATATCCATTACAAAACAAATTAATTAATTGATGAATTCGATTGTTGCCTCCAGTGAAGCAAAGGATGTTAAATCTGGCAATGGTTTTGCTTACAGAAAAGTAATTTGTTGTGTTAAATTTGTTTATTAATTTAACAATTAGTTACTAATCATTATTACTTATTTTAATGTATGAAAGTGAAGTGTGCCAATTATTTTTATTCAACTTTTAATTTTATTCTATTATCAAGTTTTTGAATATGTTCTCTCCTCTACTATTTCTTATTAATAATAATACATTATTGAACAGGTCATATTTGGTACCTAATTTCAGTCTCATCAAAAGTTTTCAGTTGACTTTGTTTTTTTTATGATCATTTTATTAAATTTTTTTTTCAATAAAATTACGCAATATATTTATAATATAAATAAATAACAATTTATTAAAATTTCAAGATGGAATCATTGATAGAAAGAATGCAGAGTTGTCAGGGTGGCATTCCTGTTCGAACTGCAAAGCACTTCCTCACAAAAATACCTACCTGCTTCACAGGTTGTTCGTGCTCAACAATTTATTTTAATTTCCTTACTTCTGTGCAAAAAGATTGCAACTAATCAATTTTGTTTTTGTGTTTTATTTATGTTATATATAACTACACTTTGGCATTGTACTATTTTGTCTCTTCCAAAGTTAATCCAACTGTAACAAAAGTCAGAAAGTTTTTTGATTTAGAAAGTGACAATGACTAGACTGAATGGGTGTTTTTAAAAATGTAAAAAATTGTAGCAGAACTGAAAATTTTATAAATTGTTATGTCTGTGTTAAATTACTTTTTGTTTAATTTACATGAATTTTTTGGAAAATTTACTAATTATTTCTATTACATTTTCATTCTTTCAATTAGATTTTTTTCAATTTGAATGGAAATCTATATAAAAAATTGTATATGCTATTTTAAGAAAATTATAACATAGATTGATTGAATATGTGTGTGGGTGAAATCCAGAAATAAGATGCCTCAAGTACATGGTGTATTATAATAAGCATGAATGCTTGTGTGCATATTGTTCATGTTTGTGTATATATATGTGTGTGTGTTTATATTTTACGATATGCGTGCGTGTGTGTGCATATGTGCGTGTATGTGTGTGAGTGTGTGCGCGTGCGTATATGTGTGAGTGTGCGTGTATGTGTGTGTGTGTGCGCGCGTGTGTGTGTGTGTGTGGGTGAGTGTGTGGGTGTCTGTTTAAGAACAGGTGTGTTTGAGTGGTGGCAAATATGAAAAATATTTCAAATGGCCATCTTTATTATTATTCTTTATTATTATTATTTTTTTCTTTTTTTCTTATTATTCTTCTTCTTTATTAGTATTAAGTATGTTCTATGGCAATTCAGGTGCATTCTCATGTATAATTATATATGCTGAGTAATGCTTTACATGGATTTTAATTCCTAGTGTTGAGTTTTAATGTACTGTTAAACTGTAATAATGTAGGTCATCACATATATTTTTTGCTTTTTAATGGTTTTAGGTTGAAAATTTGTATTTTACATTTTACAACATTATAACGAATAACATATCACGTTACAAAATTTGACGTTTTGTTATTAATTTTTATATATTTTTTGTATAAAATTGAATTTTGAAAAGTTTTTTTTAATATGTTGGCAGTTTGTAGCATATTTAACTCATCCTTTCCATCTGATGTCCGAAGAGCAAACATTCTTCTGAAATATTCATTTCTTCATTAGATTTTTTTTTGAACTGTTGAAATGAATTTTTCAAAAACCAGTTTTTCAAAATTTTTAATTTTTTTAAGAATAACCTTTTAAATGAAATAATCAATCAATCAATCAATCAATCAATCAATCAATTAATCAATCAGTTTGTAAAGCACTTTATCTGCGATGTTCATCAGCGCTCCTCAGTGAATTTTGCAAACAGATGGGTCTTGAAATTCTCTCTGAACTTCGTATGTGATGGAGAAGTAGTCAAAGAATGAGGGGGAGAGTTCCAGAGGTAGCCAGTGCAAGAGAACAAGGTAATGGAGATATATGAGAAGAGATAGCAACCAGATGAGCAGTCGAGTTAAAAGCTTTACTTAAAGGATAAAGTGTAGAATCATGAAGACCATAGTAAAGCGAGTTACAATAATCAATCCTAGATCAAACTAACTTAGTAATTAGAAAGAGAAGAGTAGGATCGTCAAGAAAAGGCAAAAGTTTTTTATTCCACATAGTTGATAGTAAGAACTTTTAGCATCATCATTAATCTGAGAAAAAAGACATATGTTAGAATCAAAGATAAAGCATGGACTACGAAACTTGTGAGAAACATCAAGAGTTTTAGAATCAGGTAAGACAATAGAAGAAATAGCAATAGAGCATTTAGATTTATTAAAACAAATTAATTCAAACTTAGACGGGTTAAGTTTAAGACACAAGTTTTTAATTTTTATGATTTTATGAAAAAAAATTTCGTACATGAAAAATTAGAATGTCTGAAATAAAATGTGAAAAATTGTAATTGACGGAAGTTGAAAGTCCAAAGAAAAATATAATGAAATGTTGTTACGGTTTCAATGAACAATTGCAACGTCATGATTGATGTGGCTCTCAAGATGTTTGTGGTGAGATTGTAGGATACTGACGGAATCTATTTTGATGCTCAAATGTCAAATTGATCATCATTTCACAGTGAGTAAACAAGACATTGGTTTTCTTGGAAACTTGTTAAAATTTAGAAGTTTCAGCTATTTAATATTTATTTATTAAAAATAAAATTCAAGTTTATTTATAAAGCAGTGTTCAGTGACTGTAACTATTAACTGAAAAGTTATACATATAAACTCAAAAGTTGGCTGAAGTTGAACCGTTCAAGAACGGTTACTGGATAGCATTAAATGTTACTCGGTCTGTCTGGAAGGACCCAACTAAAGTAACACAGTTATAAAGTTTATTGGCATAGAGATCCTCCATGCAATCTTGCTCAATCATTAAAAGCATGTCCTCGCGACATTTGTACAATCTTCAACTGTTTGCTCCATAAACTGCACGGCTCATTACATTAGCTTTGAACAACTGCTTACAAACACGATGATGAAGATGACGATGGTGGTGGTGGTGATAATATTTAATGTCATATAATTATTGAGATCCGTATAATTATACAGTTTTTGTGATCTTCAGTTAGTTTCCACGCAGCAAACAGTTTTTCAGCTTTTTTACACTCGTTTGTTCTTCCTGTCCACAACACATCTTCAGTTTTAATTTTCATTGCTCTTCTCACAACTTTTCCTAAATGTCTATCTATATATTTATCTGATTGTCTGTCTATCTAACATTCAATCTATTTATCTATCCACCCATCTCTCTATCCAACTTACGTCACTTTGATGCTTCTGACTTGAGCTACATGCAACACAATCTATGTATGCATGTGTGTATACATGCTTGATGCATGCATGTATGTGTGCATGCAAGTCTCCGTATACGCTTATGTCGTTTCTTTGTGCGTCTGTTGATGTGTGCGTAGGCGTTTGTGTGTACATGTGTGTTTGTAGTGTGTGTCTGTGTCTATATATATATATATATATATATATATATATATATACGCTTTTGTGCATGTTTTCCATGTAATTGCACTGAATTTAACATTTTGTGCTGTAATAATGTGCTTTTGTCTTCTGAAAAAGAGATGCAAAGTGTTTGTAATGCATTTTTTAATAAACTATAATTGAACTTAGATTGGTGTTTTGTTATAATTAGAAGTTTGTTGTATGTTTGTTGTTTAATACTCATTAAACTTTTTCACACACAGGCCTAGCCTTTATCTATCGATCACCTCACTAACCCACTAAGTCATCATCTAGTCTATCAATTTGCCGTTACTTCATTTTATATTCCATCGTCAATTACTTTTCTTTTATTTGTCTTATTATTATTTATTTTATTCTAACATATTTTATTTTTCATGTTTTATCATTTCTCTTCCTCACTTTTTCTATTTATTTTCTCACTTACTTGTTTAATTTTGTTTCACTGCCTTGCATGTTGTGACAGTTTCTGCGTCTGTCAGATCCTGATTTTTAAAGAATAATAAAAAAAAAAACAATTATCTCGTGGTTATGAAATCAGTAAAATTGTTGTTACAATGTTCTTTTTGAAAACTTAAACAAAATGCACCGAATAAAATATTTAACATTGAACAGGTGCTGCTTTCGTTGAATGGCTGGTCACAAATCTTGATGTCACTGACCACAGTTTGTCATCTTTTCCTATTTTTTCACATTTACATCCAACCAATCAGTCATATTTTCATAATCATTTAAGTGCTGTGTTTTGTTCATTGGAAAAAAATAGCTGTTATAATTGATTTGGAATTCACACTGAATTAACTAAATTATGAATAAAGTTATTGGAAAAAATTTTCATTAACTTTTCAATTCATGGATTTTTTCTGTGCATAAAACTCAAGCATTAATCATCCTTTTTTTTCTTTAGAGTTATGTTCTTTCCATTTTGTACTCGAGGAATTTAAAAAATTTTCATTTATCATTAAACAAAGGAAGACTGAATAATGCATGAAATTCTTTCCTTCTATTTCCTAATGCATAAAAAATTGCCAGCTTTTATGCACAATAAATTTTCTATGAAGTCCTTTAAAAAACATTTTCCTGACATAATTGCAATATCAGATGTTCTTAGTAGTAAGTGATTTCAAGGAAAGATTTTTCAAAAATTTCCATGTTTACTCAGATTGAATTGGACGATAGTGTATTTGTTGGGTTTCATTTTGTGCTGATGTATTAATAAGATGATGAATTATTTATTAGTTGATGGCAGACATCATTGATCTTGCGAATGTTCTTTCCTTATATATCCAGCAGTCAATCAGCACGTGAAATATTACTTGCCAAGATGTTCTTTTTTTTACCACCTTATTATTTTTTTTTAATTTCGCAACAAAAAAAAAATAATAATTCTATATTATTAGTTTCATTTCATTATTCCTCATCAGTTAATTAGTTCTTTTGTATTATTTTTTAGTGCATCCAGTAAGATTTTTATAATTCTTTTCTTCAATATTTGATTCAAGTGCACATGTGTTTGCATTAATTTCAATATTTTTGTTTACTGAGGAAATATCTGTTTTGGAGAAAAACTAAATTTTGAATTTTATGCAATAGGTAAGTGCAATGGATGAAGTTCTGTTTTAATTGAAGATGTTGAAACGCTTTTTAAAGTTCAGATTCGTAAAATTAATTTTCTTTTTATTAACGAAGGTACAAACAAATAGTTAACAGTTTAAGGATGATTTTGTGAAAACATGATCGTGACAGGGAAGGTAATTAAAACGATATAAATCTCTAGTTTAATTGCAATTTTTCATTGGTTTCTGGAACTCTCTTACACTTTAATGGTGTCTGAAAATTTTAAAGAGAATAATTGTTGCGGAATTGTTATCACCGTCTAATATTGAGATATGTTCAGTTGTTGGGTTTGTATTGCCTTCTTGGAGTGAAAGTTGCTCAATTTCTGATAGAAACTGACAAATCTCTACTGTGATTATTTTTAAAAGGCACTTGGTAGCATAGTCTAATGTATGACAACAGTGGGACCGGAAACTGTTGGGCTGATGTAGTTGGCATGCTTTAGTGTGGGAAAGATCTTTGTCAAACGCCGGTTGTTTTAAAATTGAATTATACTTTCGCGAGCATCGTTATAAATTGTATGCAATTTGAAGTTTTACGGGAAAAAAATTTTCAAACTAATTTATATTGATGCTCACTGCCGTAACTCAGAGACAATCATAATGATAATGAATTGAGGTTTGTCCCAGTTAGGTTTTCTCTGTAGCTTTCTTCCACTCGCTCGATGCAACACATCACACATCGTATGTTTCCAAAGGTACGGCCACATTTTTTCATCTGCTTTTCTATAGCCAGATGATGCAGGATGTTTAATTTGCACTGCTTTTGTTGCACGCAGACAGATTTCAATAAATTCGCTTCACACAACGGAACGCTCATTGTTGTCATGTGCATTCAAATTTTTCATTTTTATTATTAAATTTTTGTTCTTTAATTTTTGCCCGTTCTTTCATGCTGAATAACATTATATGGTGATAAATTATTTTATGACGATTGGTTGCTGGTTGGCAGTTATGGAAAGTAATTGTTAATCGAATATTAAACTGTTTGTTGGTGAAATGCAAGTTCTTGATAACTAAAAATAATTTGAACATCCACCCCAACATCCATGGTTGAACATTGTCTGCATGCACAGATGAGTTGATGCACCTGGCACATCTCATATCGTCACATGGATACGTCTTTCCAATTGACGATCATGTCCTAACTGTTAAAAATGATTTCACTTATTATAGATTTCAAGTTTGTCTTCTCGGATTTATTTTTTTTAATTTTAATAATATGATGAACATTCTACAAACAGTTGAAATATTTATTTGTTGAACTTATAAGTTTACTGAATGCATACAAATTTTAATTTCATGAGCAGTCTAATTTTTGTGAAAAGCTTCAACTTCATCCTTTTTTAATGCAGATTTCTTCAAAAATGTTTGCAAACTTAAAATATTGACTTTACTGAAAACGTAGATTCCTTTTTGATTTGTAAAATGTCAAATGAAGAGCTGCTTTAAGTATTCTTTGTTTTTTCAGGTGAGAAACTTTTTCAGTTTTGATATTTTCCTGCTCATTATTAGTACACTGCTTTGTTGCAATGCAAACAGTACCTTATTAATTACATTATAAACAAACTTGTTCGTTAATGAAAAACTTTTTATGGAAATATTTCAAAAGAACCTCTCATTAATTGAAACAATTATCCTCAAGGATTTGAAAATGTTTATTGGTAATGGTTTACGTGAATGATTGTTTCATGAAATTCTTAACACGTGTAGACGCCATTCCTGTGGCCATCAAACAACTGGCAGCCTGATGATTATGACTATGGTCAGTCCAGAGTTTTTTCATTTAAATTATAAAAAAAGTTTTGCCATTTTATCTCTTTTTGTCGAGAATGTTCTTGTTTAATTTAAACTTTTGTTCAACAGCTAATTCTCCTTCATCATTTAATTTATCCATTTTTATTACTTTCATGTCACTTTGTAAAATTGTATTGTAAGATTTTGCGATATTTATTTGTACTTATTTAATTTAATAATTTTTGTTTCAAAAAGTTTTGGTTGATGAATAGCCAAATTGTATTTAAAATAATCAAAAGCTGTATATCTGTGCAAGCGAACGATGCAGAACAAGCAGAGGTTGGAGCTTGCAGATCACGAAGCTCAGGCACTGGCCAGATTGCAGAAGACCTTCTCCAGGAAATGGGAGTTTATATATCTACAAGCTGAAGCACAAGCCAAGTTTGTTAATGTGACGATGTTTCCAGACGATGCACGCTTCTGCTACAACAAATGTTTTCATTGCAGCACTTTTATGTTGCTACATGTAATTTGATTGTGATATCAATGTGTTATGTTATGCAATTTGTTCTGTGAGTGTACGTACATGGTCGTTTTAGCTCAGTTCACATAGTAAGTTGAGTATCACAATAAGATAACATATTAGAATAAGTGTTATATTGGGCTCAAACTTTAGAGTCTGAAAAAGCGACAGCATTATTTTTATGTATATTGATGATAGTTTGAGTGAATAAAGAAATTTATCAAATAAAGAAGAAATGGATAAATTATGAATAAACTCAGTTAGATTGTGGAAATTAATATTAGTTGGAACATGAAGAGATGGGTGGATGATAGAGCATTACTATGGCCTAACTGAATGTAGATGGTTGCTAAAAGACACCCAAATTACTCATTTTTCAAATTGAAGTTGAAAAGAAAGAAGAATATCCGTTGATGTATTTTTAGTAATGAAAAAGTGATTCTTTTTAGTTCTTGGCATTTTATTGGTTGTGAAAAAAAACTTACGATTTCCATTAAACAATCCCTCAAAGTTTTACTCATAAAATTTGTGGTGTGTAACCTAAAACCTGGAAAATAAAACTTATCTTTCAAGTACCTACTCGTTGACAATATTTTTGCCACTAGTTTCAATAAAAATTATTTAATCTCTGTCAAAAAATCAGTCGAAAGTCAAATTTCACTCGTTTTATTTCCTCTGCAGAACACATTTGACACACCTCTCGCTTGGTTATGTTTATAATTTAATGAAGACTAACGAGCGCCATGAAAGTTTTTCACTTCATTCTCCACACATTTGCTTGATGATGACTCGTTTTTGTGGACGAACAATTAAAAATTATTTTGACACCCAAATGTAGTTAGTGATTACGAAAACCTCCTCACTCTTTTAGCTGCTGATGACATTCATTATTTGATGTCAATTTTATAAACCTTTTAGGCTATTATTATCTATTGTTAATAGACGTTTGACGTGAAATGTTAAGTAGTCGTTTATATTTACTGGACATTATATGATTGAACACCTAGAGTTGACAGGAGGCGTGATAGAATCGAAAGGAAAGTTCTGGATAGCCAGGAACAAGCCTTCTGGGATCTCCATCGACCGGCAGTTAGTACGGCATGTTTGTTAGCTGTTGGTACAACGGAAGAAACAAAATTAATGAAATTGTTTTGGTCGATCACGAACAAATTATTCAGCATCTGTATGATATGGCGAATGTTACTTTACTATCAATACATGCAGTGCTCGTTGCTGCATAAAGGTTGTTATTTGTTACCCAACCGTAGCATAGCAATGTTGTGAACTGGTAAGTTTGTATGTTGTGTAGAACCGAATGCGATTACCACATCAAAAATTAAACAGCAAAAAATAAAATAACCCTTTACGTAAGCTAAGAAAGTAAGAGTTCCATTAGCTGTGGGCAGGTACCTGCATATGCTTCATTTTGAATGCTAAAGGTACAAAATAATGCAGTAGTTCTAACAAATGCTTTTCTTAATGAAATAATTGCCATGTTGGAAAACGCCTGTGATTAAATGTAAATTATAATTTATTATAAGGAAATTTCAATAATTTATTCAAGCGTATCTCTACATAACTCTACATTCATTTTCGTAAATATTTTTGCTTTGTTTTCGCTCAATTTATTTTTATGTCTATGAATGTGGTTTGTCACTAGTTAAAAGGCGTTTCTTTGTGGTGCTTATATGAAAATTAAAGCATCTAATCTATTTCTACTTATGCGAATTGATTATATTATTGAGGTGAATCAGAAGAAACGACCATTACCAATCCATAGACTTCTGATGGTTTTAATTTGCATATATTATTAGATTCCTGGGCAGCCGATCAATCATTCGAACATTTCTCTCATCACGGGTTGTCTCCTCGAAATTGAATTTATTCATTTAAAAAAAAAATTTCATGTAAAACAAAATTACTGACTGTTTTATATAACGTTTACATTTATTTATTTATCTTGCCTACAAATGCTATAAGTTCTGTAGAAATAAAAATACGCCTCTCACTGATGATAAATGTAATTTTCTGGAGTGGAGGTACTTGAAATATGTATGAAGCTTTTACAAACTAATTCATATCTACGTGCAACAGTTGTTTTGTAGATGTTCTGAAGTGATGGAACATTCGGTGTAATTGTATCAAGCGTTGTTTCATTGCAGTCGTTTTTGTATTTTGGTCATGCAGTCTTCATTTTTCACACCACCTGTGCTTAGGGAGGTCCAATTATTATTTACTCTACAGATCGCTTGCGAGAACATGTTTATTCTTCAAAATGTTGGTGTTGTTTTATTGTTGTCTGAACTGTTTATTCATTTTATGGAGTTTAATCCAAAATCGGATATTTCAGTCTGGCCCCTGTAGACGGAAAGAATGTAACAAAAACCTTTAGCTAGCGGTATGATTGTGCACTCAGATCCTTCAAAAATTATCCAATTGCTGAAAATGCAGGTTGAGGTCAATAAATGTAAGTGAAGCAGTTGACATAACTTGACAGAAAAAAATGTTTGACGGTATAAGTCTGTATTAACAATAATTTTAAATATAATTACACTCAAATACTAAGAATCGCAGAAGATAAAACAAAAATAAATGAATAACTCGATCGATATATTTGTAATTTGAAAGCACGAATCAAGACGTTAAAAACAAAATGACGTCCGGCTGCTGAAAACGCATAAAAGAATCGTTCATTCAAGTAATATTGGTTTGAAAATGATAAAAATTTGAATGATTATTTTCCGATACATCGTATCGGAAAAGTTACTGCTTAATGCTGATAATGGAGAAGATGTAGGGATGGATGATGTAGCTCATAAAACAGCCAGGCTGTGTCAACACAACAGAAGAAGACCTGAAAAAGACTCAGCGGTGCATGAAGTCAGCATTTCTTATCAGGAAACCATCTAACAAGGTTTCGATTCTTGCTTTTATAATGTTAGACATATGAAAATCTTTTGGATCTGTTTCTTCTAACATCATTCATTGCATTTCTAATATACAGATTTTTTTACGAAATAAAATTTCAATCCCAAGCGTTACATTTTGGACTTTTGAAATAGTAATTGATAATGTTTGAGCATGTACTCTGTGCTGAGAACAAGTCTCAATGATTGATGCATTGAGGTAATTTACTTGATGTAGGGATGTAATCTCCTTCAAACAGAGAGAATTAAGTTTTATTCAAAGAAACGTTTGTGCTCCATGCCATCCGCTTGCACGTGATTATAATGAAATATTTTGATGGAACGTCAATGAAATTAAGCTTGTTATCTTTGAAAATGCTACTGTTGTCATTGGCGTCTTTTTAATTCTGAAAATTAAAGCAATTTTTTGAAGATTATTTGTTGTTCTTAGTTAATTTTAAAATGAAATTACCGTTCTTAATTATAAAATGCGATTGTCGTTCTAACTAGGTCTTGCCAATGAAATTTGATAAAAAGAACTGAAATTATTAGGACGTCTCATTTAACTTCGACGTGCACGTTTGCTCCGTTCCAAATTCTTATCTTCTTTTCGCTTTCGTGCTTTTGACGGTTGCGACGATTTTTCTTTAATTATGAAAAACATTTCTTCTATCTTGAACACGCATTTCTCTTGAGAAGAATGTCAGCATGTTTTTTTTAATTAGAGAGGGCATGAGAAGTCGGTGCCATCTTAGTGTAAGTTTTGAAAAATGTTTATCGCTGATGTCTCTGCTAACTAAATAACTTTATTACCTTTATTTTAATTTTACGTTTCCGTAAAACCCCACATAGATAAACACCGAGCAATTGTTTCAAGTCTCATTTACATGCTTGGTAATTTTGTTGATTTTACCTTTTAAATTCATATTTACCTAATTAAATATTTACCCTGAACCACTTAACTGCTTGGCCAGTTTATTTGCCAGTGAAGAGACAGTTTATCGCACACAACGTCAAGAAATTTTTTAAACCCCGGAACCATAGCAGGTGCGAAACAGGTCTGCGTGCGTAAAGTCAGTTAATTAGCGCCTCCCTTCTATCGTACGCGTTTTTACTTTTCGTACGTGCTCCGCGGGACGTTATTTTTTCATGCCGCAATAATGAATGTATCGTACATAGCTATTTATTAATTTGTTACTAATAAACTGTGGGATGAATCTGACAAAACATCCATCATCATTTATCGCATGTTTTTCCTAGCATTAGAGATGAATTTTTCACAATTTGTTTTTAAAAATGGTTCTACCAAACAGATGAATAATATATAAAGCGTACGTGAGTTAATTAAATATGTTATCATTGGTTGAAGCTCAAATTTCAGTCAAATGATGAAAGGAGAGGAGAATAATGTTTTTCAGACGTGTGGGCAGCAAAATGATCATTGAGATTTTGTTTGTGTACATTGCGTGGCACTCGTTCAGTACGCTGCACTCCACATTTCATATTTATTTTTATTGGCTTGTTTAATTTACGCCGAAATATTCTGCCCACACAGCAAATGAGATGTCTTTTGTGGATGGTGGCCTGTTTTGTTTGGAATATTTTAATATTTGTTTTGCAGCTGTACGATATAATAAATAGAATCCGTTGTTTATTCGATGAAATTTCATTTCAACTCTTGTAAAATTTCATAGCACGTTACTTAACACTTTAATAACAAAAAATTATTTATTTATTTTTATTTGTCATTTAAAAAACAAATTATGTTGATTTTGGTTGCTAGCATCATGATAAATGATCAGCATGAAGTTACTTAAAAATTTGGCGTGTAATTCGCAGAAAACAAACAACATTCATTGAAATGAACTTTTATTGAAGTGCACGTGCAATTCATTTGCACTCCTGCCTACAGCATCTCCCATCTGACTGCACAGCTCGCCGTGGTGGATGTTTTAATCCCTTGTACAACATCGCAACAACATCTTTAGAGGAATTGAGCTGTAGGAGAAGTATGCACGTGTACAAATGCAATCCCATTAGATGACTAATGTGAGCTTGTTATTTTGCTGGACACTTGGTCAACATGCCATTAAACTGAATGTCATGTTTGCTGATGTCTTTCAATTTTCATTGCTCCCTGTCCATTTAGTTCGTCGCCACTCCATTTATTCGCTGCATTTATTTAATTTGCTGGCCAAAAATTTTTTTGTTTGTATTTATTTTGTCTATTATTTATATTATTATATGGTTGAAGAACTTCTTTCATTACATTGATGTTCATTTCAACCAGCTACTTTACCCACTCTCCATTTTATTTCATTACATTGTTACTCTAGCTTTTCTATCAAAATTACTTTCACAGGTGTCTGATGATTTTAAAATAACTTTTCAGATAAATTTTTTTCTATGTTAAAATTTTTTTTCAATGATTCTACAGGGACACGAAGCGTTACCTACACTGGAATCTCTTAAAGCAGAAGTTCGTTTATGTTATATAATTCCGATGTGTATCCTATTTATAATTAAAATGAATTTATTTAGCTTATAACAGCGCTTTTTTCATTAAACTAGATCGAAAAGTTTCAAGGCTTACTACAAAGACGCAGGGTTAAAGTTTCAAAAGTGTCCGAATGGTAAATCTTTCACTTTGTTTAAGACTTTGTTTTTGAGTTAAAAACCCAATCTTATGGCCCAATCTTGGGCCATAAGATTGGGTTTTTTCTTTATTCAAAATTTTTCTTTTTGGTTTTCAACAGTTTTTTGTTCATTTTAAGTACCAGGCGCCAAAATAGTTTTGTTAGTAACGTTGGACTCTATGTAGTTGTAGTAATCATGGTAGTAACCGCAAACAGCACATCACATTCAGAACATTGCATTGCATTGTAGATTAGTAGAGCGCCTCTATTGTTTCACCTTAAGAACAATGCCACCTCTTTTTCTGATTTCTTGTGTAATTAACAATTATAATTTTGATTCTATTTTAAATGATATAAATAAATAACTTTTTACCTGTAGAATATTGTGTCTATGTAGCTGGCTCATTTAACGGGATTGGTCTCTTTGCAAGACGATGCATCAATATGATGCTCGAGACATGCATGATTTGTGTAGTATCTTTGATGCCCGACAGACATGCATGTATGATGTACCCGCCCGACAGGCAGACAGACAGGCATACAATACAAACATCATGTACGTTGTTGATATCATGAATTACAGACTTCAACGTTATTGAATTTCAGCTACATGTCGTTTAGCGAACAGTATAGCGAATATGATCCCTTCGTGACAACTTCTCATCCTCCTAATCCTTGGATATCAGATTCAACAGATTTCTGGCAACTTCAAGATTCAAAGTATTCAAAGTTCTTTTTCTATAGATTTATTTAATTAGCAAAATGAAATTTCCCACCTACTTTTGGTATTAGAGTCTCACTATATGTTAGTCCGTTTCTTTCACTACAACGAAAATAATCGCAAAACAAGAAAAATTGATAATGCGGCAATAACTATCTTTTGATAAAAAAGGTTTACTTAGATAATAATTACTTTGATAATGAAAACCGCAAAGTTGTAGAAAATTGTTCTCATTGTTGCAATAATATTTGAATGTTTATTTTGCCGATGTATAATCAGTTGTCAAACATTGTGAAGCACATGAATCATGTCGCCATACATCTTTGTCATTATTATTATTATCATTATTATTATTATTATTATTATTATTATTATTATTGTTATTAGTACAACTAAGTAGTAGTAGTAGTAGTAGTAGTAGTAGTAGTAGTAGTAGTAGTAGTAGTAGTAGTAGTAGTAGTAGTAGTAGTAGTAGTAGTAGTAGTAGTAGTAGTAGTAATATTAGTAGTATATCCATAGCGTCGTGAATTGTTGTATTATTAAACTTAAAACGGTTCAGAACTGTTGAATTGAATAAGTTGACCTTAGGTCAGCGTATCATTTGTTAGCCATTGATTTTTGTTTTTTTTGTTTTTTAAATTTTGATTGTATTTTTATTGAGCAAAAAGAGGCCCTCTGCTTGTTGTGGGTTTATTCAGTCAATATGAGGCAGGTCTTCTTCCCACAAGACCACGTTCGTGTGCCAGCTGATTCTTTCGTGTTTAAGCGTCGTTTATTTCGTACCGTTCATTCTCCCCTGCTTTCAAGCTAACTAACCTTCATTAATGTTCTCACAACAAACGTGTTTCGACAATTGAAAAATTGGTTTTCGCACGTTCTGTAAGTTCTGTTTGAAGTCTTGAGTAATTAACATCGTAAATGCATCACGCGAATGTATAAAAACGGAATAAGCGTTTATATTGTTGCTCTATTTGCCAATTAATAATGTATCAGTTGGTACTGTTGTATGTTACATAAATTAGTACTGTTGTATCGTGTGGTTGTATCGGTTGATAATTTTGCGTTAATTGTAGTGTTATAGTGACCTTATAAATTTAGCGTATTTGAAACTCAGATATAACAATATAATTTCAAGTTATAATGTGCTGTAAGATTATTTTCTACAAAACTTACTGACATAGTTGAACTCATTTTATAACTGGCACGCACGATTAGTTGTAATGACGAGCAATCGTTTTGTAGATTTTATAAATACATGTGGTAAATTTTTATTGATTGAAAAAGTTTAAAATTTATTAAATAATTTTCGAAGCTTCGAAATCCCTGCATGGCGGATCAACAGGTGGTCGTTTGGATTGCATGAACTCCTGAAAGATCCCGCTGGTAGGGAGCATTTCAGGCTCTTCCTCCAGAAAGAATTCAGTGCTGAAAATCTAAAGTAAATACATTTTGTTTGTTTGGTTTTCTATCTGTCTGTCTCTCATTCCGCATTTCTGTCTGTTTGGCGACGTTAACCACTAGGCCATCGCACCACCCAATAGGCCGATGATGCGTCGTCTATTTGAGATTGGTAATAAGTTTCTTCAATTTAAAAACAAAATTGAGTTGATGGCCATTCTGGTAGGAGCAGATATATGGAGTAGTAAAATAAAATTTAAAAAATGTCGGCAAACAAACGAGATGAGGCAGATGCCATCATTTGTTTGCTTTCGCTGAAAATGAAGACAAACATTGTATATAAATTACGTGTAGTTAGTATTCATATGATGCATTGTGTATGTGAGCACATCTGATTAAAATAATTTGTAATACTTTAGCCTAATCAATCCATGGCTAACATACACTTTCCGCTAAAGTAGCAGTGGTTCTACCTTACCTAAATTTAAAATATTACTTCCGTTTGAACATGCTGATGATGCTTGTTCCTCAAAAGTTGCTGGTGCTTTAAATAAAATAATGAAAATCGGTGTATTCATCGGATGAAATTGAATATTTTTTAGGAGTTCACATTCATTAGCCAGGAAAAAATTTCGTGTTATGTTTCAAGAGTTGAATGTACCTATATAAAAATTAATATAACATGAACATTTTATTGCCTCTACCTGCATGACTCCTCATTTATCGTATTCAGATTTTGGGAAGCGTGCGAAAGATTGAAAAAAATTTCTTTGAAAGAAGTTAAATCAGCCGTGCTTGAAATATACAAGTAACAAATCATTTTCTTAATATTGAAGTTTTTAATTTCAAACGTCTATCATTCATTGAATTGACTCTTGATTGTGGTGGTTGAATTGAAGCTACTATGAGCATTTGAAACACTTTGTTGTTCCTTAAATTTTATCTAATTGCTATCAAATATATTTGATTATAAACTTTAATCTGTTATTAATCTTAATCAGTTCATTTTATTCATTGATTTCTGGTTGATTTCATCTAAAGCGATTGATAAGTTACTGCTTAAATATATGTACAAATTTTCAAAATGTTAAACTGTCCTATGTTATTGACGCATTACAATGAAGGTTTATTCACACAACTTACGTGCCAAATACGATTGTAGTGATCATTTAGGGAAAATGTCGACGGACCCTGTAAACCTGGATGGGCGCGTGCTAGAGTCAGTCAAGAAAAACGTAGAATCAGACCCTAGCAACAGATACTGCCTTGACGAAGCACAGGTTAACATTAAATGAGATTACCGTTGAAATTGCAAAAAAATATTTTTATTTGTATGTGCTTGTGCATCTGTGTATGAATGCATTTGTTTTTTTCAGGACCACATCTTCCTGCTGATGAAGAGGGACAGTTACAATCGCTTCATAAGACTTGATTTGCATAAAGAATTCTGTAAATCATCGAGAAAAAAGGTGATTAATACATTATGAATTTCATTTGCTCTTTGCTTGTTTAATGGTCGAAAGCAAAAACAATAGATTAAAGGTTAAACAACATGAAAGTCTTTCTTATTTTATATTAAATGCATTATCGATATAGAATCTAGATTTTGGTCTTCTAGAACTATGATCTTAATAATTATATAATGCTCCTGCCAAAAATAAAATAAATGGCTTAAATAACTGTCGATACTTGTCTGCCAGAGGTGCTGTCACAGGAGGCTTTGCTGCTGAACAATATGATAATTGTGAAATTGAATTTCAAGAAACATTTATACAGACTTGGATTTAAAATATTTAAAATAATTAAATCCAACAAGGGTAATGAAATTAGACAAATTGTAGAAAAAAAATATTGTTTTGAACATGAAAAACCAATAAAAAGATGATCGCTTACATTATGTAATAACCTAAACCTTGCGTCACTGCTGCCAGTTATTCAGTTGAATTAATTAACCTTTTCATCAACTCTTAACTTGCGTTTGGCTTCCATAAATGATAAACATCACTGGAATGAAATTTTAATCGATTTTTTTATTCTTGGCTTGGTGTTTCGTTGAAGTTGTTAGAAAATTATGGAGTTTAGTTCTTTGAGCGAAATATTGAGGTTCGCTGAAAATTGATCATGAGGTTTTTTACGTGAGGTGCTCTTTCGGCAGGAAGACATTTATGTGAAATCAACGACGAACTACTTTGCGATGCGCTGTAGACAACCTCAGTTGGTCTAATTGCGCTTTTGTGCCGCTTCATACTTGCATATGAAGTTTTTCTTTTTTGAATTTAGTTATATTATACACAATTTTGAAGAATAAAATGTGATTTAACTAACTAATTGAACATAATTTTATTTAAATACAGAGCAAGAAGAAATTTAGCAGTGTTCGTCGTCTTCATGATATAAGCGTGAAAAAAACCTTTCCTCCAAAATTTGGAGAAATCTAATCAAATCATACAATATTTCATTTTCACATTTATTAAATTGTTTAATCTATAGATATTTGATTGGTACGCTATTTTTCTCATCTTGAACGTGAAACACCCAGATTGTTGTGCGCAGACAATAAAGTGTTGTAATAATTTGTACATTATTTGTGATGTAATAGTTTCTTGTGATCGTCTGCCTTGTTAATAGGGTACTTCTCTTTTCTGTACATTCGTTTCAATTTCAAATGTTCAATTGTGAGTGAATTTGGATATATTTATGTGTGTCCGGTTAACGTAACTTATCGCGTTTTATTATATAAAATTTACAAGACAACGTCTTTACTTACATTTATTTTTCACGTCCAAGTGCGGTTAGCGCCAAATCAAAATGTAAACGTGTTGGTCGAATCAAATTGTGTTAATGCTGACAACAATGTCTTTTTCTATAATATTCCACAATGAACAAATTCACGTTATTAGCTTGCTCTTGACTTTTGTTATGTTTTAGACTTGGTTCTCACTTTTGGAAAGATTCTTGACGCATCTTACAAACGCACCTACTTGGATTGGGTTGGGATATTATAACCTTTATTAAATGAGACACATGCTGCGATAAAGTTAGGTTTCATTTATATTTTTAAAATAAGGTTTATATTGTATTAAGACGTCTCTACTTGAACGCTTGTTGAGATAAATCATTAATTATATTTTAAAATCATTTTCACCTGACATGCTTTTTCAGATGAAATTAGTTTTGAACGACACTTCGTCGACCGTTAAACCATCTCTGCTATCTCCCAACAAAAGTTTTTATTAAATTTGTTTTGTTGTCGTTGTTTATAATGATGTCGATTGCTTGAAGAAAATATATTTGATCGATTTTGACGCATTCCAGAAAATTTAAATGAAGATATAGAAACGGATTTGGGAGTGAAGATTGGTGTTCCTATGACGATTTCTGCAGTCTGTCTTCTGATATTAGGAGCTATGCTAATTTGGTACTTTAGCAAGAAGCATGAAAACAAAACTGTTAGTAAACATTTATCAATTGAATTGTCCTTTAGTATAGAACAAAACGATTTGTTAACAAGAAATCTGTGGCATCGGAAGCGAAGAATCTCGGCGTGAACGATGCACAAAAACCTGATCAGGATATAGGTTAAATTTAGCATTTAATTTTAATTAGAACAAAAAAACATTCATATTAGCCGAGCCTGCATATTATCTCTACGTTTTACAAATTATATTGACTAAATTCGTTAAGTAGCTATACATGCAATTATTTTTTAATCTTGCCAAAGCAAAAAATGAAATCACTGCTTTAAATAAAAGCAAATATTTTATTGAAAATTTGATAGAAATGTATCATAAACGCCTAACTGTACTGATAGATAGTTAGCCTAGCCTACGATATTTTCAGAAACCACTTTTGCAATTGTTTGCCAAGCGATCTTAACCTATTTATTCTTTGGCCTAAGTCAGTTCTTCAACTCGTCCTTTTGTGACATTTTGAAATTAACTTTTTTAGATAAAACTTTGTCGTTGAATACGTCCAACGTGGTGGCTTACAGTTCGAATGCAACAAGATCCTCGAAGTACATCAATGCGTCATCTTTTAACAAAACCAAGTCTCCATTTCAATGTGGTAAAGGAGATTTAGACACGCAGGCATCGACAAATAATGATTCTAAGCTTTTTTGTGGCCCTACCCACTATTATAATGAAAACTTTTTAAAAATGCGACCCGATACCATCTCTCCAAAATCTGAATCTGACAATTTGCCAGAGAAAGAAGAAAATGATAATCGGGATAAATCTTTTTTTGCCCAAAAGACGGTTGAATCAAAGAAAATTTTTTTAAATGATTTAACAAACGTCTTAAGGACGAACAAAATTGATGCAGATCGAACTGCAACTGATGTAACTAGCCAAATAAAATCTAAATCTCCATCGAAGATTCCCGCTGACCACATGAAGAATGTTGATGTGGAGCAAAATCTTAGCGAGAATGACGACATATCCGTAGAAGAATTCGAAGATAAGATTTCACAAGAATTTTTTAATAATTTTGAATCAGCACAATTGCAGTTTTTAGAAGGTCTGAATTAATTATTTCTATAGTTAACTGTAGCTCATTTTCGATAAATATGCTAATGATTTGCAAATGTTTTTAAAATGTGTTTAATATTTTGATGCCTTTTTATTTTTGTAAATTTTTTATTTTTTTCATACTGCTTAAATGCTATAAAACGACATATTCAAAAGTAATTTGTCAGTGTATTTCCAACTTTTCAGAGCGAAAGACGTACAAGATATTGCATCCATTCATTCCTTCAAACGAATCCAAACCCCTAGCAACACCTGGAGACATCTACGTGTCAACAGGTTACTCCAACGGAAAATGGTTAAACATTTCTAAACAAAAGAGCGACGAGAAAGCAATTTGGTACCCTATGGAGTATCTCGTCGAAATATCGGATGAAGTATGATACAAATTTTGTATGGAAATAAATCATGCGTGCAATAAAATAAATTTTATTTATTTTTTATTAAAAAGAGTAAAGAGACTTTTGAGTCCGAAGACGAATTTGATGACATTACATTGTTTGGTAATTTTATTGTATTGTTGTTAGCACTTTTTTGATTCACAAAGTTTGGCATGATTGTTTTTATTTCAGAATGTCGAGCGAAGTACAATTACAATTCGGAGCGGAGTGAAGATTTATGTCTGAACGAGGGAGATACGATCATTGTGATAGAAGCTAATAAGAATGGGTGGTGGAAAGGTATAAAAGGGCAGGAATGTGGCTACTTTCCCGGATCCTATGTTGAAGTATTCTTCAAATTTTCACTAGGATTAAATTTCATTTAAAACGTTAAATATTTTTTTATAGTGCATTGAGACGCCAGGAGTTCGTGAAAATGAAGGTTAGCATTAATTATTAAACAAATTCTTTGAATAGGCAAGTTATTTTCTGTATCTAATATAAATTTTTTTAGAAGGCAACGTATTTCCTGTACAATCTTTAGGATTGGTGCTTGCAAATGAACTTCGAGCAAGGAATTCTAAAACCAAAAATGTTAGAAACCCAAGTTCTAATGATGCAATTCAAGCTGAAGATAATCTACTTCAAAACAGACCTGCTGCAGATATAGACAAAAAGTTAATTCTCGCTGAGTTGTATTCAAAAAAGTATTTAACAAATGAAGAAAATCCAGAAAAAAGTATCGAGAAAAATAAAGCGGATAGGGAATTTCTTGTAGACATTTTGAAAAAGAAAAGCGATGAAAAACAAACAGTCGACTTTGTTTCGCCAAGAAATAATAGATTGCTATCGTTCAGACTAAAAGAAAGAGAAAATATAGCGTTTAAAATTTCAAACCGTCCTTTAAAAAATTGTAATGAAATTACAAATAATTCAGATGAACATCCTAAAGATCATTCAAATTCAAACAAGTTAGGCTCAGACACAGTTGATACAGCTCCAGCTGGAAAGAACACCACCTCGAAATGGATCAAAACATCAGAAGAACAATGTAACGATCTTACTGGCAACTCTGGAATGGAACAGGATGTAGCTGAACAGCTGAAAATAAAATTAGATGAAAGGACGTCAAACGTTCAAACTTTCGAAAATGCGAATTGGTCCTTTAAAAAACCTGACGTTTCGTTAACAAGACAGGTGTTCCCCAACGCAATCATCAATAACGAAGCAATAGAATTAAATAACGAAAATCTTGTTAAATCAAATCAACCGTCAGAAGAACATTTAGTTAGCATAAAAAACGCAAAAAAAATTTTTGAAGCGGGCCTCAAAGGAAAGTGAAATTTTTGTTTATTCTTTTTCATTTTCAGCCGAATCTAACATAAAATCAAAAATTCCAATGTCTCCTGTTTTTATTAACTATGCTTTTTATGAAAAATGTATTGAGAACAATGTTTTATAAAAGTAAAACGGGATTTCTACTTTTTGTGTAATAAATAAGGATACATTTAATTAACTTGAGTTATCTGCACTACATCTGGTCTAAATTTTTAGGTCGCTTGTCAATTTTTCTTTTTGAAACAATTTCACTTACAATATTCCTTCTTTGTTGCATACGTTTATTTATTTATTTATTTTTGTTGTTTTTTTATTTATTTATATACTCAAACTATTTATTCATCTGACAAGTTGATATAGCAGTTTACAGTTTATCCATAAATTTATGTCGTCACATGTTAGAAATATTTACCGATTGTTATCAAACTTTATGATTGTCGTTCGGTTTTATGTTTTACGGTTGCTACAAAATTGTTTTAGATTCATTTAATCCACGTGATGAGTGAAAAAATAATAACATTAAAAAATTGCGTTTCGTGTTTACATTCATTGCAAGCAAATTTAAGCGGCACAACTCGTCAGTAACTTCAATCATTACAACTGCCTAAGAGTTTCAAGCTCACCTGTGATCCACTTTAAATAGCTCAGACAATAGACATAGGTATATTATATAAGTATCTTTTGTTATTGTGTTTGCTTGCTTGTTTTAGGATTGCAAAGTTCATTTTCAAAATTGCTTCAACTCATCGTTGCGACAGATATTTAAAATTAAATCGTACCGAAATTTGGTTTTGTTGATATTTTGGTAAGACGTAAGTTAGTGTGAGAATTAGTGCAAGATGGAGTTCTTAAGTTACTTCTCTTATTTTTCAATTCTGCAAATATATTGGGTAATTCAAGGCCTCTTTTACATTTTGTTAATTTTAAAATCTATCATAACGGATAGATACTGGAACAAGGCGCAGCACTTGTCCGGTGACGCAAAACCGGCTGCTTGCTGGCAGTTCAGAAAAAGGTTTGATAATTTTTTATCGCCCATAACCTTTCAAACTTTAAAGAGTCAAATTATATTTTTAATTGTTTACTACAAGTCAGAGTGTCATTGTTTTACATTGTGGGGATCTTCACGACTTTTATTGTCCTTTATTCGATCCTCAAGTCTTGTCTAGGATGGCCTCGTTCCTGGATGTGGTCACTGATACATGACGTCATCAAACCAAGTCAACCGGAAGTAGGTGACGTATAAAAGTTTTGTGAACATTTTTATCTATCATAATTTTTGTTTGTAATTATCTTTAAATGAATTAAATAGTCAAATGATGTTTGAATTCCTGAGCTAGACGGCGCAAGTATTTTGCTGGGCTGCCTCATATACATGTGCCATCTGATATGTAGGTACCACCAGTGCGTCTTCATTAGCGTTCATTCCTGGAAGCAGGTTGTTGGGCCTGTTTGGATTGCAGTCATCTACGTTAACCAGGTGGCCTATGCAGTGTCGCTGGTTGCCGAAGGGTCGAAAATGGATGAAACGAGTGGTAAACTTCCTACTTTTGGATTTCATTTTTCTTCTTCTCAAATTTACGGCGCTTGTATTGTCAAAACTGTGCCAATATTTGATATTTGTTTTTTCTATTATTTGATGATTTGTTTCCCTAAAATGAAATTCATTTTTCATTTGAATGTACTTTTATAATATTGACGGAACGATAAGGAAATGTCTGTAATTGCGTATTTTGAATTTTGTTTGTTTGAATTTTACAGAATGTTTTAGCCTAAGTAAATTGAATGTTCGTCACTTGGTGGCCATCATTCTGTTTGCACTGGCTACCAATGTCCAGTACAAGACGTTTGCATATCTTGCCTCACTAAGGAGAAACAAAGCAGGTTATTTTATAGAGTTATAATTTATAAAAATATTAAAACATTTGGACATTATTAGATCAGATTAATTTATTAAAAATTTTTATTAATTCGCATTTCTTAGTTTGTGCAAAATTAGCGTGTCATTTGATTCACTTTTATACTGCCAATACTTGAAAATCCATCTTCCAATTGCAAACAGGTCATGTCGTCACCACAAACTACAAGCCACCGAACGCTGGAATGTTCCAACAGTTGAATCTTTCCTCTCCACACTACTTTGCAGAAATCGTAATTTATTTTGCCGTCTTGGTCGCCATGGGAACGAACTGCCTCACCTGGATGACCGTGACGTATTGTGTGGCGTGTCACATGACCTACCTCGCTTACGTAACTCATCAGTACTATTTGGACACATTTTCTAACGTTTACCCAAAACACAGAAATATAATCATTCCATTTCTTTTTTAACTGAATGAATTGTGTTCTTTAAAAAATTAAAATTTAATTTTCATTTGGCCCTAGAAGTAGCTGCGAAACTTATGAAATGATTTTTTAAGTGATTTTTCCGTCTACGTTTGATTGCATTTTTATTGTTTGCCATATAAATATGTTTGTTGTTGATTCATGGAAAAAACGCATGGAGACATTCGAAGTAAAAAAATTTAATTTCATGTTTCAATTTTAAAGTTGCATCAACTTTAAAGAGATTCTCAGCTGACGGGAATTTAATTAAAAATTGGTTTCATTAGAAAAATCAGCAGATGCAAACCTACGAAGAACAAAAATATGACTAATAATTTATTATTGTTTTTCATTACTACTGTTATTGTTATTCTGCTGCCACTTCAGATAATGCAGAAATAAGAATAATTCAAAATCTCCACCGCAATAACATAAATTAAAAATAAACCAAAAAATTAGAAAATTAAAAAATTAAAAAAAAAAGTAAAAAAAAATATAAAGACAAACAAAAAAAACGAAAAAGCATAAAAGATAGAAGCGACGAAAGCGGCAGAACTAGCGATTGAATGTATAAAATAATTGACCGTCGGAAAATAACGCGAAATTGCGCGTACGTGCGTACGTACGTTAAAATAAAGAACGTTGAAATGTACATAATGAATCATTTATGTAGATTCCTCGCGTACTAACATCTTAGATAAGCGTACAGACACGCACACGCACAGATTTGTATGTCGATATATATATATATATATATATATATATACATATATATATGTATGCCCAATAAGTGTATGTCAGCCTGATATATTCCAGTACGTCTGTGTTGTTTGCGTGGCTGGCGTGTGCATTGTGTATGTTGCTTTGTATGTGTTTGTGTGTGTGAGTGTGTGTGTGTGTGTGTGTGGTCTGTGTGTGTGTGTGTGTTATATTGTATATTTGAAGTATACAAATAATATTGAATTGAAAAAGCAGCAATGAGCAAGCAAAGACAAAATAAAATGGGCGAAAACCAAACGTTTGTTAATTTGTTCAATCTGTTTAAGATAATTTATTTTTCTTTGTCTTCTTTTGTTCCTTGTCTTTTTTTTATTTTTCATTCTAAAACAGAGTGAGCATGACTTCCTGTTATTCGTATTTTTATTTATTTTATTATTTTTATTATTTTTCATTCTGTTTTGGTTTAATTTTGAAATTCATTTTGGTAACAAACATCAAATGTAGCTAGATAAAACAACATTTGAATTGAGAGCAATAATTAAAGAAGCAATGGCGGAAGCAGAGCAGCTTAGAAAGACAAACGTATGAAAATCAATTTTATGAATGTCATCCGAACGGAGCTGCTCTGAAACGAGGAAATAGAAAGGACGAGTGAATTAAAAATAGAAAAAAAGAAGAAAACACCAACAGTTGATACAACGAGTGTTTGTATGTAAAAAAACATAATAACCACAAAAAATATATGGAGTAAACGGAGCGGACGCAAACAAAATTACGGAAAAACAATCCAGTTGAAACAAAAAGCATCAATAAAACAAAAGCCCACCTGAAAATCTGTATAACGTATAACATAATTATTCGCAACTTAAGATCTCAAAAATAATAAAAAAAAACCAACAAGGCCTGCCTGCCACACGACCCTCCACAACGTAAACAACGGCAATAACAATAAAAGCAATAAGAGACCCTGAAGAATACTGAAAATAATAGGAAGGACAGCAGCGAAAATAAACATAGAGGCACTAGAACACAACATCGCACGAGAGGATGAAGACAACACGCACACACGCACACACGAGCACACACGAGCACAACAACACACGTGCACAATAGCACAACGAGATGCTTTAAAACAGTAGCGATGTGATATGGCCACAGCTGATTTTAATACGAAATTATTGAGACTTGTGCGCGCTCAATGTCGCCAAGCTTAAGGTTGTTATGGTGCTTCACTCGCTGTCTCTCTCTCTTTTTTCTCTCTCTTCTCTCTCTTCTACCTCTCTCTTTCTCTCTCTCTCTTTCTCTCTCTCTCTCTTTCTCTGTGTTTTTTGTCCATGTACTTCTACGTGCTTTTATATTAGCGTGTGTGTGCTTAAATGCGTGTGCATATCTTAACTTTTCCGTGGATAATTGAGCGTTGTTTTGTTCGAAGTATTTTTTTCTTATTTGTTTGTGCAGCGTTCCAAGAATTTTAATTATTTGCATTAATTTGCCAGTCTGACCTGATGGTGATGGTGCATGAGATGTGCGCAAGAAAAGCATGTCCTTATTAAATTATTACATTCATTTCTTTTCATCTTCTGTTCAATCGACTTCAAATATTTTTCACTGTTCTCTTTAAAAATTTTGTATTTAATGTTCTTTCTTATGTACTTTGACATCAAGTTTAATATTTTCCACCAGATAATATACTTTCCAACACAAAATGACGAAACAAGAATATTTAAGCAAATTAGAGTGTAAGTGAAAAGCAGTAGCACTTGTACAGGCAGAGCCAGAAAGATAAACAGCCGTACACGAGAAAGCAAAGAGGCATATGTAAGTAGAAGAAGGCATACACCATCTTCACATACGTTCATAGATGCACGGAAAAGTAGCACAAGCAAGAAATTCGTACACATGTGCACACAGCATACTTATCGCTGAACGATTGAAAGCTCAAAGACGTTCAAATGCTTTACTGCTTTGAATTTGTTGTTGTCCTTCTTGCTGTTGTTGTCGTTGCTGTCTTTTAATGTTGTTGCTGCGGTCGGTTGCCATGTCTGTCGAGCCATCTTGTTTTCATCATTTATAGAATTCTGCAGTTTTTCATTTTCTTTTTAAACTTATCATTTGAACAGTTAAATAAGTTATACTGTACACCTATGTGTGACGTATATGTGTGCGTATATATATATATAAATGTATATATAAATGTATATATATATATATATATATCAATTCAAGTGCGTATATGTGTGTAAATGTATATATATATATATATATATATATATATATATATATATCAATTCAAGTGCGTATATGTGTGTAAATGTATATATATATATATATATATATATATATATATATATATATAAATGTATATATATATAATTACTCATTTACATTGTTTGTTTTGGTTTGTAATAAGAATCCTGTTTGAAACAGCCAGGTAATTAATGACACGAGGCAATGCGATAAGCTGAATTGCAGCCGAACCAATCAACCAACCAATCAACCAACCAACCAACCAGCCAACCAACCAACCAACCAATTAACCCTGTGAATGCATTTTAAAAATGACATCAACATAACCAACCATCCAACCAGCCAGCATCAGAACATCAGAGGCATAACTTAAGCATCCATGATCAGCATCGATTAACATAGTACTCCAGCAACAAATTGACGCACACTACATACAAACAACGCAACGACGTCATCATCGTCGTCATCATCGTCGTCATCATCGTGGTGGTGGAAAAGAAGAAGAATAGCAAGAAGAGCGACAACAAACACATATACATAGAGTGCGCCATACTAATTATAATTTATCGGGAACATAATATTGCAGAAGGATCGCCTGATCTCTTCCATGTATAAGCACGCTCTTACTCTCGCCTTCCATGCATTCATATACATGCGCACATTTTCGAACGTTTGTCTTGCCTGCCTGCCTGCCTGCCTGCATGCATGCATGCTTCTGTCTTTATGTTCAACTAAATATTTGTTTTTGCATCTTTCTTTTTCGCTCTCTCCCTCTCTCTCTTTTTCTCTCTCCTTATATCTCTTTTTCTTTCTTTCTTTCCTTCATCTATTTCTATCTTTTCTTTTTCTTTTAGTGTGTGTGTACATTTGTTTTTGTTTTGTTAATTTGTGTTAAATGCGTGTCATCAGACAACAAATTATCAACATTTTTTTGATTGAATACTTCGAAAAAATAATCAATTGGCCACTGAAAGATGGTGCAAATGCACATTACATCTATCGTATGTTGTCGTTGAATTTTGAGATATTATTTGTTCATGTTATCATTTCAAAGTTAATCAACTTCATTTTGAACCTTTACAATCTTTTAAAACCATCCTACATCTAACATTTTATTCTCTCTTTAAAAGACGTTTGTCATTAGATTTGCATAAGCTTAGCACAAATATTATATTTCTATTACAAATATTATGCTTAAATTAACCGAAGAAAATTTGGGATTGGCAGCATTTTCTTTTCTGCCTGTTTTTCAACAACCGCACTGTCAGATTATTTTCACAAGTTGCCCAGAACACCATTGATATTTTTGACTCTCACATTCACCATCCGTCCTATCTAGTTTTGGCAGGCTCGGGTTTGATTACTATTGAATAGCTCTCAAATCTGACTGGTTTTGTAAAATAAATAGGTAAAGGTTTCAATGTTTTTTGAAGTTAAAAATAAGCGTATATAAATAATTATATAAATCATATATTCATATCATATATATAAATGCTCAATGACACAGAAAGTATTAGAAAAACAGAAAATTCTGAAATGCAGCCCTGCCAGCAAGCAAGGAAGGGAGAGTTGTAATTTATTTTCAGACACGCAGACGACGATTTGTTACTGTGAAAAATTTCTTATCAGAACTTTTGCTTGAGAAAAATTGTTGGTGTCAGATCTTGAGAATTTCAGCTGAGTTTGAATCCAAACTTGGACTTGAAAGTTTTTTTTCAAAATATGTATAAGCCACATTAAACAAAAAATGGTTTTTTGTATCACAATGTATTTGAAATTTAATTATTACAACTGTTTGCATCTTTATGATAAGACTTTGATCACATCAAAAAACAAACTGTTCAAATAAAAAAACATACAAATCGTTTGCATCAGCATACAAACCGTTTCCACCAGCGTACATACTGTTCACATCAACAAACAAGTGGTTCACCTCAACAAATTGTTCCCGTTCACATTAACATACGAACTGTTCACGTGAAAACCACAATTTGTTTACCTACCAGAATTATCAATCTTTATTCGTGTACTCATTATTGTGATTTTAAGAACATTCATTTGCTTCTTATTTGCAACATAAATTTTTAATTGATCAAAATTTTTAAATGATCAACAAAACAAAAAAAAGAATTGGTGAACATTTACAACATTTGCAATTCATCTACAAAAAAGTTATACAAATCTTTTAAAGATTTGAAAACATCATCCACCAATAAATGTTAACAAGGCTTCTCAAAAAAATTCCCATAGGAAGCAGTTTTGGTGTTGAGAACCAAAAAGGAACGCTGTGCAGTGCCGTGTAGTGTAGCAGTTTTCATTTATAATCAATTCTTAAATGCATCTCGTTAAAGATGTACTGTGGAAATGGAGTGTGTGGTGAGTGGGGTGTGCAGTAAAGTGGTGTGTCTCAGTGTGTACTCAAATGCTTCAGCAAAGAAATGAAAAATATTGAGGAATACAAAATGGAAAGATCTTTTGGTCGCTTGAGCATTCACAAAACAAAATAATTTCAAACGCGATGAAACATCTTGTAAAAGTTAACATCCAGAAAATGTTCTCTGGTCTGATTGCTCGGCGTGGAAATTTCGGCAATACAACCCTAATGTAATTTATAATTTTCATTCTGCCTTAAAATTGCTACAAATTTTTGGCTCCGTCCGCCAAGAAAAAATCTCACAGCAATTCAAATAAATTAAAACAGTTGATGACAAACTAATCTACGCCAAGAATGCATCAAAATTTATTAAGACAAGCCCAAATGCATATATATCTATATTGTATACACATATACATATATATATACATATATATATACATACATATATACACACGTATATAAACACCTAATATGTATATATGAAGTATGTGTGTGTGTGTGTGTGCATGCACGGAGAGTCATATATCGTGGTGAGGTTGCAAGCGAGCAGTGGGTGAGTGGAGGTGCGTACAGACTTGCAGAACAAAATGCATTCGTGTCTTAATCGATTTTATTATCGCCATTGCATTCATTTCACTAGTCGCTAACAAATATTTTGCACGCGCGCGCGCGCACGCACACACACACATATATACATATATATATATATAATCATATATATATGTATATATGTATATATATTCTTATGCATATATATGTATATATATATGCATGTTGTGTGCACATAAATTGAAAGAAAAGGCAAGATAGAGAGTAGAATGGAGATGATGAGGAGGAGGAGTGAGAGGTAATGAATAAGGAGAAACATGAAAGCATTAAATGTGCGGAAAAATTTAAAGAGACATTCAAGCTCCACTCTGCGGCGTGGTATGTTTGTATGTTTACATATGTATATAAATATATATATATGTATGTATATATAAATATATAAATTTGCATATATATATGGTTGTATATATGCATACTATGTATGTATGTGTGTATGTATGTATGTATGCATGCATATTGTTATGTATGTGCATGAAGCTAAGTACGCATGGATGCTTTAATATACATGCATGGGTGTGTGTGTGTGTGTAAGTTAAGAGTGCTTCATTGCACATGTGTATATACACGTTAGTGACATGTGATGTGACCTTGTTTCGCAAATGATTGTGTGTTCAAGTGTGTACGCGCGTTTTTTGTGCACGTGTGTGCTCTTGTGTTGGTGTGCTTGTGTGAAAATATTAAGAGGCATATTATTTGTATGTAAATTAATATGGGTACAACTGTACAGCAAAGAACAAAGAATTGAAGAATAAAAATCAAATTTTTAATGCACAATGCATGGAACTGGTAGTTGTGCATTCTTGGAGCTCAACTGATAGCTATTTGGTGTTGCTGTCGTTAATCTGAGAACCATATTCATTCATCATTCATTCATTCGTTCGTTCGTTCGTTCAATTATTCATTTGTTCATTCATTCATTCTTTCATTCATTTTTTAATTTATTCATTCATTACTGGCTTGCAACCTTATAAGTGTCTGTGTGACATTAAATTGTTGTCGTTGTTACCGGTCCTGATGAGGATGATGAGGATAGAGAATGAAATTTGTTGAATTGAAGCAAGATGATTACAGTCTCGATGTGAGTGGGAGTTGGATGAAAAGTTGATGACATTCGAAGGATAAAATAATTATACCTCAATAACGAGTGATGATGATGACAAGAACGATGATGATGATGATGGTGATTTGATGTTTTGATGAAAGTGGAGCGATGACATCGACTTTGGCCAAAATCACTGTTTGTTTCTTTGTAGGCTGAGCGTCAAAACATTCAGGCAACATTCGCATACAATACAAACCCCTGGTTTAACATCATTAAAAATGTTTTCTATATATTTCCCATAAAAAGGCAAATTTGTGTTTTAAGCACGGACGTGTGTGTAATATTCACACATAGTTGAATATTATATATTCATATAATCGGTCATGAGTAAATAATATATATATATATACAGTATACTTAAATACATACATACATGTATATATATATATATATATATATATATATATATATATAATGGATGAAAGTTCATATATTTTTTTGTACAATACAAACATGTGCATAGTGTGCGTATACACCAGCGTATGCACATGCAAGCATGGAAATGTTCGCTGACGAACGCACAAAGAAGCAAAGACAAACACATATTTCATTTACACACGCACAGAGGCACACGGGCAGAGATGCACGCACACTCAGGCAGGCAGGCAGGCAGGCATCTACATAACACATAGTATATGCTCTCGGCATATGAGCGACAAGATTTCATGCGATTGCTTCTTTCTTTCGCTGTCTGTTCTGTCGAGATGATGATGACGATGACGACGACGACGATGACGTCGAAGATAATGACGACGACCGAGATGAAGATGACAACGATAACGATGAAAATGATGAAGATGATGAAGAGGAAGACGATGAAGAAGATGAAGAGGATGATGAAGAATATGAAGATGACAACGATAAAAATGAAAATGATGAAGAAGAAGATGATGAAGAAGATGAAGAGGATGATGAAGAATATTAAGATGAAGATGAAAACGATAAAAATGAAGATGATGAAAAAGAAGAGGAAGACGATGAAGATGATAATGAAAAAGATGAAGATGAAGACGATGAAAAAGATGAAGAGGATAATGAAGATGAAGATGAAAACGATAGCGATGAAGATGATGAAAATGAGGAAGATAGGATGAAGACGAGGAGAATGAGAATGGTGACGTAGATAAAATGGCGACGAAGATGACGACGGTGTAATGTATGGCTGCTTTGTTTCGATGATCATATTCAATAAATGGCATATTGCAAAGAAATGAAAATTGATACAAATTCATTTATGAACAGATTAAAAACTTCCATATCCTAAAACGTTGTGTAATAAAAATCGAATACACGTCTGAACGTGTGTGCGAGCCTACATGTGTAGATCAAGGCGAATAAACTAAAATCATAAAAACTGTCATTAAACTACGATATTTATTTAATTATTTGAATAAGCATGCATGCTTTCTTCAACACTCATTGATTAGCATCATAATCTCTCTCTCTCTCTCTCTCTCTCTCTCTCTCTCTCTCTCTCTCTCTCTCTCTCTCTCTCTCTCTCTCTGTTTCATACACACACGCGCGCGCGCGCGCACACACACGCACACACTCATATTTACGCTAAATTGATATACCTTGCACGCATTTAAGTATGGATCTAGGAGGAGAATGGAAAATCTTAAATTGAGGCATGTTTAACTGAAGTTGTTTCCGCTTGCAAGTTAACAAGCGAGCGTGCATGTTGTATAATATACACAATTACACGCGTACCTACACACATACATAAAATAGTATACACACACATAACAATAAGCAGACGCATAAACGCATATTCATGCATACATACACACGCATACAGGCAGACATATATGCTTGTATAAAGACGCGTATATTTATTTATGCATGCATGCAAACATAACCACAAATAAATTCCTTGAATGCACACATATTAACAGACATATGTTAGTCAGTGCATTTTTGTTTATTTTATGCACGAACATTTTCTAGATATTTTTGTAAACAAATATGAATATAAACATATAAATATATACTTTTGTAAATATATATATTATATATATATATATGTGGTAATATAAAAGTATATATATATATATATATATATATATATATATATATATATATGATATGTTATGTTGTTTATATGGACATATGTTATTTATATGAGCATGCATTTTTGCACGCTTGTATTATTTGATATGAATTGTATAAGGAGCATGTTCCCTCCGTTGTTTCCTCATGTACGGCTGTGTACGATGCGAACGAAGCTTTTGATACTTGTTTATTCATTATACATTATTCATTAGAAGAGAGATTGCCTGTAGATGTTGGCGGTTGTGGTGTTAAGTATTAAAGTCGTCCATCCGTTCGTTATCTCACATTCCTCACTTTATTGGCAGTAATCAGTTATCTCTTCAAACGTTCGTTCGTCTGTCTGTCTGTTTGTTTATCTCTTTGCTTATCTGTTCGTTTGTAGCTTGGTTTAAATTTTTTAACAATGAAAAAGATTTTTCTGAAAATATAAAAACTAATGGAGGTACAAGTTTAGGATTTTTATCAGACATTAAAAGTTTGGAATTTGACTTGAAAAATTTTATGAATTTATCGACTGGTTATTGGAAACCGCTCACTGCAAAAGGAAATCAGCTTACTGGTTTCACAATATTTCGTAACTGTTACAATGGACATAGATTCAGTGTTTGATCACAAAAGCCTGAACAGTGATATAAACATTAACATTAGCAATATTAACGACAACATCAACAGTCTCAACAACAACATAAACAACATCAGTTATAGCACTTCAAATGGAGTATCGTTCAACAGACATGACAACGATATTGATAAAATTTTCAACAAGAACGTCAGTACCGACAACAATAACAACAATATCGACAACAACAACATTTTCGTCAACAACATCAACAGCAACAATAAATTAAAATCCGAGAGCATGCAAACAACAAAATCAGAAACTTCAGCGCAATTCAACAAAGAAAACACAGTTGAAATAATGAGCCAAGAAGATCACCAAACAGCGAACTGTAGCGAAATTTTAAACAGTTTCAGCACACCAACAGCACTTAATAACAATTCAAACGACAACACTTCTCACGATAATTCATTCCTAGAAAACATGCCTATTTTGCAAAATTCAACTAGCGATAAGAATAAAAACGGCATTAAAAACGATAAAAGTATCGAAACAAAATCAAACAAGAGCAGTGAGAAAAAGAACAACAGCAGCAGTAGCAGTAGCGGTAGTAGTAGTAGTGGTAGTGGTGGTGGTTTAAGTCATTGCAGATCTTCTACAACGTCATCCACACACGTGACAAACAGCGTCAAAGATTCAACTTCAATGCCACCTCTGAACGTCTCAGAGAGTAGCACCTCGTCACATTGTCTGAAGTACTCACACAGCGCTGCCAACAGTTGCGAAACAAATCTTTTTAAAATGGGTGTCACCGGCGTTAACAATCAAAATAAAAACGACGAGGATGCAGCCAGTTTTAGTAACAACAACAACAATAACAACAATAACAACAACAACAATAACAACATCAACAACAACTTCACCAAAAGCAATGTTAACACTAACATTAACGATATTGGCGACGAGGACGTTAAACTTAGTAGCGGTTTAACAAACCAACGTAATTCTAAAGCCGGAGCATCATCATTATCAACCTCAGCTGCATCATCATCATCACCATCAACTTCATCATGTGTTTCATCATCAGCCTCACTACCACCACCATCAACAACATCATCATTTTTAACATCGGTTGGATCAACACTATCAGCATCAACAAAAACATCATCTTCATCAGCACTACCATCTGCAGCTGCAGCAACAACATCACAAGAAGGTTCTTTTTCAAGTTTCAATGACCTGATAACACAACTGACAAAATCAGATGAGCAGACGAACAAGAACGATCTCATCAAAAGCCGGGATAATTTGAATTTGAAGCAGGCCCTCAAGAGTTACATCGCTGCTGAAGATTTCTTTCAAACGGACAACGTAGCCAGCGCACATCAATCCAATGCCAACGACATTCAACAATTCAGACGCGATGAAACTGCAGGTCTGTGCGATCTTCAAAGTTTCAATTATAAATATAATAGAAATTACAATGTAAATAACAACAACGTGCTCGCTCCATCGTATAATTCATTTTTCGGAAACAAGATGTTCTCCAGCACTAACAATAAAATCAGCGCTGATGACAATTTGAGAGATGATGATGATGATGATGAGGTTGGCGGACATGCGCATGACAACAAACAAAAAAACATTCAAACAAATAATGGCGACAAAACAAATATTAATGCTAGCAGAATAGCGAAGAACGTTATTAAATACAACAATAGCGGGGAGAGTCAGAGTAATGACTCAGGCTCTCGTCCTGACTATCAATCTGTCCCGTTCAACAACTACAGCCATTACAACACTAATATCAGCAACAATGGCAATATCAATAATTGCAATCTTGATAATACCTCAAATACAAAATGCAGCCCATTTATGAGCAGCGGCGATGCGAAGGTGAATAATTGCAGGAACCAGCAGGATAACAGCAACAAAGGGCACTATGATGACTCGTCCGATACATCGAAAGACAGAGAATGCAGCACGTTCAACAGATCAACCGCTGAATGTAGTGAGCCAGCTGAAAGGAAACAATCCATCGAACACGTACAACCGAATCGAGGAAAGGAGTTCTCCAATCCTTCTCAGTCGGCCGTTTGTCAGGATGCCAACGTCCCTGCACTTCAAACTGCTGTTTTTAATGATGCTAATGATAACAAGGAGGAGGAGGAGGATGAAGACGATAGTAATTGGAAATATGTCGATGACTGTATATCGTGCGCAAGGACAACGATGACATGCGATTGGAAGAAAAGTTATGGAGATGCCTTGAAATCATCAAAAATAACGAAAACGGAATCAAGTCAGTTATAAAATTTTAAACAACATATTAAGAGCGTTTTCTGTGTGTTCTATTGATTTAATTGTTGAAACTTGAATTTAAACTAATTTGTTTAGGACCACCTGTTCCGTGGTTAATAAGATCAATGACGGAAAGCAACATTTACAAAAACAAAGGTCTGTTTCTGAACTTTCCTCTTTTTAAACACTTCATTTACAAAGTATATATTGATGTAGACAAAATTAACTTTGACATAAAATTGCAGATATATGTCCACAAAACGTGAATAGGAGAAAAAAATCAACTCCACAAAAAGCTGCATTTCACCTACAAAGTCAATTAGATGCTGACGGCACGCATTCCAAATCTTCATCTGCACATTCCATGCAAAGCGAGGCTAATGAATTCGTATTTCCTCAGACTTGCACAAAGACATCACCATCCTCGGCTCCACCATCAACCCCAGTTTCAAATGCTACAAAGTCGGAAACCAGATCAAGTAGTACTGCCACCCTCCCGAAATCGAGCAAACGAACTGTCGAGTCAACATCCTCTCCGCTACATTCCTGGCTCAATTCGAGAGGTTACAGGCAGTATTTAATGCATCGACATTTAACCATATAAATCAAATTTTAAACTATAAAAAAAATGGATGCAAGAATGAACTTTAGTTTGAAAAGTTTTTATTTTCAATTCAGGCTCAACACAGAGACAAGAATTTAACCAGATGGACAGTAACTGGCTGAATGCATATTATACAAATTTGTTCTTTTCATCACTGCCGCTGATGAGTTCGCATGCTGTCAATCCGTTTTTTTTACCTCCGTTTTTGCCATTCTCACAATATTTCAACAATTCATACAACTTTCTACCAAAGTTTCCGCAAGCATCAATTCCAATCACTCCAACCTCACTGTCATCTTCAAAAACAAATTCGCCGTTGAATAAATTTGGTTCTCCTGATATGTTGAGCAGTAAAATTGATGCACCACCTCTTTTGAAAGATGGGTTATTAAGTGGAGGCATCAGCAGAACTCCAGAAGAGAATTATCAATTTTCCATGTTGCCACCATTTTGGTTCGGCAATAACAACGGTGAAGCGACTTTAGACAAAGAAGCTAACAAACTGTCCAACACCCTAGCGACAAAACGCAAACATGCTCTCGGTAATGATTTTGCTGACAGTAACGTTGTCGGTTCAAGCAGCAATGCGTTAGACTTGTCGAAAAGCAATAACGGCCCGTCGAGTAATAGTAAAAAATCGAAAAAAATATCCCAAAGCCAAATGAGTAAACAAAATTCAAACGACCCTTCATATCATGGCTTATTCAATCAACAATCTTCAAGCAAGTTATTCAGCAACCAAAGTTACAATTATATGAAACAAAATTCATCAGATTTCAAAAAACCAGGCAAGCCAGTTTATGCTTCGTCATCCAAAAGTGATGATGCTGGATCAAATATGATAATGAACGGGAATTTTTCAAGCAAGCCTTCCTTTTGTCAAGGTTTGTTTCCTAACAACTCCGATTTGTCACCGCATCGCAACCAGAGCGAAAGATTTCCGGGCACTGAGTCAAGCTGGCTATCGAGTGACTTTCTTCTGCAACCTCCACTATTTTCGGCTCCAAGGTTCTTGAAATGGTCAGTCCAAGAATTAGCTGAATACGTAGCATCACTGGACGGTTGCGCAGAAACAGCCAGAGTAAGTGCATGTAGCTAAATTGATGTCTCGCTTTAAACGAAGGTTATCGCATTATCATAATTGCTTTCATTTTATGTTTTAAAACTTCTGTAGGCTCTCAAAAATAATGGAATAAGTGGGAGTCAATTGCCCTACTTGACACTGGACCATATGACACAGAACCTAGGTTTAAACATGGCTTCAGCTCAGAGTTTGATGACCATCGTCAGAAATCTTCTGTCCATTTCTTTTCCACCTGATGTCGGGATGTGATTTTTCACGTCCAACTAATATTGTTAATCTCTGTAATGTTATAAATACTATTTTGTTAAACTAATAAAACTGCAGTGGAAATGAACGACACGCTTGTGACGTTCTTTCCAAATTTAAACAATTCAAATTTATATCGTATCCATGTATGTATATTCTGTGCAATAAACATCCGTAGACGTTTTTATTGGTGAAAAAAAAATTTGATACAAAATTGTAAATAGCCATTAAACTATTCTGAAAGACGAACACCATGCCGTTAGAACACGCTGGTATAAGAAGACTCTTTCGACCCAACCTTTTCTTTCATAAAACATTCTAATGAATAATAATTGTCAGAAAACATTTTATATAAAAATAAATTAAACGGTATTCAATGTCCATAACAAAAAATTGAAAATTTTCAAATTAACCCATAATTATCAACACCTGAAAATAAATAAGCCGAATGAATTTAAGATAATGAAAGCATAAACCAAAAACTCTAGCAGTCTAACAACACTAAAATTAGATAAACTGATATGAAAATTATGTTAATATTGTTCAAGTTAATGACCATACGCCATATGTAATTCAGAAAAAATATCTTCATACAGTGCATTAGGAGCAACATCGTTAGCTGTTGCATTATTTATAGCCATTTAAAATGATCTATTAATGTACTTTACATATCTAATGATTGATTGAGGTTGAGACAGAATGTTGAACATGAAAACAAAACACTAGCAGGCACGTGAAACAAAAAACTAAAGTGAATCAAATGACCATGGATCATAAACCAACCATTAACGTCCCAATAATTTTTAAACATAGTTCCAGAGGAAACAAATTGCTACATTACAGTAAAATTAAAAGCGTTGTTATATATGTATATTGCTTAAAAAAGAATAAAATTTGTAACAGAAACATTTATCAGAAGCATCAAAAACCCAAATCACTTATTTGTTTCGAGATCCTAATTGCTTGCAACAATTCATCCAAAATTTACAATAAAGCGAAAATGTGTAAGTGGTAAAGCATGTATGCGTATTTTTATGTGTTCGACAAAAGTATATTTAAGTGTACACACACACACATATACTTTAATACATATGTATAAGTAATGTATTTATATAGATATATGTATGTGTGTATTCTTGCGATTCGATCTGAATAAAAATGTGATGGACGCGTGCACAATAAGTATTCACAACATAATATATAAACAGTGTATTAATACATTCATGCACAAATAACTTTGTATCTCCACATATTCATCTGCACGTGTTGATGAAAGTTGGATCATCCAAGTTACAGGAAATCTTGTAATGAATCGACCTAAGCCCGCCTTTTATGGAAGTGCATCATCAGTGTGTGCTCGGGCAGGCAGGAGTCTCCCATCCCACCTCCATCCATAACTGCTAACACATACTTTAAAGTATTTATTGAATCAAATGACATTTCTTCATATTATAATTAAACGATATATATATTATAGCTCCAAAAGAAACAATGTGTGTAACACACATTATATATTTATGAACAGAACACATTGAGTTACATATTTACACAATTAGAATATAATTACATTAACACCATCCATCCATCATCATTGTTGGAAGATGCAAGCATGAACTTTTCAAAGTGAGGAGGAACTAATCTTCAATTTAAAAAATTTAAAACAACCATTATAAGAGGATATCCATTACAGCCAATAAAAAATAAAGAATTTTAAAAACGCACTAAAATCTACTACTTTCATTGCTTTAAAACAAAACGTACAAAAAATAGCTATCAATCAACCAAAAACATTTAATAAGAAAAAAAAAACTTTAAAAAAATTGAAAAACGTAGAAATAAATTACGAATTGTTGGTTCACACATCACTTATATGCAGACAAACACACATATACTAAAATTATATAAACAAACAAACAAACACACACACACACACACACACACATATATATATATAATTTATAAACACATATCCGTCAAAATACATACACGGTATATGCATGCACGTGTATGCTCTTGTGAAATTCAAAAATCATGTCTATGAACTTAAATGTGAATGACTGAATAATCTACATATCGAAATTCCATTAAAAAGTTAATTCATAACCATATAATCTAGGCTGAATACAAATTTACAGTTGGTTGGTTATTCAGTGATTAAATACATTCAACTACATTCCAGGTGAGTTTAACGAATTGAATAAATGCATTCGTACGATGAAAATCATAAAGACCATTAACATTTATGCCTTTTTTCAAACAAAAGTATCAAATAATATCTTGTAAAACCTGAAAATAAAATAATAAAATAGCAAAAATGTTATTTAATTTATAAATTGAGTTTTAAGTCTAAAAAGAAATCTGAACATTTGATCAGATACTTTAAGCTGGCTTTACAATATTTTAGTAAAGAGTTGTAGCAAATAGTACAACACAAAAAAAATTTTTAAATGTTTATTAACCAAAATGAAACTTAACAAATTTAACGAAGTTGAAAATATGGTCGAGATTAACGAAGAAATGAAAATAAAAAAATGATTCCCCATTCATTCTAAGTTGTAAAAACGATTAACTCACATTCACGTTACACACACATTCGCACATTATTGTCATTTCAGAAAATTGAAAACCAACTAAAATAGTAACAGTCACAATCAACATCCTCACCATCATCATAACATTTTCTGGACATTATAACCATCATCATTATCCTGCTAACTCAGCACAGGCAAACCCTACATCAAAGTTAACCATTTATCGATTGGTTTGAATCAATAAATAAATAAATCAATCAATCAGTCAGTCAATCAGTCAATGAAATTTCGTCTATCAACACATTCAACAAATAATTTCAACCGCTAGATAATAACATTTTTTCTTAAATAAAATCAATCAATCAATCAACATAGACCATGCAATTAAATAATAACATTGGCAATAAATTAATCACGACACATCAATGAATTATTATTCATACGACCAACTCAACACCATTGCGAACAATCAACCATCCATATATCCATCCATCCATCCATCCATCAATCAATCAATCAAACATTAACTAATATGCTCACTCATTCATTCATTTCTCCTCCTTCTCTTTGATCTTCGTGCAATCTGCAGCCTTGTGACCAGTCTGTCCACAATTATAACACTTCATAGGGTCTGCCTTGTTGAAACAATTCCTCGCTATGTGGCCCTTTTTGTTGCACCTATTTAGGAAATCAATAAAAATCAACATTAGTAGTTAAAAGGTGTAGAGGTATTTATAAGAATCAAGTAATGAGGCATTACTTGATTACATCAGAGGCATTGGATGTTGTTCAGGCAGTAGAGGCATGTATACATTCAAATATCATTAATTCATAATCAGTTGGTTTAATTTTTTCAAATTCTTTTGGTTTGAATGTACACATTCAAATATCATTAATTTATAACCAGTTGGTTTAATTTTTTCAAATTCTTTTGGTTTGAATTTTTATTTCCCTCTGTTTTATATAATCCTACCATCAGTACTTGGACCTGGGACATATAAGTAATATTACAACTTACACCTAACCTTCACCCAGGTCCTTTTCATATGATTTTTACTTTATAATTCTAATTCACTTTGTTTCAAACAAATTTACTAAACCATACAACAATACAACATACAAAAGCTATTCATTACAAACAAGCTTTCAGTTTGTTACTGTTGCCAAAATAACGTCTCCATAACAACCAGTGCCGAGCGACATCACAGTTAACAACATTTAATTGCAAAAACAATTATACAAGCAACAAGCAGTATAAGAGAATACATAGAACGAACTTGTAGCAAACGATAGGAGCCTCATCCTCATAATCACCCTCTCCAGCATTGGGACAGTTGAATGATAGGTGGCCCTTCATCCCACAACTGTAACATTCACGCGTTTCCTCTTTGGTCTCTGTACAATCACGAGCCAGATGACCTTTCTGTCCACACTGGTAACATTCTCTGGCATCTCCTGCTGTACAGTCCCTCTGCAAGTGCCCTGGCTGGCCACAATTGTAACAGGAATCTGCTGGGCACAAGTACATATGTAGGCATAATATGCATTTACAAACAAATTTACACAATCAGTTTGAATAGACCAGTGCTTGATAAATAATTGCTTTAATAAGTTGAAAATGCTACAAAAGAAAGATGAATGACCATTTTTAAAAGTATTGAGCAAAAATATTGCGTAAATTATGAAAGGAAATTATTTTTTCTTGGGAAACTGTCAAAGCATAAAAATAGTTGCATGTTTTTAATATTTAGTTAAAAGAGAAAAATATTTAAAATTGACAGCACAGCAATTCACATACAAAAGCAGAACTGAATGGAAATAATGGAGTTATAACAAATGAACAGATAAATCAAACCAGCTTCCTGAGGTTGGTTGCAATCCTTGGCAATGTGCCCAAGTTGGTTGCATTTGTAGCATCTTTCTTGCTCCTCTCTGCAGTCTCGAGCATAATGTCCAACTCTGTTGCACTTGAAGCACCTTTCGGCTGTTCATTAAGTCGGTCATCAAATAATTGAATAAGATTAAAATGATTTTCTAATGCAGAATATAAATTTAGTAAATAGATGTTTCCCTAAGACCATTCTTGACAAAGCTTTGTATTTCCTGATTTAATTTTTTTATAATAAATGTAAAAGCAAAAATATTAAACAAATAATTAATTTGAGTAAGAATTGTTAAAAAATGAAAATGATGTCAGACAATTTTCTTACTGATTCTATAACCTCCCCTGCCTCTACCACCACCACCACCACCACCACCCTGGTAGCCTCTTCCTCTTCCACCTCTGGAGATGACCCGACCACCCTTCGACCAGCAGTCACGAGCAAAATGACCGGGCTTGCCACAATTGTAACACGAATCCTTATCTGCCATGTCTCTACACACACTTCTTCCAATCTCCAACTTTTAAAAACAAATTACAACAAGTTGTTTTAATATTACAATCAATTTAGCACATTTCCAATTTACCTCATTAAATAAACGTTATAACTTAAACTTAACATTCAACAAGTTTTTAATTGTACATAAAATCATAATGAGATTTAATAACACAAGCAATGTTAAAAATAATTTAAACAATTTATATATAATATACATAGACACTGATCTAAATTAGAACATAATTTGTAAATTCAATATTTGCATAGTTCCTAGATAAAATACTATTTATTTAAAAGTTTATAACAACAAATCAAAAACAGAACAATCATGAAAAATATGCCATTAAGCTCCATCCACTTTTTTGACTGTTACAAACTCTAACCCTAACTAACATGTTTTATTCATTTTTTACTGACAAATCTATTTATAAAGTTTATACAAATATATATGATATATAAAAGCAAACATATCAATGTTAAAACAAAAAATAGACAGAGTTAAGGCATATTGTTCATGATTACCCAAAAGCAGTACTCCTCATATAATAAAAATAGGTTGCTCGGATGCATTAGTTGTTTGAATTTAAAATATAAGACCATATTATAAATAAACAAACATTATCGTTGTTGTGATCCCTTTTGTGATTTGATACTATTATATTACCTAATTTAAATTTGTCTAAAAAAACAAACATTTTCCTAACTCTAACTAATAACCTTTATTACACAGCCTAACCAACCCATAATTATTAATAAATATTGTTACAAACTTAAGACTATTTATTTCACAAAATCATTCAACGTAATTTTAATTTTAATACAATTTTTATTTTTACAAAACAGCTTAAAACTGAACCTTCTTAATGTTGAACATAAATTTTGGCTAGCTTTGCTTTTCCTAAGTCCACTAAGTCTAAGTCTAAGTGATATGTCTCGTGCTTGTCTTATTAAAATATTAAATAAAAGTAATTAAAAAATAATTAGTTTCACTAATTTTCTGAATGTTTTTAGTTATTTTCAGTTACTAATCAAACGAGTGTTTTATTATATTTTTTCAGTTTTTTTATTATATGTCAAATTTCATTACTCAAATTAATTAATTAAAGCAAGCGCCTAAACTAATTTATTTAACAAATGCGAAAAAGAGGAAAGGAAACCTCATGTCATAGTCAGATGGGAAAGAAGCCAGTAACTGATTTTTACCGAAACAGAAATAAAAAAATTGAAAACAAAATGCAGAAACAAAATAACCTGAAAACTCTTGGCAGGACACGGCTGTTGTTTGGACTTAACTCAAAATAAAATTAAAACGATCGATCAAATCAAACAAACTCGCAACAACCGAGGTAGCACGAAAGGATTCCTACTACACCGGTTAAACTAATGACCAAAATATATTTTTAGTGTTTTATTCTATATGTATAAATGTTTAAACGTATAAATTATAAAACCACAAAAACCAACCATAGCTTAAAAATAGATATTTGATATTTTAATATTTATTTAAATATTTTGTTCATATATATATATTTGATATACATGATAAAATTAAATTTACATATACACTTGTTCGTACATACATGATCGAACAGCTTGTAAAGCAAACTTTCCAAAGATATGGGTCTTGAGATCCGCTCTGTAATTCGCAAGTGATGGCGAAGTAGTTAAGAGAAGGAGGTGCTGTTCCTCCACACGCACACACAAACGTGAAAACTGGCATACAAAAAATAAACACACATACACACACACTTACATACACTCACATACGTACCTACATACCTTCTAAACAAAAAAAGAACTCAAAAGTACGTAGAGAGTTTCAGAAAAAAGGGCCAGTAAAAGCAAACGCAGATTTAGCAAGTGTTAAGAGAAAGTTAAAAAAAAGTGAAAACAAGAAGACGATCGTAAACCGGTGCGTTTAGGTTCAATTAATACATCTGATAAGTACTTAGGAAATAATTTAGATTGAGACTTGCACATTAATGTGCAGATTTTTGAAATTATTCTATATTTTATAGGTAGCCAGTGCAAGAAAACAAGATATAAAGATAGATGAGAAAAGAAATCAGAAATTTCAAAGGATACCATTACATTATCCAAGAAAGTTGTACGAACACAAAAACGAATGTTTATGTGGGCCTAATCAAAAAAATCCATGGTTGTTCAACACATTGTAAGTTCAATTTTAGATTATTTCTATATTTTTTGCATCTTGCAATACATTATTTATAAAAATTCGGTATAAAAAAAGGTAAATTATATTGATGGAACAAACTTAAAAATTAGTTTGGTAACATTTTTCACAGATAGTAACTTCATGTATAGGAAGTCAGTAAGAAATGATTGTGTTAGTGTAAACTTCGGTTCATCTGACTTATTAGATATAATTAACAATTTACTCTGATTTAAATTAAGCAGGTGAACGAAAATATAAAAAATGGCACAATAATTTCAACATTAAAATGTACACGAATATCACAAGGTAGAATTTTTAATAAGGCGTGACCAAATGAACAAAACACGCATTTAAAGCTCATCGCTTCCCACCACTTAAAATTTTTCTCGTTTTAACATGTAAAACCGTTTTTACAGGTTGTAAAACGATTTGCAAAAAAGCCTCATTAACTTGATAGTGAAAAACTAATTTCATGAAATGATTAATAAATTAAACTCATAAACAAATACAACGTATCACTCATCATACATGCCTATGAAATATTTACAATGAACTACTGTTTATTGAAGAAATTTCCAAACAGTAACGCAAGTAAATAAACGGTGTGCAAAACTGAAATTTATGTACAAAAATATATTTAGTTATATTTAAGTACGTGCATTTAATTACAAAATATATAAAATCAAGATTAAAGTTTCACTGTCTTTATGTAAATTGAACTCGTCTTCGAACCGAAAGAACAAATGGCATCAAACAGTGATCACTGACGAAAACTGTTTGAAATAAGCACCCTTGATATTTTCCACAAGGTCACAAAGTTTGACCGCTGGTCCCAGTTTGGGTTCGATGGTGAATTGAACAGTAGGTAAGTCTAACAAAAGCAATGACCTTCCGTCGATTTCCTACAAAGAAAAATATTTTGGAAACGTTAACAATTGACTAATAAATAATGCATTGGCAGCGTTCTGTAAAAATGACGTCAGTGAAATAACTTATATGTAGACAAATAATGCGCATGCAAATCTTCACTCAATTCCAACTACTCCTTTTAAATATTCTTTAGTTAGACTTCTTCAAAAATAACACGGTTGTAAGGTTGTATTTAATACCGGATTATCCGTTAAAATTTCAAATATTAACACTAAAAATTTTTTCTATAAAATTCAAAGATCAACTTACATAAAAACGAACAACACCCTTGCTATTACGACTAACTCATTCTAAACTCTGATAAAGTAACTCAAATAAAAAAAACTCTCTTAACCTTTCTCATGCCAGCTCAATGTTGATGAAATACTTTGGCGATCTCAACTGCATTATACCTCCGTCTCGTTCAGCAATTTAATATAATTTTATTAAAACAATTCTTTAATTTCCAACAAAAAAAAAACTCAGAACATTTCTAAAACTAAACATCCAGCCTTCTAAACATGTCTTCAAATTTAGGCTCAGTTTTTAATTGCAGACAAATGAAGATGCCACTACTGAATACACCATCCACAACACCAAAATCTATCTTGTAATGGATGTATTTTTTATGTAGGAAAATTTTCATACAAAATGAAATAAAAAAACAAGCCTACCTGTTCTTTGAATATGCGAGCAAATTTAGAGCAATCAGTGGTTTTGATGTATTCAACAACATCCATTACATCCCATTTCTCTGGATTAGTCAACAACTTCAAAGAAGAGTCTTTTTGTTTGTTTGTACTCCTAACAATATTTTCAGAGGCGTTGGTCTTGCTGGAAGTCTTCAGGATATCATGATTGATCTGTTTAATAATTATCTGTGGCTTCGCAGTTACTTCTTTGTTATTATATTGGTTGAGAACAGATTTGTTTTGATTATTTGTACTCTTGCCATTAATACCATAAGTTGAATCTTTAATGAATGAAGTTTCGTTCTGACGAGAATGATGAAATGATGTTGCAGTAGAAGTTGATGTTGTCGTTGGTGCTGTTGTTGGTGTCACTGCTGTTGTGCATGTGGCAAGTGGAGGCGATGCCTTTGAAGGAAATTGTTTTGCAATGGTAGGAGGTGTCTGAAATTGAGTTAAAAACGTGTGCTACAATCAAGTACAAATAATAATAGTAATATAACATAAGAGCATTTGCATCATCATCGATGTTTAAAAATAAGATATAGTAATTAGTTACCTTAATACATATTTTTTTGTTGTCTGTAGACAGCGTCAGTTTCAGACCATCACTCTTGTTGTTGCCTTGTTCAACTTCCCTCGCAGTTCCCTCGATGTGGCTGGTCTTCACGTTATTTTGAACGTTTGAATCGACAGGCAGGCTAATGTTTCTGACGTCGTGGGCAGTTGAAGCAGGTGGGGTGGGCGGGATGATGTAAATTTTTTTGTGAGTCTTCTTCTCAAATGAATAACTCTTCTTGTTTCTAGTTTTCACATCATAATTTTTTACTTCATTTTTCTTCCTTTTCAACTTTCTCTCATCCAGCCAATCTCCATCATCAATGAAAGTAGACTTCTTGCTTCTTTTTCTCTGACTTCTACCAGCCCAACTAGCTGCTGACGACGACCTGCTGTCTTCATCAACACCCATCTCTCCATCAACGCTGACGTCGTCACTACGATCGCCACAGCTACTCTCTACATCCCCTCCACACACGATGTAACTTCTATCCTCTCCTATCTGTTCTTGATTAAAAATCAATTTGATCTTCCTGAGAATTTCTTTAGGCTTCTTGGTAGTCTCATCAACATCGCTTTCTTTCATCTTTATATCAGGCATGGTCTTTATATTTAAAATCAATTTCTTGATGTTCTTATCAGGAGGGCTAGTGGCGGCTGTGAGGTTTGTTGGCTTTTGTTCTTCTTTACAACTGGAATTTAAATTGCTTAATGAAGCATTGCATTCGGTTGCAGTATCTTCTGAAGCGATAGTATAAAGGCTTTTATTTTGAGTAGCTGTATTGCCGTTGTAACCATCATCTAAACACTCTTCCTTATTTACAACCCTACCGGACGGAACATCGACGTCATAACTTCCTGCTCCTGGGACAAAATGTGTCATCTTTCTCCTGGTTCCGTGTTTCTTTCTCAATGTGAGACCCACCTTTCTGTGTTTCATCTTTATTGGTTTGACTTCCTTCGTTCCTGCATCTGAATTGTCCTGACTCATCGCGGACCCTTCAATGTTTGAGTGGCCCCCACGGGGACGACCAATTTTTCTTTTCTTCTCGCCAAAATGATGGTCTGCAAGATCAACCACACTTATCATAAGTCAATTAAACACCAAACAGTTTTCTTATAAATAAAAATAATTAAATAAATGCATAATAAACTTTAGACTAAAAATAATTTTAAAATATTTGAATTTACAATGTTTGGATCTTGCAAGTTTAAGACAGTTTTCAGGACATGTAAGTGGGTAGAGATGAGTAGAAATTAGATTGGGGCAACACAGCAGACGCCTACAAACGTCTCGACAGTAGGAATCAATCTGAAATTTTTTGGAAGACTTTAAGGATGCAATGTGTGATAATTTGATTTGTAAATTAATGAAGGACAGAGAAGAATCTCTATCTCACCTGATTACTGCGCATGCAAATATCAACAGTGGCACTGTAGTTCTTCATTTTATACCTGAGGAAAAAAGAATACTTAAAATTTAAGACTAATGATCAAAATGCCTAAACAGAATGTTTGAAAGAATTAAAAAAAAAGTTGAACAACTAAATGACAATATGACAGACCTGGTTCTCAGCACTTGGTGATGCATGTTCGACTTTGCGGGTCCTTCCAATTGCAATTCGCGCAGGACACGACTCGATTTATAAGCACAGCCAATCAGCTTTGTGAGAACTGTGATCATGACGTTGATCTGTCGACGTTTAAACGTCACATTAATATATTCAATTTAATTTATTCACCAACTTCATTTCAAAGTTAAAGGTTTGCTGTCGATTGAAATACCAAAAAAAGAAAAAAATACTGACTACTGGTCCTGGTCCGACAGATTTTGGAAGGACATTCAGGCGGCTTTTATGAAGGTATGGTCCACTGTAACATGTGGTGTTGAAGTAAATCTTTGAACACCAACTACTGCAGTCTAATCACAAATTTAAAAAGATTAAATTATGAATCAACACTCCAAACACAAATTATGGATTAAATTATTCACTCTTAAGCAAACAAAAAATTAAAAACTGCATTCAATTTAAATAAATTTTAATTCTAAATAGTCGATAAAGAAAAAGTGAAAAATCAAACTTTTCGTTTCTGCAGAAACATTGCTGTAAATGAAGAAAGTTAGCATTTTAAAAACTGCATTGGCCCAATAAAAACATATTAATGATGAGTAATATAAAGATCATGTTATAGATCACAATAAACTTGAAGACATTTTTCAAAATCATTTGAAAAAATATATAAGATGAATATCTCATTTAAAAAAACATTTAAGAAAAATAAGAAATTTTTAAAAGAGTAAATTACCAACCCACATCAAAAATAATTAAGCACAACTATGGAAACACAGAAAATTGAGTGACAGAAATTCAAAAACACCACAGGACAACAACACAAAAATATACAACAAAACAAAAAAGAAAGAAAAACGACTTACTGGTAACCTTCCAATTCGTTCTTGAAAGAACTTTCCGAGTTGACATCCTTGCTGGGTAGCGTCTTCCTTGTGGGAGCCTTCAGTGGGTAGTTGTTGCTCTCACACCAACCTATTGGGAATATCTCATGCGAGTCCCAGGGTAAGATCTGTGAAATATTTGCGTTAACATTACTAATTCTTTGCACTTGACAGGCTAATTCTTATTGATTGTCAGATGCAGTGGGTTAGGGTTAATTGATGTACAGTGGTTCTTCGATATTTGACCTTAATGCGTTTCTGATGTTTGGATCTATAACAAACTGACAAGTCAGCCATATTCCAAACCATTATTTTCTGACATTCATACTACGTTTGCTTCTTAACTATATATATTCATGTAAGTCCTCAGTGTTATGAAATATGATGATTTAATGTACAATTTGTGGCACATGTTGTATACAATACATATGAAGTAAGCAGCATTAAACATGCAGGTGTCATGTGAAGTTGTCTTATGCTATCATGCACCAATTCATCTTGTTCCCTTGCTTGTACATTGACAAAATTTTGAATATCGAACTACATTCCAGACAAGTCGCATTCTGAATTGCAGGTACACCGCAAAGAAGTCTTACACCAAAGTACCACTGTACACATTCGGCAATCAAACTGAAAGTTCATATGCGAGACAAACCCTGGCAACGGAGGGAGTGTGATCCAGCTTGATGGAGAGCAGGTGACATTTGACCTTATCAATGGTAGCTGCACAGAGCTGGTTGTTTTTGTTTGGGTTGACCACTTCCAACTTCATGCCTTCTTCAAATCTCAAATCCTCTTCCACTGGCTGCAAATTCATCATCAGAAAATCAAATATTTTAATGAATTATTTGCAAATAATTTTTCAGAAATTTGTTATTAAATACATTGCGTAGATGATTAAAGTTTATTTATTATTCCCTTCACAAATAAAAAATAAATTCTTAAATAAGAGACAAAATAACTGAATGAAGAGCTTACTTGGAAGAAACAATCAGGAGATGCAGGTGTGCCTGCAATTTGTTGCAAGTAGTCATCCCAATCAAACTCTCCACTTTTTGGCTGGTAACCTGGTTGTAAGAAATTTGTCAGTCAGCATCATTTTAATACGACAAATATCTCAGTGTGTCTGCTACCATAAAAATCAGTGCAATCATTATCCACGCCATGATTGCAGCACAAAAGAAATAATAACTATACTGATTCAAGTAGCCAGTAAACAGAAAACGACTGACCAGGGATAGGTTGCAGCTTGAATCCATTCTCCTTGCACCAATTCATTGGAAAGATGTTGGTAGATGCAAAGTGGCAACATTTAACTTTTGGCAAGCTGGATTTTGAACACTTGGTTGAAGTATTGACTGACAATGGTGGTGACAATGAAGCCGATGATGACAAATGATTTGTTGGAGGAGCATCATTTGATGACGAAGATGCCACGTTTTCCTGAGATTCTGCAGCATCTGCCTTCTTCGATGAAAATGATGACGACGACGAAGAAGATGACAAAGACGACCCAGAATCTATTTGTGACTGCTGTGTCAAAGCAGCTTGATCCTCAGAAATTTCCATCTTAACATCATGAAGGACATCAGAACGGGCGTCAGTTGTAGCAGATACCTCAAACACATCAGACTGAATGATGAAATAGTTTTTATTGACAACTTGAGCCACGTGAGCCACATGGAAGGTCGAGCTTTCCTCATCAAGCATCTCCAACCTCCAGCCTTCCTCGAACCCATGCTCCTCTATTGCATCCTGGTCCTGTTACAAATATTTCATTATCATATCCAAGTATAAAAATAATTTACTATAAAACGTGAACAAATTCTAAAACAGTTCAAGAATTAATTCATTTCAAAATTTTAGCGTCATTATTAATATCATTTTGATTCTTTTCCATTAATTTTTACTACCTTGAAAAAGAGGAGAATTTAATAAAAGTTGTCAAAATTAGTGATAAAAATATGAATGTTCAGTAAGAGAATAATTCGAAAGAAAACAAGGCAAGCAAAAATCCGGCTTCAAAGAAACATTGGATTAATTGTTAATGGAGATTGAAAAAAATAGGATTGTTAAACAACTGTCTTTGAGAAAGAAACAGCAAACAACAATTCATTTGAATTTATGCATAATGGTGACGTTTTTAGTATAGAATTAGAATGAGACAAACGAATAAAATTAGGACCTTGAAAACATCCAATGGCGAGCACTTGTTGAGAGCCACTTTGTAACATTCCTCCTGCTCATGCAACCAGTTGGTGGTTGGGTACTTGTCAATCAAATCTAAGGAGGCGAACGAGTTTCATTTTATTGTTAAGTCAATGATAGTCGAAGCGACACAAAATATGTCAATTGTGCATATAGATACACATACGCTTACCAACTATATGTTTAATTATAAAGCAATGACAACAATTCCAATATCTTAATATGATGATAATTCTTTGAAAATAATCATCACCTTCAGATATCAAAATCATTAAAAAACGCGGTTGTTAATAAAAGTAAATTAAAATAATAAACATAATCTAATTAAACTTATTAACTAAAGCATATGCCAAAACAAAATTAAGAAAATAATTTAACATTTAGGTGGGGCGAACATTCGACCATTGTTGCCGTCATCACTCCTGCACCAGCCAATCGGATGTAATCGAAGATCAGTGTAAAACAACCAAAAGTCATTATCGTGATCGTGGTCGCAGCTGTAGTGCAGAAGCAGGCGACCCCCGAGGTTCTGAACCACCTGAACAAACCAGATGCTGAGAGGCTCCAACTGGTGCTGAACTTCAAAGTACATTCCTATCTCAATCTGGTCAAATGGCAGGTAGCCTGTTTTCTGTAAGAAAATATATTAAGTAAATATAATAAAAGATTGAAGCAAATTAAATTTTAAACAAACATGATGATACATTTATAAAAAAAATTTAACGTTTACATTGAATGAAAAAATTTTTCTAACCTGTTCAAGCATTTGCAGAGAAGGAGTTTGAGATTCATTAACAAGTTTTTCTAACAATGGCTGATAATCTTTAGGTATTTTGTCTATCAAATCTGACAGCGGTCACAAATGATTTATAAATACTTGAAACTAAACCAATAACAAGAAAGCAAACACTAAACATTTAGTATCGTTAAAAAGAAGACAAATATTAAAATAATAACAAATTTTTATTATTAACAATACATAATGGTAATTTTTTTTCATTGCATCAACCAAAAAAACTATCAACAACACACCCACGGTGTGTATGAATATGCACGGATCCATGCATCATGCACGTTTCATGTGACAGGAGAGGGTCCCTCCCTAACTCTCTAAATATATATTTATATATCTCTCTAACAACCAAGTCAGGTCACTGCAAGATAGAACCAAGCACCTGCCCAACCATTACACTATTTGTCACCTCTTGCATTGATAAGAAATCTTTGAAATTTCTCAATGGCAGAGACAGACATTACAATAATTTTGAAATGTTGGTTGAGCAGAAAAAAGAAAAGCCGTTAATAAAATGATTAAATATGTATAAAAAACATGAGCAAACTGACCAGCAGGCGGTGCAAGTACATTTCCAGTGTTACGACACCAACCAGTTTGTTTGACGTCGCACGTTGACATGTCACACCAGAAGTTAAAAGATGAGTCATCATCATTGCAACAAGCTGGTTTCAGCATTAGCAGCTGTCCACACGACATCACAATTATAGAAACCCAAAAGGTTCCAGCAGGGTTTTTGTTTGCTACTTCTACAACCATACCTTTCTTCAAGCCATTTTGCAAGCTGCATTCAACCTGTTGAATAATGCGTGCAATGAACCATGTATGTGTGTGTGTATGTGCATGTGCGTTTATGTACGAACGTGAAGAAGTGCAAGCACCAATTCCCGAAATAAAAAAATATATATACTAAAATGAAAAATTAACTTCAAATGCTAAAATTATTTAGAGTAAAAAATAAAAACAGTTGTGCCTAAATGAAAAGTTAGCACATAGAAGAAGACAAAAGGGTGTAGTAAATCAAGTTTGATTTTTTCAGCTTACTGAAGTAAATGAAATATCTCCTCTCAAAATTTTTTCCATTCCTATTCCAAAGTATCTTAGCAATCTAACACGAGTTAACAATAATAACGATGGAAGCATTAACTCAATGTGGAGCACACAGGTGTACGTCATTTATAGGTCAACTAAACTATTGGAGAAAGTGTGATTCCATAGTAAATAGAATGTTTTAATGTGCTTCATAGTTTTAAATTTTTTTTTTTAATTAGTGGAGACAATGTTGAACATATAGAAAAAGTTGTAAAAACTCACAAATGTCGTTATTTTTTTAAAAAAAGCAGTGTTATTGTGAGATCTGATTGCATAACATTTATTTTAGAAATAAATTATTGAATGCATAAAAATCTAATGACATTAATTTAACCAATTAGAAGGAAAAATTGAAATTACATGTTTGAATAAAGCAGATGGAGCAGCAATTGCCTGGCAAGATTCCAAATAATCGTCCCATACAAATTTTGTGTCATCTGCATCAAAGCTTTTTTCTAAAAATAAATGACTTAATTTTAATTTATCTGTGAAAAAATTTTAATGACACAAAATATATTATTTTAAAACCTGGAGAAAAAGTAGGACTAATGGGACCATCCCTTCCAAAATTAAAGTCAATGTCATAACAGTCTTCGACTTTAGGGCGTGTTGGTTTTTGAGGAGTTAATACAACAGGTAGGCTCTTTTTCTTAATTTTTGCTGATGGTTCTACAACTTGCTGCTGTTTACTTTCGTTCTCCATAGTAACAACTGAATCATTGAAATTAGTTTCTTTTACAGTGGCAATATCAAGTGAATCATTCAAAATTTCTATTGGCTGCTTCTCTGAATTTAAAATTGGAGGTGATTGACTACTCTTTGGTGAACAGTTAGCATGAGTTACTTCAATGGTCCCATGATTTGGAGTCCTAGAAGCTACAACTGAACTAAATTCCTGTTTAACTGTGCTGGATTCATCACAACTGGTGCTTTCCACTTTGCAAACATCAGTAACCGGAGTGGGAGATTCAACTGTCAGTGATAATTTATTTTTGGAAACTAAATTTAATGGCGCTGATTCAGACAGACTTGAGACATCAACTGATGGAAATGCACTAAATCCATTTGCTTGATCATCAACTTTGTATAGCTTCTCATTTTTAGCTGACAAATTCAGGGGAATATTGTTATCACTATGGGGTATAAAGATTTCATTCGGTAAATGAATCTTGCTTGGGCAAAATGGTTGAGCATTTACAAATGGAATATTTATTGTGGATGATTTGGGATGGCGGATATTGAAGGAAACAGAAGATGATGAAGCTGGATTGGTAGACAGGGTGATAGGCAAATTTGTTCGACTGGTATTTACAATAATACTTTTTGAATTTCCTTGGCGCAATACTTGTGACAGATTTGTTGTACTGTCATGAATTGAACTTGAGGTTGTTTTAGGTAGAATGGAAATATATCTGGAGCCAATATTTGTGGCATTGGAAATACTTTTTGAATGTGGCAGAAGACTAGAAGCTGATGTTTTATTTACTGACAAAGGTACTGAAATAATATTTTTCATCACAGGGATATGTTTCTCTTGTTTTATGTACATATTTGCTGTTGGGTTTGGGGCGACAGGCAGTTGAGGTTTGACATGTTTAGTGGGAGACAATGATGTGTTTGAAGGATGACCTAAATATGATCCTGCTTCACTTTCATTGCTAATGATGTTAGGAACAAAATTCATACTACAACCTATTTCAAAAGCCTGAAATATAAAAATGAAAATATTTATCGAAACATGTTTGTTGGCATAAGTTAATTTTTAAAAAATACCAAAGTAATATTGCAAACCTCATTTGCAGAATAAGGTCTTTTACTTGGAACCATTGAAGTAGAATTGTCATAAGATTTTACATTTCGAACATAAGATGGCGGAGGGGCTCGTAAAGAAATGTTTGTCGTTGACACTAAAGGTGCTGTAAAATCTGTTTCGATAAATTCTGGCTCGTGAAAAAGTAGATTACTTGAATTTAGTTGACTAGAAAAACTAGGTATGGTGTTGTCAAAGAATGACTGGTTATATTCAAATTTAGGAATAAATGGGAAAATGGAGTGGCCAGTAACTTTATAAGGTGGGGCTATAATTTTGTTACTGTTAATATTTGGGCATTTATTATTATCATATTTTTCAGGCTTTAATGATGGTTGGTTGCTGGAGCCCCCAGAACTGTAAGTTGGACTGTTTAAAATATTGGGCCGATACATTGAAACTGAAACAAAAATTTTAAATTATGTTATATACACCTTGAAAACTTAAATATCATTATTAAAAAATAATGTTTCAATCTAATATTAATTTTCTAGTTTGATAGTTATAAATTTATTTTACTTTATGATTGAAACTCATGACATCAAATTTCAATTTTTTTTTGTATTTTAACACCCCTAATTTTTAAAAATCAAAATCTTTTAAATTAAAATTAATTTATTTATGTTTTAATTTAATAAAATAAAATTTAAATTTAAAAAAAATATATATAAAAAAAATTCAAGCAGTCAAAAAAAAAGAAAAGAAAAAAATTTTTTTTTAAATTTCTAGTTAGCTTGTGAACTTTTAATTCAAAATAAAAAATAAAATAAGAACACATTGTTGAAGAAACAAACCAATTCTGAATTGAAAAGAATCAAGTTTAATTCCCGGATCACCGTTGATTGAGAGCTCGAACACAAACAAAACTTTTCTGTCGAATTCCAAAAAATCTTTTTATCGAATAAACCTGAAAAATATATCAAAAGATTCAGCGGAAAAATCTACAGACCACAGTGAAAAGCAAATTTAATTTTAATCACTTTAAATTGTGAAAAATGAAAAAAACAACGCACGGATTAAACGACGGCAGAGCAATAGAGATACATATAGGCAGTTTGAATAGCAAGATGGCATACGTGCGTAGAGTTCGGCGCATGCTACTACTATCTTCTTATTGTTATTATTATTATTATACGCTACTAATTGTCAACAACACAACTTCTATACATATATGTATATATATATACATATTATATATATGTGTTTATATCTATATATGTAAACATATATAGAGTTAATATTTGTTTTTTAAATAATTTAAATTGATATATATCTTAAGTTTAAATACTTATATTGCAAAGCCAGATAAAAATTGATGACAAATTATGAAGGTGTCGTCTACGTGTTTTAGACTTATTCATCAAAGTTGCATTCTTACTTATTTATTTGATTAAATTAAGTTTAAAAGTGTTAAATGTGTGTTGACGTATTTTCTTTTATTGAATTTTAATGTTTATATTTGAATTCATGTTAATCTTATGGCTTCGGTAAAAATTTCGTTGGATTGTTTCGTGTATGAATTATATAAAAAACGAGCTGATCTATTTTTTGCTTCGCGTTTTAAATTTTGTCAAATTACGCTTTTATACAGCATTGGCATTCATCGTTTCAAATGTGTTTAAATTTGACAAATTTCAAATCAATATAAAGCATTACATAGATGAATACTGCTTTATTCTCGAAACTTAATTACATTTTCAACTTTGTCATACTAAATACGCATTATTATTTATGCTTCATTTAATTAACTTAATTACTCTTAAATATAAATAATCTTTTTTGTGAAATATTAACAATCAGTAATATATGAACATACTCGATTTGCAACCAACCCCACAAAATATTTAATTACTAATTTAAATATAAAAAGTCTTCCAAAAATAATTCAGATAAAACCAAAAATAATAACAGAAAGGCTGCAAGTACATATTTTTTAATAGCCTGTTTATATGGTGTGTATTTATTTACTTATTTTTGTTTTTGTTATTTTACACACTCAAACACGTACACATACAGGTACAAACACACACACACCACACACACACATATATACACACATACACATATATGTATACACATATTCATACAAATATAATATAAATAAAGAATTGATTACACGTGTTTATAAACAAAGAACGTGATCATGAAATATCATTTCTTCGTAATAAAACGAAAAATTAATAAATAAAAAAATAAAATTATAAAAATCGGTGATATTGTTGTTTAGTCAAATTATATCAAATTTCATTGAATAAAAATACTTATACAAATCATGTAAAAACCAAATTAACAAAAATGACTAATTTATCGAATTTGTCAAATCGTCAAATAAAATTAGAGAATTATCTTATTCATAATTTAATACACGCGCTGTGTAAATGTAGCAAGTAGTAGTCAGATCAAATATAGTTACAACACCCAAACACACACACACACACACACACACACACACACACACACACACACACACACACACACACATACCACACACACATACCACACGCAAGCCACGCACAAACAAACACACACAACACACATTAAGTGGTTCTGCGTATGTCTGAGCTGCAATAATAAAGACTAAAAAAAATATGTTTTACGGGTCGACAAATTCTTACCCTTTTAGATATTCACATACTTGTGGATGCAAGCCACATTATTTCCAACATTCAGCCGAGTAACAGTAAGATTCTACCGCCAAAATTGTCTTATTGTGAATTACCTAAAAACGTTTTAGTTTGCAATATCATCTGCCGAGATAGTAATTGCAATAAGTTGGTATTTCAACTCGGGCTACTGATGAGTCTCATGAGGGACGAAAGCGTCTAGCCTAGAACGAGTTTGATCTTAGATGCCCACAATAATGCACCTCTGATCAAGGTGAAAGGGAAAGATGGCGTGCATTTATGTGCTCGTAGTAGCTAACTTTTAACCATTTATGTAACACGTGTGTAAATATATTATTTTTATTTAATTATTATTAATGTGTCTTATAATAAAAAGATTAACATGCTATTGTATGGTTTTATTTGAATGAAAAGCCGTAACGTTAGTCATCAAATGTGTGGTCTTGTGACAACCATATTTCGCATCCAACTCACTAAATCCAATAAATTACTTCACAAACGAATGATTTAAACATATTTAAAAGCAGGCAAACAAACGATTCCACGAACTTCGTGCTACGCATTAAGAGTAAGCAAAAAAAGTTCTATTGCGCGGTAGACAGGATTAATATAATTTTTTCCGCAACAGTAAGAAGCATGGCAGGTTATTATTATTTTAAACATTTTTACGTCGCATTCATAGAGCAAACAAGAAATTAAAGTTTTATCAGGTCGGAATAGCCTACATATAGGGTACTTATAACACGGTTAAACCTACCGGCTAATAACTACTTGTGTTATGTGTAATAATAATAGTATATAACACATATAAAGAAAATATTTGTTAAATATTTGATCTTTCCTGTCTGTTAAACGACCAAATTTATTAATTTCTCCAAGTTCGCATTTAATTTAATTATATTATGCTATATATCGCTGCAGCTAATGATATAAGAATTTAGTAAAGTGCCATAGCACGTAGGCATATAGCCTTGCATAATAATTTATAATTAAGCTAGCCCATGGGATTTTTATCTGCAGTCTTATTTAATTTTAACTATTTATTATTATTATTATTATTATTATAATGAAAAGATATACAGCACGTCACAACAATATACTATTGATGATTTTAGAAAAAATTCAATCATTTGCAGGTGCGGATGTATTGATCTACGCTGATTCCAACTGCAGCAAATACCTTCCAGTATCATCTCTCATCAAATCACTTCGTCAAGATATTGCCATTCGACGAGGTGCTACTATCGAAATACTGGAATTAACAGTTTGCCATGAATCTAACTTTTCTAAATCTAAAGAATATAAAACATCGAAATACTCTAAAAATTTTAATAACAATTTGATAGACGAATTGAAAAACTCAAATATTATAATAAATTCATTTGAAATTTCCCCACTAAGTTTTTTTTAATATTTTAAACTATCATTAATTAATTTTATTAGGTCTAGCCCTTTTCATAGAAGTCTAATTAATTCCGTAGTATCGTCATCTTACGCAATTTACTGTGATAGAAACACGATTTGAACATAATTTAATACTGACTCTATTTCTCTTTCTGCCCATTCAAAATGTACGGCGAGCATTGTAGATTATCTAAATAATTAACATTATAAGTTTTATAACTTCAACTTTATAATTACAATGTATGTTATAAAATGGAAATAAAAGGATGTTCTCATTATTATTATTATTATTTTTATTTTTATTATTATTATTATTATTTGAATATACTTCACCGCTATGTACTTTTTCTAAAAAATGAGCATTGTGGCAATCATTGACATTTTATTACATTATTGTGACATTTCATTATTTTATTTTCATACTTATTTATTGTCTTTGCTTTGAAATAAAAGAGTTCTCATTAGTAGTAGTAGTAGTAGTAGTAGTAGTAGTAGTAGTAGTAGTAGTAGTAGTAGTAGTAGCAGTAGTAGTAGTAGTAGTAGTAGTAGTAGTAATAGTAGTAGTAGTAGTAGTAGTAGTAGTAGTAGTAGTAGTAGTAGTATTATGCAAAAGGTACTTCGAATTTTAACAGTGCACGTTAAATTTCGCCAAATGTATTCAACTAAAACTAATTAAATTATTTTTTATTTAATTCCAACAATAATAATTCAATAACTTGCTGTTGCGGTAAACAATGTAAAAAATTAAAAAGGCCTCAAGTTACATCAACGGCCATGTGAAGTTTACCACAACCTTCAATTATCTAATAACTCCAACGAAATCAACAACAATAGCAGCAACGCTGTTCCAAAAAACAGCAACAACTCTGACGCCATCGGCAACTGCATCAACAACAACGCTACCTACCAACAACGATTTGCAATCAGCAACAACAACAGCATCAATAATTACGACAACAACAGCAACGACGCCGCCTGCAAAGTTAATGTCGACAACAATATCAACACCACCGACGGCATTAGCAACCGCAAGATCAACAACGTCATCGGCCGCAACTACAACAACAATAGTAGCAACAACATGGACATCATCAGTAACAACTCTGGCAGCACTACCAACTACATCATCGGCAACAACTACCTAAACTAATATAATATTAGCAACAACAGTGACAATCCCGACTGCATTGTCAACAACAGCCTGCCCACCGTTAAAGGCAACAACAATGATTCCATCAATAACATCAATATCAAAAGTGACAGCAACAATAAAATCTTCAACTGCATTGACAACAACACTATTAACATTAACAATCATATTAACAATAACATCAACAGCAGTAACAAGATCAAAACTTTCAACAGCGAAATTGATCGTTGATCAAAAACCGAACATCACTAATCAACTTCAACGGATGATACAGCCATCATCGCAAACAGCACGGACGATGCTCAAAAATTAATTCAGTTAAACCAAGCCTGGCAGGGTTTATGATTTTGATGGTGGCAACTGAAAGGTAAAAGAATTAATGATTAGAAAGTTCAAAAACTTCCTATCTGTCATAAAAAATTTGGATCCAGCATCCCAATGGAACTGCAAATATTACGAAGATTCGTTCCATCACAATTGGCCTTTGGACTTCGCACACATGATATTCCGCTGACATGGAATGGAGAAAAACTGGATACCTTGATCGCGGAGGCAGTAAGAAACTGGCTGTCATTGCCTGACAACAGCTTTGTATCCAGATGCTTATCAATCTCTTTCAAATCAGGGAGCAATCTTTCACGGCCACCTTGCCAGGAGAAAATCGTTAAAGTAGTAGAAGAACAAATTCTCGCAGTCAAGTTGTCTAATGGTCTTAATTCACTGTCAAACTTCCAAAAGTTTTATTCAAATTTTTAAGGAAAGTTTTAATTCAACAACTTCTTACAAATGGCAACCTATCCAGATGGGGTGAGTCTTCTAACGTGTTTGGTTTGAAAGACATCAGGTCGTCTGCAAAGCCGGGGGTGACAATTTTCGCTGATACGAACGCAATGAATTTCTCGCAGTATCATCTCTGTTCAGATCACTTCGTCCTGATATTGCTCTTCTCTACCTAGACACGATCAAAGTACTGGGATTGACGGTCTGCCACGAGTCAAACTTTTCAAAATCCAGGAACTACAAATTATCTAAACATTCTCAGAACCTCAGTAACAACTTGATTGACAATATAAAATAATTTAAAAACAATAATTAAAACTTTTGAAATTTCCTCGTTATGTTTTTTAAACATATTGATTTATCACTTGTCAATTTAAATTGATTGGATCAATTTTACAATAATTTAATCGACTCAGCGAAATCATCGTCGTATGACATTTATTGTGACCGTAAACAATATGGAAAAATGTAGCTGGTAAATGTCGTTGTTTGCTATTTATTGTCAATTTATTAACATTACGGAAACTATTATTAAATTTAACTTAGTGGAAGTTCAATTCGGGGGACAAAGGAAAAGCAAAAAATATTTTTCCATATCTTGCATTTTTTCTTTATAAAGTCGTTTTCAAAACATTTTTTGTAAAAGCCATTTAATCTCTTGGTCCTCAAAAAGATAGAAACGATTTTTTTATGAATAAATTATATTCATATATTTATGAATATATATATATTTATATATATAATATACTATAGAATATTTATATATAATATAAATATACGTTTGTATGTGTGTGTGTGTGTGTGTGTGAATGTTTGTGTGTGTGAGAATGTGTGTGTGTTTGTGGTGTGTACGTTATAATTAAATTATAATTCAAGAAAACTAAATCAAGGAAGCTTATTGATTTTTGTCATACAGTTTTACCGTTGAAAATGTTATTTAATAAGCCTTCAATTCAATGACGCCCATAATATATGCGCCGTAGTTTTAATTCGCCTAATATAATAATGCTACCATCTGCAACATCGTCATTATAATAATAATAATAATATTATTATTATTATTTTAATATTATTATCATCATCATAATCGTGCTTTTAAAACTGATTTGCATGCTGGACGAATCAAATTTTGAAATAAAAAGTTTGAAGATTATTCACGAAAAATTCTTGAAAAAAAATTTAAACAAAATTGTGGTTTGTATTTTCTGTCGGATCGAATTAAAATATTTTAGAAAATTTAAACAAATCTGTCAAAAATTCAGCTATTTATTGTGAGATCAGTCATATTTCTAACAATTTTTTTAAAGGCAGCATACCTCAAAAATGAGCATGATTTCAATTTGTACGCTCAACCTCATACATCCACACACATTTGTTTGTTAAACAGTAAGCAAGCAAATTTAGAAAAATATTTGAGGCCATAGTTTAACATGGGTCAGTGATGAATATGATTTTGCTTAGAACCTACCTACCTACGTTATGCGTGTGATGTGTTTTATCACGATGTCAATACGTTTATCTTTTTGTTTCTATTCAAATATCATTTTGAAATTAACAAATGAGAAAATAAAAAAATTAATTAATTTATAGACCATTTAATTTACTAAGTAATTTATTGATAAATGAGTAAATATAAATGGCGTATCAATATTAATTCATTATACAGCAATATACCAGCTCAATTACAACAAATCCAATTATTTTAGATTAGTTAAGTTATTTCAAGCTAAAAACAAATGACCAATCTCAGTTAAAACCAGCAATATTTAGATAAATTATTAATTATCGAAATGAATGGGGTGATGATATATTTATTTCATCAAATTCATTTATACACACGCATAAATATATATATATTATTCAATCAAAGCTTTAAAAATAATTGGTTTGAACTATTGTCAAAGTTTTGCCAAATATTAAATATTTACATCAATTAATTATTATCAACTTATGTCATCTTAATATATCTATATCAATTACTATTATCTGTGTAGCTGGCCTTGTTATATTCATTTCATACCTGGGTTGTTCTGTCCCATCAGTTTGTATATAATATATAAATAACAAAATATAAATAGACAAAGAGTCAAAGAGGCATTTAGGTAGTTTTAAAAATATTTATTACAAGTAAAAATATCAACTGCTTTTGATAATGCGTCATATGGAAGTTGAACGAGGCGTGTTTGTTTCTTCTATCTATCATATGATGTTTCATGATTCATGTTTGTGTTCCTCACAGTGTTTTAATGCACGTCAGGGGTTAATTATAATTGAAAGTTCCATTAAACTCGGAGGCGGTCATTCATTCTATCGCATCTAGCAGTTGGGACTTTGTGGCACTTCATTTTATCCGTTGCTGCGCTGGTTAATTATCAGGTTATTTATAGAAAGTAGTAGAGCGCAAACTTATTCAATGACTCACCACATAACTCCACGTTGAACAATAACAAAACTTTTTTGTTTTTTTTTTCTTTTTGGTGCTTTTTTGTGGTTTTTGATGTTGCCTCAAATAAAACAGAATTGTAAAAAGTTAATTTTTTCCGGCTCGTTTGTTACTTTTATTTATTTCTTAGGCTGTTAACCAAATTTTAAATTTATGTTAGCTGAGATAGTATTTTTCTGAACAAATAAAAAATTGCGTAATATGTCGTTTTTTAAATTCTCAGATAATACAACATAGCGGATCGGATCCGGAAGGGATGGTTTCAAAATTGTAAAATTGATGGTTTTTTTTGCTAATTCTTCTAATTCCCGTTATATCCTGTTTATTCTCGTTTTGGTGGGAGGCATGCGTTTCGAAATGTTTTTAGTTGATAACCTTTTTGGCCTATTTCCGTTCACTTTATTACTATACTGTACACAGACTCTTCAATATTTCCTTCTTTCATGGTCTGGGGGAAGATGCATTTCCGCATTCCTCTGCAAAAGCACTTTACTGATGGCAGATTTCTACATCAAGTTTTTAAAAAATATTAAAATATACTATCTAAAATAATGTGTTGCTTTAACACAATTTATTTTATTGTTATAATGTTATATATGTGTGTGTTTTTGTATGTGTGTGTGTTTGTGTATGTGTGCATGTGTTTGTAAGTATGTCAAATAATATGTATAGTTTCACTCTATTCTAACGCAAATTTTATTCAAATTTTTCAACCTCCTGTCAATATCTTGATTTGAATAATAATTTACGACAACTTGAGACCGTTGCCATTATAAAAAATACCATCTAGTTTGCAAATTTTCTAAGTAGGTTGTTTTCATTATTTGCTAAATGTGATTAATTGGACCTTGAGACGAGATGATGCACATTGCACAGCCCATAAGTTAACGTTATGTTTATCAGAGAGACTGCTCTTTCAACGGTATGATCGACTTTTATAATTCTAATGGAGCTACATTGACTGTCAACATTCGATAATTTTTATTTTTAGATTTGATCAAGGTTAGGCAAACTTTTTCACTGTGGGTTGCAGGTTGCGTTTGAAAATTAAATTTCATTTCGGGATTCCACATACACATGCGCACACATAAACACACACAATTACCGCCATTTAAAATAATTTAAATCCTTTTAATTAAAACGCATCAGCATTGATTGATTTATAGGTCCAAGCAAAAAAAATATTTGAACAACGATAATGTGTGTATTTAAAAATTGATACAAATTTTTGTAAAAAAAAGTTTAAAGGAGCTCGAACCAAAAATGGTCATAAAATTAAAAATATTTTATTTTGCAAACCGGGCTGGAGCGTCGTTGAACTGTAGTTGAATTGTAAAAATATACCCTTTATAAATATATTTGATTGATTGACTGGTTAATTGATTGATCGATCGATTGATTGATTAATTGATTAATTACTTAATTGATTAATTACTTAAATTAATTGGTTGGTTGATTGATTGAATGACTGACTGTCTGACTGACTGACTGACTGGCTGGCTGGCTGACTGGCTGGCTGGCTGGCTGGCTGGCTGGCTGACTGACTGACTGACTGACTGACTGACTGACTGACTGACTGACTGACTGACTGACTGACTGACTGACTGACTGACTGACTGACTGACTGACTGACTGACTGACTGACTGACTGACTGACTGACTGACTGACTGACTGACTGACTGACTGACTGACTGACTGACTGACTGACTGACTGACTGACTGACTGACTGACTGACTGACTGACTGACTGACTGACTGACTGACTGACTGACTGACTGACTGACTGACTGACTGACTGACTGACTGACTGACTGACTGACTGACTGACTGACTGACTGACTGACTGACTGACTGACTGACTGACTGACTGACTGACTGACTGACTGACTGACTGACTGACTGACTGGAAAGGAAATTTGTGATAAGTCTCTCATGAAGAAATCGGCGGGTCCCATCAGCGCTAAATTTGTGCACCAATATTTTCGTAATTGTTCATCAAGCGAGAGTATGAATGCAAAAAAGCCTCGTGTTATATTGATTGTTAAATGTTCGGATCAATATTTTTATGATGTCATAAACATCTTTGGTTTTCATTTGTTTCTAAAATACCATATAAATTATTTGAAATCATGCGATAGAATTGTCCTCTATTGTAGATAACGATAAATGTTCTTCTACAAACATTTTATTTCGCAAGCAAGTAAGTATTTAGGATGGTTTAATTAGGAAAAATTCGTGGCGGCAGATCCAGAGCTAATAAGAGAAAGGTTAGGTTAAGTAAATATTTATATATTACACCGGCTATGAGCTTCAATATTTTTTAAATAATTAAAGTTTGTGAAGGGTGAAAATTTTTCATGAACGATTATATAAACTTTGCTTATGTTCGTATAACCACTTCAATTGAATAATTTTTTAAGTTGCATTTCTAAAAAGGTTCTGTCGACAGTGTGCACACTGATGAAGAATTTTTTCAAAGTTTTTAACATGTGCTTTCAGCACTTTCAAATCGCATTTAGAAAAAAATTATTGACACATTTTATATAAAAAAATAAAAAACACTATTCTTATTTATTTGAAACAAACAAGAAGAAAAAAATTCTAAAAATTTGCGCGGTTTTAAACACGGAAGGCTTTAGAAATATTTTGAACGAGAATTAATTTGTCGTTTCGAGTAAAGTGATTTCGTTTTTTTTACAATTTAAATTAAATTTAAAAATAAAAAGGGTCGAAATTAAACAAAAATAAATAATTTCATTAAGGTGGTTGCACAAATTTCTCGTTTGAAAAAATCATTTAAATGTCTTTCTTATTATTCTTAAAAAAAACCAGAATCTGACAAATAATAGTATAAAATGATAACGATAAATAAATAACGGAGAAAAAATGTTTAAGAATGAAAAGTATGGAAAATAAAATAAAGTAATGATTTAAAAACGCAAATAAATAAAATAATTAATTAATTGACTAGTTAATGACTTTTGAAGTTAGTTCAATGATCGATAAGAAAAAAGAAGACTAAATTAAGTAAGTGTTTTTGATATATCATCATCAATTCATCATTGTGTTTTGGTCATTTCATTCAAATCATCAGAGATCTAATCATCGTCGTCGTCATTCGCATCTTTAAAAAAAGCGACAAATAGAAACCAAAAAAATGACAAAACAGTTAAAAATAGCAAAAACAACAAAACACAAAAATCAGAAAGGAGAGAGCAGCAAATAGAAATAGGCAGCTCTCAAATAATATCTCCCCGTAGCTGCCTGCATTGAGGCGCCCAGCAAAACCAATTACATTGCACGCACGCACATCAAAACATCTCATTCATTCATTCATTCATTCATCTGTTCTGCTGCTGTAATTCATTCCTTCATACACTCTTCACACATGTATGTATAATTGTATATACATATTAATTCATATATTCAAACCGATACTAGTATATACACAACACATGTGATTATATTATGTATACGTGTGTTGTGTGTATGTATAAACAAGAACGTAAAGAAATATATATTGTACTGCACAAACAACCACACATTTGTTTAAGCGCCGATAAATGTGTATTGGAAGCTTATATATGAACGTTCCTCATATGAAATAATGTAATGATATTACTCGGCTTAAAATAGAAAAAAATTCATGTTGAATACGCAATTAACGATATTGTAAACGTACGATGTATATGCAATTGTTTTCATTATGTAGGCATATTGTATGCTGCTCGAAACATTTCAATTGATATTTGCTGTTGTTGATATTTTATTGATTATTCGAGTTTTCATTTTTCAAATTGATCAAATAATGCCTGTCACTCGTTTTATTAATAGTTGTGGTTGGTGCTCAGCTCATTCATTATTCTCTATTTTGAAGCATTTGTTGTTTGTAGCACCATTGTTTCGTATACATGTGTTGATGAAATAATTTGTGTGGAGTTCATCTCGAGTACATCCTTGTTAATTTCGTGTAACTTGTCCTAACAACATTTATCAGCTCATGTCAGTCAGACGTAAATAATTAATCACTTCTTAAAATAGGTTTCTTTTCTTAAAACATCATAACCATCGCACACAACTTAATTCAATTATTTCATAAATTTTGTGAGGCTGTTTTCAGCCTATGTGTCGTTTGATGTTGTTTGAAAAGAAAAGAAGACGCAAAACAAATATTTTAGTTATTCGTTGTATTTGAATGTGCGTGTGTAATTGTGTATGGTATGACTAATGTGCATGCATATATGTATGCATGTGTGTGTGTGTGTGTGAGTGTGCGCGTGTGTGTTTATTGCTGCGCTTGCCCATTAGTTTATAAAAATCTCTCTGAACCATTTCGAAGAACCATTGAATGTCAATGCAAGAGACTCGAAATGAATTTTCATTAATACTTCCTTCGAAAAAAAAAGTAAAAGAAGGCAACTTTAATTGCTTACAAATTCAAACCAGGATAAGAAATAAGTTGAAGAAATAATTTACGTCAACTTATTTTGACGTGCAAGTGATTATAGAAGTAATTAGTTTGTGGTGTAAGTTTGATAGCAATCTATCGTCCAAAATGAATTGTACATAGTTATCGACCCAAAATAAATGTTATATAAACTAATACAGCCATCTCACTATTGTGTAGAAACAGATATCTGAAATCAATTAATATTGAAAATTAATGAAACATTCTATATTTTTGAACGACTTTACTAAAAATATTTAGCTATTTAGCTAAAGATTGAAAATTTTTAAGTTCTCAGTTCGTAGAAATTTTATTATCTTTATTATTAATTGATTCATAAATTTTTATTTTCTAGTTTTTTTTTAAATTATTATAATTGTGACTGTTGGTTATTGCTGTCATTGTTATCATTTTATTAATAATACGATAACATGTAATGGAATACCCAAATCACTCAACGATCATAAATGCGATTCTTGAGGGACGAATATTTTTGGAAAATTTGCGTGAAATACGTGCCCATGTAAGAAAGACTCTTGAGATTATAGTTTTGAAAATGTCAATAAGGAAGTAACAAACTGTAAAACCAGCATCGCTTATTTAACTGAAAATATACTGAAGAGTTGAAATTGAAATGTTTAGAACAAAATGAACTTCAGTTTTAGATGAGTAACGATAGATTTTTTTTCTCCGGCATCACCTATCTCGCAGTTTCCGAAAAATGTATAACCCGCGCGAAGTTTCGAATATATCTCAACAAAGCCAAATATATTTTATGTAGTTTGTCGCCGAGGTGCAATGGCTGAAAATCTGTTAAATAATAGACTTTTGTTTCCGTGGTTTCATTCCGACGAGTTGGATACTGTCGAGTTGGTGACAATTTTAATTGATTATTTTGGAATACATGAATGATATGCAAAAAAGCAGCTGCTCATATAAGAAGCTGAATTTCTGTCAATTCAGCTGCCAAAATCTACCAGCGTTAATTAAAATCAGGGATTTGGTGAACTCGTTAACATTGTTAAATGCATTTTCGATGGAGGTTTGGAGATTCAATCAATCGATGAAAACTGTATCGATTGGCAAATTTTGCTCCCAAATTTACAAAAGATAATACTGATTTTACTGATTGTAAAAAAGATTTTACGAACGCAAACAGTTGTACAACTGACGAACTCATTTAGTTGTTGGGAACGCTCTACGCAGTGAAATTGGTAAATTGTTAACAGCACGATCAGGTTATGGTAGGGGTATTTTGAAAGAAGCATCTAAAAAGCGTATTGATGAGCGTTGATTAAATTAAATTGAATTCAGTGAATGCAATTTTTATTTGAAGTTGAAAAGAAATTAAATTTTAGCTAGCTGTATATACTTAAAAATCAACAAACATGACGTCATTTTGTTGATATTTTATTTTATAACAGTAAACATTATGGTTAATAAACAAAAGTTGACACCTTTTTTAGAAATAGATTGAATAAATTATAAAACGTTCACGTACTCCGCCGTACCCAACAACCTCCATGTGAGACATTTCAAAGCTGAGTTTTCAGCCTTGAAATCTGTCAAATCTTTTTAATAACCCTTATTCCAAATTGATCCTCCCCAAAGGCGAAGCAAGTTGAAATCATGCGCAAGTTCTCCGCCACACCAAAATACGGGTTCGTTCGTTTTTTCACAGAGACTTTCAGCGATAGTTTTATTTTGAAATTTCCATTTTTGTGTGAACAACAATGCTATTGTTATTGTTATTGCTAATTTCCGGCGTATCAGCACAGAAAGGCTATCTTCACGCCTGGTGAGAAAGTATCAAACGTTAAATAGAATTAGAATTGGGCATACAGCATTAACTCACTCATGGATATACACAAAATCTTCACCTCCACGTTGTAATACATGCGGTACAAGAATAACCATTCAGCACGTCATCATAGATTGTCAAAAATATCAAATAAGTAGGAAAATCCATAATATCCCGACCAACATTCAAGAAATATTTGAAGACCCAATTAATATAGAGAATTTAATAAATTATTTAAAAGAAATAAATCTAATTGATAAAATATAGAAATAAATGAAAACAACTACATTCAAGTATAAACTCAGATAAGAACAACAATGCGGTAACGTCATCTTCCTAATTTGCTTAATTGAAAGCGAAAACAGGGTGTGTTTTGACAACAATTATAATTATTTAATTCGATAAATGAAACAGGCTACATAGTGTACTTAGTTTTTTGTCTGTGAGACAAAGACCTTTGAGTAAAAACCTTTAATTTTTCAGTCTTTTTTATGATGAATTTCAGTTGATTGAAAGATTGAAAAATTAAAAAAGAAAGATTGAATCAGTTAAGAAAGATTGAAAAATTAAATAAAAAATTAAGCAACTTTAAAAATGCTGTGACTTTTCTAAACTGTATATCTGATAGTCTAAATCCTAAACTTACCTACATTCATCTATATAAAGAAGAATGCATGTAATAAAACACTAATAATATTAAAACGCCATTAATAATAAAAGTTGTAGTAATAATAACTAAAAAATTTCCCTTATTAATCATTCAACACGGCTTTCTTTAAGCTATTATGCAAATTAATACCACAACACAAATTATTATTATTATTATTTTACACTGAATAACGTAATTTTAACAGTTTCTTGTTGCTAAACGTTCACACGTCCAGTTATAATTTGAAAAATTTAATGGTAGAAGTAGCACTATTGTAGACATTGGGCATTTCTGTGTAAGATATGTACAGTTCATCGAGATGTATGTAATGTAATGTAACAGCATTCTGAAAAGCAACTAAATGCAGTTGATAACGTCAGTAAAAGATCAAAACTATGTTTAGGAGAATTTCGAAAATGGCAAAAATGTGGAGAGTGTTAGATGAAACTGATCGGAAGCCTGTCGCTGTCTTGAATGAATATCAGTTGCACAATTTCCTGATTAACAAAAAGACAACTGATTAATTAGAAACATCTGTATAACGCCAGCCAACATTGCAAGCAACATTTGTACGGCTCTGTCTACACGTAGTAAATGTAGTGCATGTATTGAAATATTAAAAATTGAAGCACTTCAACTTATGAAAGATAAAAATTGACGAAACACATTAACACGAAGTTATGATTCACCGCCAGTTCAGCTTTAACACAGTGATATTAAAATTAAACCAGCATATACTTGTAATTATATGCACAATGCACATACCTAGCACGCATTAAACGCAGCGTAAAGAATTTTCAGGTAATAATAGAATTTCCATCTCTAGGGAATGAATTTTGTTTTTTAAAGATGACATGGCGTTAGAATAATTCTTAGAATAATTAATTTAAAAAAAATTTATCTTTCGAGTAAATATCACTTTGTTCGTAGAAAAGGGTTTAGAGTGTAAAAATATTTATAAAGTTTTTCTTAACTTTATTAATATATGTTGTCTTCATAACAACAGGTATGATGAATGAATAAAGGAAATAATGTTTTAGATGACGAAATGCGGATATTAATTGCTGTTTGTATTAGTTGCATGTTATATCATGACCAATTTAATTTCAAAATCGCTTGTTTTCATTTAGAAAGAATTTTATGCTTAAATTCATCGATTACTTCTAAAACATTTTTTAATTTGTAAAACCTGATAGTTGAACAAATATATCAAAAATCGTCGTATTTAAATACCAAATAAAGAAATTTAATCACTAAAGAAATTATGATAAAAAAAACAACTTTTAGTTGTGAGATAAAAACGACGCACATAATAAATTTATACATAAAAATCAAGCACACAGAAAGTTATGTAAGCAAGTACACACATCTACACATCTATTAAAAGGTTATAGCTTCAGACAAATATGTATATTAAATACTAATTCACTAATACTATACTGTACTATACTATACTAATACTCAACTAATACATACGAATACTTATAAACATATACTATACTAACACTAATACAATACTAATACATACAAATACTAATAAACAACTCATAATGTTGCCATGTAACACGTTCATTCTCTGTTTATATTCGTTTTGCAAGATCATTGTTATTGTTAATACGCTAATATATTTCGTTGTCTAGAATGAAGACGCACATAGCATAGCAGACATTTGAAATGCCCTTTCAATATTGATATTTGTTTGTTCGGTTAATGCTGCATATTATGAATGACTGTTCATTCACAGCGCTTATTATAATATTTTTATTATTTTATTTTTTAAGTTTCATGCTTTTCAGACAAAAATTTCAACTTTCTTGACAGGCTGATGCAAGAAAAATTTTAAATACAAGAAAGGATAAATTAAATGAGACATTTTTCTTTAAAATTAAAAATGTGTATCTACGTACGTTGTATGTACTTGTACACGTAAAATAAATCAAACGCATTTAAAATAAAACAGATTCATCGGTAGAGTAAGTAAACAAATTAACATTGTCTCAACCATATTCTTCATCTTACTAGATCATTCTCAACATCACCATTCGCAACCATATTTTTTTTTGAAAATGAAACCACATAAATTGCAGTAATCTTTAATTGATCACATATGTAAAATCCTATATTTTTTATAGGAACGAATAAAAATAAGTGTATAACAAAATTTGAGTGAGGTGTCTACAACTTTCAGACCGAACAAAGCACAACTCGATAGCATCCAATATCATGGCTATTAATGTCAGATGCAAAAAGCAGGAGAAATCGACCCACCGTTGCTTTTTAGATTTAAAAAAAATTATTTATCGCGATCTGGCATAAAGCGTGTGGGCAAGTCTAAAACGAACGAAACATTAGAAAAATTGGTCAAAGTATTAAAGAGATTTTATAAAGATTCCTAACTTGAAAATTGGATCAAAGCGAACGAAGGCACATCCTTTCTTTTGATTAATCCCCATTATTTTTGAAATTGTCTTTTTAGAAAAATGTTTCCGTATAAAAATTTGACAAATCTCATTGTTATTAGAAGGGAGAGCTAAAACAACTTAAGTCCCTTCCAATGAGATTCCAAAAATTAAAAAAACTAGGACCCTTTGAACATATGTGCAGAACGCTGGGTGGCATTCCTTCTTAAAACGGCTCTAAAGAAAAAGAGGAAAAAAGTTTAAATTTCATCAGTAAAATTAATCTTAAATCAATTCAGTGGCAGATCTGGAAGGAAGTGGTGTTTTTTTTTAAGCTAGTAAAAGCCAGATGTGAAAAAGTCGCCAGCTTAATTTTGTCTCCACACTAGTAGCAAATATATGGCAAATTTTTTTAATCTTTTTTTCACAATTTAAAAAAAATTGCCATCCCCCAGTTAACGTTGTCTAGATTCGCCGCTAAATCCATTTGAAAAATTCTTTATTTTGATTTTTTTTTAATAATGAAAAATTAATGATAAATGGTATGAAATTTATTTTTCAACTTGTTTTTTTTACGTTAAGCGCATCAGGCGATAAGAAATTCTTGAAATAGAAGAAAAAAAATTTTTGTTCAACCAAGAGAATCTCGATTCGAATGCGATACAATTTCAAATAGATGGACGGCGGCTTTAACAAACAAATCTCTTTCCCGATAACTTTGTCGTGTAAATCAAATTTTTATTAAATTTACTTTTTTCTTTTATTTCATGCCATTTTATGAATCTAAATGAAGCAAAATATTCAACAAACCATTGAAAGATAAAATGTTACAGTGAAAGTTGTCTTTCAAAAATACTCTGTACATAAAATGTGATTAATGATTGTCGCGTTTCCCATGACATTTAAAACATTTACACAACGAATTTAAAAATAAAGCGGCAAATTAATTTAAAATGAATAAAAATAAACTGTACAATAAAAAAATATCAATATTCAGCGTTTAATATCATCCGGGCTGAATAATAAAAAGACGAAACAGCAGAGCATAAAAATGTGAGCTATCAATATTGGATTAATTTGATTTATTGGACGACCTGGGACACATGTGTGTTGTTTGTTGGGTATGCACGAGATTTCACATGACATGAAAGAAGTTTTTTTTTAAAAAGTTCTCTTCTCTGTCGATGGGGACTGACTGTTGAAAAGCAGACAGGCAGGTCACATTTTCCTGTCTGTCATATTTTATCCGATCGAAAAATCAAAGAGCGCTGTTAATTTTAAGATTTTTAAAAGGTTTTATTTAAAATTTTGATAGACGATAACATTAATATTAAATGAAATTAATGTTACTTATTAAAGAACTATCAAGAAAAAAATTTGGCATTGGTTTATTGTTAATATCGTGATAGTTGGTTGGGGTTCTAAAAGTTGTAATATAAATTTCTGTCATTCTAATTGTGATAATAAAAATGGATTTTTATATACAATCATGAATCTAATCGATCTATGTAGAACTTTTACTTAACTTTTAGATGATTTCATGACTAAAAGTAAAATTTTGAAATAATGTGCCAAATAAAAAAGGTACAAATTCTAGATGGCAGAAGTGTGAACGAGAAGAACGATTAAAGATTGTATCAACTCTCAACAACTCCAGACTGGCTGGATTGCTTCATTATATTTGTATTTGTCGTTTTTTCATTCATCCTAAATACCTAAATCAAATTTAATTAAGTTTTATGTATATATATATATATATATATATATATATATATATATATATGAATATCACAAAGTAGCATTTACTGGTAATACATATGTAAGGATTTATTTATACACATTTAGAGGAGTATTACGTCAATAGTGTAAACCACAAACATGCAAGAAAGCGTCAACAAACTTGGCTTGTACATTCATACATGGAGATGAGTTATGTAAGCAGAAGAGAACGCGCATACGTACACACCATCGTAGTTTATATGAACGTCAGCACATCTGTACGTGTGGCTAGAAGAGAAGTAGATTGGCGAGGTGTGTAGTACGTACTGCATGTACAAACTTGTGTGCACGTGCGTGTGTGTATGTGTATATAATTGTGTGTGTGTGCGCGTGTATATGTGTGTGTACACTGGGTGGCTGTTGTGTGGACAGCAATGGCATGCAGCATCGTAGACAGCTGAATCAATCTATATGGACATCTTTTTGTTGTTATTGTGATTGTTGTTGTTGAGGTTTTTGCAGTCGGCGCTGTTCCCCCTTCTTGTTGCATACGTCGTTCAAATTTTCTTTTTAGTTAGGTTTGTTGCCGAGCATTTACCCGTTGTGCTGTTGTTGCAATGTTGTTGCAGTGCTGTTGCTGTGTTGTTGCAGTGTTGTTGCTACCGCTGCTGAATTTTGTTGATTTTTAAAGTTTTTGTGTTATGTGTTAATTGCGAGGCAAGTTACATGAAGATGACAATGACGAGGATTGCGGCTTGACTTGCAATTTATTAAAAATGTTTAACAACCAGTCAGCAGTTTGTAAAATATCTTCAATAAGTTCGTCATCTCTTAATCAGTTAACAGAAATAATTTAATCATTGAATATGTTTGCTGTTGCTAATTTATTAATTATTTAATTTTATAATTTTTTTTATAATTAAAATCAATTCTATTTAAACTAAAAAATTTTTTTGGGCTTGGTGGCAGTAGAGAAGTTAATGTTGAAACAATTGTTTGGAGAAAAAAAGCTGTTGAAGATTTTGTCAAAATAAAGTTATGTGAGAATAAGTTTATTCAGGTTCGTACAATTTCTGTTTTGATTTATTTTATAATTTATTACAGTTGTTCAAGTAATTTTTAAAATACTTCTAGGTCAAAATATAAATTAGTCGGCACATTTTTGACATTAACAATAAAATGGAGGTCATTTGCAAAATTTTTTATTACTGTTGTAAAAAATGTAACAATGTAATTAAATTACAATCGACGAACGAACGGAATTTTAAAAAATTATTGTTGGCTCTTCTCAAAATCATTCCCGTCTTGTCATAATTTAGAAAAGGCCCAATTTGTTGACAAAAGCAAGTTTTTGTAATAAATTAATAAAATCATTATCACATTTATATATTTCTAGAATGCTTATTTATTTATTTGCGCGTTTAATAACTATATCTAATTCATATGTTTATTGCATTTGTTTATGGTTGGATGAACGTTCAACTCTCTAAAAATAGATTTGGCGGTATTGGTTTTAATGTTTGGTTGTGACAAACTGGTTCATTGGCTGGTTAGCTGGCTGATTGGTTGGTTAATTAGTTAATTAATTTGCTGTTTGTTTGTTTCCTTGCTTAGTTGGTTTGTTAGCTGATTAGTTAATTTAATGGATTGTTTGCTTGGTTGGCTTAAGTTGGTTGGTTGACTAATTGGTTGTTTGGTTAGTTAGTTGATTGTTTGATTGGTTTGTTAGTAGCCTGGTTAGTTCTGTGATCTGGTTTGAAAACACTTTTTTGTTAAAATTTTACGTTTCATTATACGCCATGTGATTAAAGTTCCATCATTTGAAGAAACTTCGTGAAATGCTTAGAAAGATGTTCCCTACATCATATCATGTCTAGAGCTTATGTGGAAATTTAATTAGTAAAAAATCCAAGAAAGACTATTATAAGCCCACGTAATCAATAAATTCACATATAGATAAGACGATTGCCATTCCATGATACCTGCACATACGAATGAATTTTTTTTGAGATCTTAAAAAAATTTAATTAATTTTTCAGGAAAGTAAAATTAAACGTACATTTATTTGCAAGCTAAAATAAAAAATAGATGATTATCGTGTTTCGGTTGTTGAAGTTTAACTAATGTATCAACTCAATTATAATTGCATTTTAAAAGATCAGATCGATTTATAAAGTATGCATTCATGCATTTTTAAATGAAATAAGGCTAATGTTTCTATAATATCAATAAAATTAGATTTTTCAAATGTTAACTTTTAGATGAAATTTATAATTAAAGTTATAAGTAAAAATTAATTTATAAAAAGTTGTTTAGTTTCAGAAGAGTTGAATAAAATCTCAAAACTATCAAAGGTACCTACAACATGACCTTACCAGTTTTTAGCCCATTTCACGTTAACGTTGTTATGATTTTTTTCTCCTTCTCTTCTGGTATTTTCAGATTAATTATGAAAATATTTTCATTTAAAGCTAAAACTTTTTTAAACCATTTTCATTGTAAACTGGTAAAAATGTAGATGTAACTGATGATGACACCATAAAAATGCTTTTGAAATAAATTAAACTGCCCAATGTAAAAAGCAAACCCAACGTTTTGTAGTTCAAGTACCAAATATTTTTCTCTGTAAACAAACGAAAGGTGGACACTAAAAATATCAATAGATATAAGCAACATAAATATTATTATCTAACAAAATCAGATCCAACATAAAAATTATTCATTACTATATTTTGAGTGATTGAATGTCGTGCCTTCTGAATAAGGATGGTGTTTTATTGAATTAATTGGTTTTAATTTATGGAAAGAAATAAATAAATTTACTAAAATTGTTTTAAATTTGAATTTTAAAGATGAAAATTAAAAAAAAATCAATTGTTTCAACTGTCAGAAATATCATCAATGCAGTCCTTTAATGTCGCTTAAATGTCTTGTCGTTAGTTTAAAACGTCACCATCGTCTTCATTCTGCTCGCCTCTTACAAATTTCATCATAATACCAATATAATCATCACATTTCTGTTGGACAGCATCAAACTTGCAGTTTAAGGAGCTTGATAAAATAGCCGCAACTTGACAATCGTTAGAGAATAGAATCAGTAACTGCACATCAGATAAACTCTTTACTATACATCTATTTCAAACAATTCAAAACCGGTCTGCTGCAGCAACAGTTAAAAGCAAACGCTTCAACCAGATTCAATTTTCAACAATAAAAACGAAACAAATGTTAACAACCAACCACATCTTAACAAGCAACTGGCCATAATGACTATAAACAAAACACATTCTCTTGAGAACGAAGAAAAAATTCCTTCAAAATCATCCGTATAAATAAAGCATAAGCATCGTTTTGCTAGATAGCTGGAGAAACATTTGAGAATGCCGGAATGTTCGAAGAGGGTTATCCTGACAGTTGCCACCGGCGTGTTTGGAATCACCTCGTTGATATGCCTCACTATTGCCATTTCCACAGACTACTGGCTCTTCGCCATCGAAAGGTTCGCCGAAGATCACACAGCCACCAACCTAACCTACAAACTGACCGTCACTGGTCTCTGGAGAAAATGTGTTCACATGGAAACAGGTTAGTTACTTCTTTCTCGATATTTTTAGCAGAAGCAAAACTTGATACTTTACTGTTTCCACTCTTTTATTTTAAAATATTTTGTGATTCTTTGCAGTGGCGGATTTAAGGAAGATAAGGGGTGTTGTATACCCCCTCCGTTGTAAGCACTATTTTTATTAAAAGTCAGTTAAACTCAGTTTTTACACAGAAAAACATTGAAATATAATGCAACAAAAATTGACGTGGTAGGTAAGCAAAAACAGGTCGCCAGCCTAATTTTGACCACACAACCACAAATTTTGCTAGTATCTTGGCCCCGCGTCAAAATTTAAACTTTTACACATTTTTGCCCCTTCTCTTTATAGTTGCCTTGATCCGCCACTGACTCTATTTGAACTTATAATGCTGCAAAAATCAAAAAATTATAAATGGATCTATTTTGTCCATGTCTGTAATAGTTTTGTAAATTAGATCTGGACTAGATCAACTCTGCTATTACGTTGATCCAACTCATTGACTATTCAAATCATTAACTCTTTTCATTTATTCGCACTAATTGAATTTCATCCATCGTGTTTTAAATCATTCACTCTATTCAATTGACAGGTACATCAAGATTAACTTGCTCGCAAGACTCAAATAAATAAAATTCATTCTATTATTTATATGAAACTTATTTATCAGTCAATTTTAAATTAAAACGCTAAATTGAATGTTGTGGACGAACATTTTTACTGATCTTTCTACTTACTTCTCTAATAGAAACAAGGTTCATTCATTCTGCGTAGGTACTATTGGAGAATAGTCTTCATTCAATATATTTAAATCATTACAGATTGTATTCCAATGAAAGTTTTTAACTCCAAATATTTTTTATTTAACGAAAAACTATAAAAAATATTATACTTCCACTTAAATAAATGTTTTTGTGGCATCTCTAGAAGCATCCCAGCATTAGCTTTTCGACCTTTGGCTAAAATATCAATCATATCGTTTTAATGTTCAAGATGCCATAATACTAGCCCACTCTCCTAAATTAGAAGTTTTCTTCCTTTAAATTGAAATTTCAAAATTTGAAATCAGTTGCTGTTGAACAATATAAAGATAAAAGTGATTTGCAAACAGAATACGAGTTCCGTGAAGTGCTAAACAAAATTTACTCTGAATTAAATTGTTAAACTGTATTTAGAAAGAATATTTTTGGAAGAATTTATTATATTTTAAAATAAAATGTTTCATTTATAAGCATTAATATATTAATAATCAAACGACAACTAAAAACAATATTTTTAAAGATTTTTTAGATGCATGTACAAACTTCTGATTTCTTTCTAAATTTTTTCCGAGATTTAAGGTTGTGCGACATTAAGTGATGTTGAAAAAATAAAAAGCATTTGTTAAAACCATCTTCACTTTATTAGTTGTACCAATATTTTGATATCTCATTTGAAAATTAAGCTAATTTTTCAGCTTTTTCATTTTTGATATTTGTAAAAAAATTGACTTTATTGAACTTTTTAAATAAAGTTTTTTTTGAAATATTAAAAATGTAGGTTACCAAAAGTGTGATCCAAAAAATAATTATACATGTGTTTAAAAAATGTTAAACATTAAGACAGTTCTCTTTTATCCAAAAAATAAATAACCTCAATTATTTTATAATTCATTATGAAAAGAAATTTCCAACTAATTTAAAAATCAGCGAGTGAGGCGAACTTGAGTGCATGGCACGAATTTGTGAAGTCACTGAGGAATAAGCTGAGAAATAAAACGGCCCGATATAATATGGATCCCTCGGGCAGGTGGGCCAAACGCGAATGCTAGTTATGGTGATGATTCTTTTTTATTTTCAAGAAATCTCTTTTAACAAAACATACTACAAAATATATATTACAACCACCAACAAGTTGATATAACGTTCCAAATCTCAACCATGCTGAATAAAAAATTGGTTATTGATGGGAGAATTCCTGTTTAGTTTACTCTGTTTCTCCAACTTTTATAAAGTAAGATTAAATACGGGGGAACTTTTTTTTAAAAAGTATAATAGCTAGTGATCTGAAACGTCAGTTTTTGGAAAAAATTGAATTACAAAATTTCACTTGTTCTCATTGGTTTACATTTTGCAGATCGTCACCTTTTGCACTCTTTCAACGCAGCTGAAGTAGTAGGCACTGGCCGTGCAGCCATCAGCAGATCAGCACGTTGATGTTGAAGCTACTAACCATCTCAATTGATTTCAGTTTTAGAGTTTAACCTGAAGAAAACAATGGTGGACAAATTATGGCAACTGTTGTGACTCAATAAATGAAGATGTTTAACTATTTAGATAAGAAACTTATTTTAGTGAGACACTTGATAGTTTGACGGACGATTGACATGGGACCTTTTCCACTTTTCTACCTCACAACGATCACACATCAATATGAGCTAAAAGAACAACTCCATAGCTCTTAGTTTAATTTTTATAAAATCACCATCGTAGGATCTAAAAGTGTCAAACGGAAAGCATCATCATGTGAAAGTTTCCCAACTTAATTCTTGGAAGCAATTTCGTTGTAAACTTTGTTTTAATCTAAATATTATTAATCTATCGGCAGTTGTCTTTTTTGTCTTTATAGCTTGCAACATCGGATGGGTTTTAAATAGATATATTTAGGAGATTTTTTATTGCAAAAATTTTTATTTATTAAAATGATATTACACATAAATTTTATTAATTACAAATGTAAAAAAATTAGCAGTGACACAATGACATAATGTTTTTCATTTTGGTTCTTACTTCATCTCAATATATAAGGAAAGCGATATTTGAGGCACACTTTTTTCAACGTTAACCCTCGAATGAACGAATGAACGAACGAACGAACGAACGAATGAATGAATGAATGAATGAATGAATGAATGAATGAATGAATGAATGGAGATAAATAATTGATAAAATGCCTCAATAAACAACAGAGGTCGTCAGCCAGACGGGAAGAAACTGCAGTTACATAAACTATTTCAAACAGCAAGACAAGGACGGCCTGGGACCCACGGACGCCATTTTGCGTTAGAGATTGAATTTCTGATTATCTAGCAACATTCATTCGTATTATTTTTCTTCAATCGGACTTTGTTATTATTACTGTTGTTACTAGTTTTTAATATTATCATTATTTTTATTATTATTATCATTTTAAATACATTTTATTATAATTCATTTTATTAGACATTTCTTTTTATTATTTGATTTTCTTGTTTTGATGAGTGAATAAAAGTAAAATATATTTCCATTATTATTATTATTATTATTATTAAATTGTTTCCTATTTTTAACTAGTTACTAGTATTTATAATTATATTATTTCAAACATTTTATCGCGAAATCCTGCCTGTAAATTACAGACATTTGTTCATCAAATGAACTGTTATTTCAATTTATATCGTATATAAATAGATTTTCATAAATAATTTTTTTAATTTTATCAAAAAATTAAGTTATTAAAGTGCATACATGTTCAACTTAATCTTCAAATGAACCGTCGTCATAATTTAGAACGCATACAAATAGAGCAGACATACACATAGACATAGAGCGGGAATACATACACACATTTCAACCGTGTGACTAATTCATCTATTATAATTATTATAATAATTAAACATACCTACAACAATAGATGCATGCAAACACACACGCACACATTCACACACGTACACATACACATAAGTACACACACACAACATACATACTACTTGAGCATGTTCACTTGCCAAGGTGTTGAAATGTTTATTTTTAAAGTCACCAAGGTACACACACTCACATTTCTTTCAACCACAGACTACTTGCTCTCATGTGAAAGAATTTCAGGATTTTGATTTTTTTTTCACATACACGCATGCACGTGTTACACAATAATCCATCCATGCATGAACGCAAACAATTCAACTCAATGTATACACGTACATAGTTAAACACAACATAAAAACGATTTAACAAAACCCTCGTATACACGTGCAAATACTGCATATTACAAATTGTACACAGACCAACATATATACCATCCAACCAAGCATCCGAACATATACACACACTAATGTAAGCAGTCTTACCCTTAAAACCGCCACTAACTTTCCACCACCAACGACAGTGTCCCTGCGTAAATCGACGTTGTTCCCACTGATCAGCTTGTTGATCCTGCTGGGCGGCCAGGCCGTCTACATCATGTCTCACTGCGACAGAAACAAAAAAGTCTTAACTTTTGTGTCTGGCATCGTTTTCGTCATTGCAGGTGAGCATGGTGTTCATTTCTTGTTAAATGTGCTGTAATGGCTCTTAAATCTACATGAAATTGACATAAATTATTAATTTTGCGAACAATTTATACGGCAGACAGCATGAACACACATTAACTATCCACAAACGCCACTAACTACCACACAGTACACACACACGCACGCACGCACACACACACAAACACGCACACACCGAGTAGCATGCATTACCAAACTGAGTGACCTTACTAGACTAGTACATTGACAACAAACTCGGGATGCTTTCGACAATTTTTTTATTTTCAATTTGTCCACATAGTGAAATGTTTTTAGGGCATTGACTTTGATGGAATATTTGTCTTACATTTTTAATTACATTTATTCATTTTTTAAATTATTCTCTAACACAGTTTGCTAATGAATGAACTTTTATTTATGATTTTGCATAATAATAATAATAATTCTCTTTTCATTTTTTGAAAAAACCGTTGTGTAAAATATTTCATTCATTCATTCAATGATCCTCTGTAATCCCTTAAGGGACCGTTGAGGCCGATGGTATTTTTTTATCTCTCCAAAATCCTTTTCTTTCCCTCGCCATCTTCATTGAGCCTAATGTTCCAACCCCCGTCCATTCCGTGATATCATCCATCCACTTCCTCACAGGTCTTCCCACTTTTTTCTTCCAGTCCCTCTTTCTCATCAGTACTTTTTTGATCAGTCTGTCGTCTGTCATTCTGCAGATGTGCCCAAAGATACCCAGCTTTCTTTCCTTGACACTTTCATACACAGTTTTTTGTCTTCCAAGTTGTTTTCTTATGGCATTGTTTCTTATCTTTTGTCTCCAACTGATTCCCAGCAACTTTCTATAAAATATTTAAATTTTAAAAATATTCTAAACTTTATAACGTGTACACACGCACAGCTTGTTTTTCAATGTAGAATTTTAACAGCAAAGTTAATTATAAAAATCAAACAAAAAAATAAGCAATACAAGTGTAATAAAAATAATTCAAAAAGTTCTTCAACTTGAATGTTTATTAAAAGTCGATTGGGACAGTTCAATTTCGACACTAGATATATGTATATCTATATGTATAATATATATGTATAGATGATTTTGTGATGAATGGCCGATAATTTTCTTTTTGATGAATTATATTTTGTGTGGCATTTACGTTTGTCCAATAGACAAAGGTCTCTATCCTAACACTTCAACTGAAAGCTTAGAAAGTTCAGGACTTCATCGAAGGTAGAACGTTCTGAGGCATAGTTTTCAGTCATTGTCACCAGAAATGGGTCTAGTATGGTCACCGAGTGTGTACGGGTCAGAAAGAATGGATATTCAACAGCCAAAATTAACAGAAGTATAATTTGAAACCGTCAAGTATCTGCGACGAATGAAGATAGATAGTGTTTCAATTTAGGCCACTTTTTTCGGCAAAGAAGTTGTCCATGCTATTTTCAATAAATAAATTGTTAAATTTTGTGAGCATTTTCAGATAAAAGTTATAATTTTTTTTATAAAATTTTAACTTGCAATAAAAAGTCTTAAACCTTAATATGCAGATGTTCAAATGTTTATAATACGTAAGTTATCCATTTCATAAAAGAAATATGAACGAATAATTAAAATTGTTTATAAATACTTGATATCACCTCACCGGCAACAATGTAAAAAGATTATTTTAGAAATGAACATCTAACGACGTTTTATTTCCACGACGTTAAACATCTAACATCTAACGACGTTAAACCCAATTATATCTCATAAATGATGTTTAGATAATTGGGTGACTTGATAGCTTGTGATTACAGCACAACTGCTGCCGAGCCAGCTGCTACGTTGCGTTTGTGAGTCTTGCTAGTAGCTTAACTGTTGTACTGATTATGATTCTGATGATGATGTTGTTGTTGTTGTTGATTATTAATCATATTGCTCCATATTCATAATTTGTTTGTTTAATAACTGCGTCCAACCAACCATAGTATTGAACAGAATATTCTTACACCAATCCAATGTATCTTAAATAAATGTTTATTTCTTTTTTTGAAAAATCTCAACATTTAAGCATTTGTTCTTTGACAGCTATCAATATAGCGTTAATTTTTCTTCAACGTTTAATATCGACCACATCACCATTCTTTTTTTGATATAACTTTTTTCTATTTCATTATTTGTGGTGAGATTTTTAAATTCTGCAGAATGTGACAATTGTTACATATCGGTAGCAGTGAAATGGTAAAGTGGATTATTTTACAAATACTCATTTATTCACGCACGCACACGTACACATCCCACACACAAAAAACACACACATACACGCACACACATACATTATATGTAGATGTTCTTTGTTTTGTAGCGGAGTGTTTAAACAGATAAATTCTGGAATCTGTATGAGGGATTTCTGTTAATTATGCAAATTAATGAGGAACAAGTAGATAAAGAACGATTCAATTTTTAAAAAACTCCTTCATGGTCGTGTTGTTACGATCGTACAACATAAATGTACATTTGAAATTTAAATCAATCGTCCCACTTTATTCACTTGCCGGAATATTAAAAGCATGTAATGAAACACTCAAAATGTGATTGACAAAGTGGCAAAATGATCTTTCGATCGAATAATCACATAAACTTTAAATAATGCACCTGTCTGCTTTAATGCACTAAATGTACTAGCTAGCAGCACACTACCGCACACACACACACACACACACACACACACACACACACACACACACACACACACACACCGCATACTCGTATCGGGGAGCCCATGATGATGTGAATGAAGATGTGTTTAATTGATCTTTGGCTTAGTTTATTATTTTTATACCATGATTGGTATATATATATATATATATATATACATATAATATACATATAATATACATATATTAAATATATATATTTTTATACCATGATTGGTATATATATATATACATACATATAATATACATATATTAAATATATATATATTATATTTATATATATATATATACACACTTATATCTGTGTGTATGTGTGCGCGCGTCTTTGTATGTATGTGTAAACACTAATAAATATGCATCCGTGTCTTGTGTTTATGTTTGGATGAATTCACAGTTTGTTGATAAGTTAGTTAATTATTTTATTACAATTTAAGAGAGCAAGCAAAACGTGTATTTGGAATTCTATGCTCAAATTTATACAAAGAATTTAATTATTATTTAAATTATCTGCCAACTGCCATGCATTTTAAGGTTAAGGTTTATCTACATTGGATTTTAATAAAACAAATTTATAATTTACTACGCAACGAGCATGTCTGAGCATGAAGTGATTACATTTCCATTTTGCTTCATTAAATCAAACACGTTCATTATAAAGGATTGAATAACAATTGCGGACATGTGAACTGCGACCTGCCTGCTTGTAATGTTTCGCATAATCAAGAAACCAACTACGTCCAACTGCAGTAATTCATGTCCACCGCAGAATATTAACAACACAAACTCGTTCGGACACAATGAACTTATGAAGTCACGATGTGTGTTGCGTGTGTGTGAATCTGTGTGTGCGTATGTGTGTGTTGTGTGTGTATCTGAGTGCGTGTATGTGTGTGTGTGTACCGTGCGAGCAGCTTCTATATGAATAAGTGAAAGAAAACAGCCTGCACATAGCACAGACACACAATGTTTATGTGTGCATGTATGCATACATATTTACATAGACACACACACGCACGCACGTACATATATGAGTGTATGTTGATGAAGTTCAATGTTTTGTTTAAGCATTTCATTACATGGCATATATATATATATATATATATATATATATATATATACATATATACACACATATATATATATATATGTGTGTGTGTGTGTGTGTGTGTGTGCGCGCGTGTCTTTATGCGAAGTATGCACGTATGCATGTACGTATATATAATATGAACGTACGTATGCATATACGTATATATAGTTTATACGTATGCATTTATTTATTTTATTTCATGTTAAAATTGCCCAAAAAATAAATAAATACTTTATCCTAAATTATAGCTGTGCAACTGAGATTTCGTAGAAACATTTAGAAATATTTTAAACCGCCTTTGGCGAATTTTGTATCACATTAAACGTATGATGAACGTATAATATATATACAGGGTATATATAATTATGGATGTATACTATTATATATATGCTCGTATGTATATATGTATATACATACATATGTGTATATGTAAAAACGTCTTTATACCTTGTATACAAGGTTCAGTATTTACAAAGTTTGTTTTGTCTGTCTACAAATAGGAACATGAATATTCATACAGCTCCGTGTCCATTCAACAATAGGTAGTAGTTGGCCGGCATGTGAATATGTTAATAGCTGCGTAAACGAACAACTATTTAAGCCGACTCGAGCGTTGTCGTTATTTAACAACACGTGTTTCCAGTAAAGTATCGTTTTAGTTTAATTTCTGGATTAATTATCAAAATTGTTCTTCTAGTTTGGTAGGATGGAGCAGATTCTTGGAGTGTTGGGTAAGATACCGAACACAAAAACAAGAAATGATGACGATTTTTCGGATAGACTGTTGTATCGTCACACGAGTGCTTTGTTCGTTCTCTTCGCCATTGTTGTGTCGACGAAGCAGTACGTAGGAGACCCCATCCAGTGCTGGGTCCCTGCTGAATTCACAGGCAACCATGAGGAGTACACCAACAACTTCTGCTGGATAAGAAATACGTATTACCTGCCGTACGAAAAAAACATTCCAAAGGAATACGAGCACGACAAACGACAAATCATTCCGTACTACCAATGGATGCCCATGATTCTGGCCATTCAGGGACTACTCTGCTATCTTCCCATCCTTCTCTGGAGGTGTTTGAACGACAAGTCGGGCATCGACGTCAACACAGTTGTGGAGGCAGGAGAGGCCTTCACGAACGCTGAGATAGCCGAGAGCAGGGAGAAAACTCTGACTCACATGACCAGACAATTGGATAGATATTTGTCAAATCAAAAAGATGTGCCCAAAGGTTGTACAATAAGTTTGAAACAATGTTTTTCACATGCTTGCTGCTCATTGTTTGGTCGTCACAAGGGAAATTATCTGATGTGCCTTTATCTGATTGTTAAGGTACTCGCACTGGCATCTGTCTTCGGTCAGTTATTTGCTTTGAATTTTTTCCTCGGACAAGATTTCCATATGTATGGATTTGATGCTATACACAGCATGATTACGGGAACCGACGTTTCAGCCTCTCCTCGCTTTCCTAGAGTCACCATGTGCGATTTTAAAATACGTCGTCTGGGAAATGTTCAACGTTACACGGTGCAATGCGTTCTGCCGATCAATCTCTTCAATGAAAAAATTTATCTGTTCGTGTGGTTTTGGTTGGCATTTGTGTCTGCAATTCTTTCCTTTTCTCTGATTTCGTGGATCGCTAGGGCTGTAATGAAATCTGACAAGCACCGTTACATTCGCAAACACTTGCACCTGATGGAGAAGCTACAACGTGATTCAGACAAGAAGAATGCTGTGAAGTTTGTTGAAGATTATTTGAAGCAAGATGGCGTTTTCATTCTGAGGTTGGTCGGTCACAACACCAACGCTCTAACAGTTACTGAGTTTGTGGGCCACCTCTGGGACAACTACCGCGTCAAGCCGCTGACTGATCGCATAGAGAAGGAACTCAGTGAGGTTTAAACTCATCTATATACAAGTAACCAACTAAACTGACGTGTTATTATTTTGATATAACTACATATAATATATATAATATCTTACATAAAAAGACTAATTTTTTAAAACGTATTTGCGATTTTTTATCACTGTTTTTGTTTTTATTATATGTAAGAAAGCTTCCTAATAAACCTTATTTTTGATCGTTGCCTTATTTATACGTTATAATTCAGGATTTTTAATGGATCACTTTTATAAAATTGATTTTAAGAAACTGGATATTTGAAAAAGTATTTCATGCAAAAACCTTTTACTATTTTTTATTTAATGTATTATAAAAATATTTTTTCAGCAGTTATAGGACTGTTATAGACCTATAGACCAATGCAATGCGAGTTATAGCCATGTTCTTAAACGTTTGAATTTTTATTTTTCTGGAACTGTCATCTTTAAACTGTTTCCTGTTCATCCATGTTTTTCCGTGTGTATATAAAGATGTTTTCAATAAACTCTATCTGTTTCAATCTCAGCATTTCATGATTTATTAATTAGATTTATTGATTATGTTTAATATTTTAACAGATATTTTACTGAATAAATAAATAATTTAATGTAAATATTTAACGCAAATTTGTCTTCCAGTTTTTCAGTATTTTATGTGTCGTAAATGTTTCATGCAGGGTATAAATTACATAGACCTTGGGTGTTTTCTTTATAAATTTTTAATTATACATAATTTTTTTTTATCATGAACATCGGATTTTCAGACGCGATGAACTTGTGCGTTAACTAATTACATAATAACTATTTAATGATGAAATTTCGTATAAACCCTGTTAATATATTTTTGTATTTAATTGGATTATTTATTTTTTACTATGCGGAAAGTTTTCATTACGTACTTGTGTTCATTGGTTTAGGAAACGATCATTCGTATTTAAAACATGAAAAGTTACTTTTGACATTTTTTTAACCTGCGTAATTTTAATTTCATATCATGTTTCTCTTCAGTTATCACGTTGAAATGGAATGTGGGAACGGTAAAAACTTCGAACATTAGCATTATTTAGCATTATTTAACGAATATGCTACGAGTGCTTGATTTTGTGACATTTGAATTAAAATTGAAAAAAGTAATATTTTTAATTGTTTAATATGAAATAATTTTACTCAAAACAACGTACGTTTGTGTGTGTGTGTGTGTGTGTGTGTGTGTGTGTGTGTGAGGAGGTAATGACGAGTTACGTCATCTTGACTGACCCGACAATAAACGAAAATGAGTCAATTGAATTAATTATAACAGAATTAAGGTTGGCCCACAGTAGCATATTATCTGTGACTTAGGTGCATAATTTTATTATCTTGCTATGTGTGCTTTTGCATCTGTCACATTGCTACCATAAATACGTTTCTATCTATATGTTAATACACGCTAACATGTAGGTGCTTAACTTATACAAATTTACTTATTTATTTAATTGCTATGAAGTACTGAGTATCATGTAACTAACTGGTTAATTCTGAACGAGAAATCACATAATTTTCATTAAAACATTTCGGAAATTGAAGATAACAAGACAGCCATCACAGTGTTTTATTATTAAATTTTAATTTTTTGGGAAATTTAATGTTTCTATAAAATTAATAATGTTTGTTTCGATGTAGATAGTTTTAATAGAGCTATTTGAGTCATGTTTTGGATAGGGGTCCAGTTTGATTTTATAAATTTATTGAAATGAATTATAAATTAGTTTTTATATAATTATTTGCAATATACCTAATTAATTTGTCAAGGCTATCAACAAATTTATTTTTGTTAATTTTTAGAAGCTAGGAACAATACCATGACGCTGAGTAAGACTTACACTTTACACGTTTTTTTTCTACAATAATAAAATGAAGGTCCACTCCTTGCAAAATTGTTTTATCAATGTCCAAGATTGCAAGAAAGTTTAGCCTTTCTTCTGATGTTGTTGAACGCAAATAGCGCTTTGAACTAGAGAAAGACCGCTCGGTCAAACAGTTTTTTTTAGCAGGAATACAAGTGCACATCCGAGGTGCGTGCAATGCCTACATTTGGATATATTATACACACTGCAACTCATTCACTCTTATCTATTTGAATAAATAAATTAATGTGTTTAGAACTAAATTTTGGTCTAAGGAGGCCAAAAAAGACTTTAAATGCAACAGTTTGGAATTTAGGATGGCATCTAGATGGTTGGGAAATAAAGATCTGGACGACAAATTTATTTTTATTTAACTTGAACATTTTCAAATCATTGGTTTTCAAAATTTACCGCCCCTCAAAATTGTGTCCTTGTAGTATTCGGATTTCGCCTTTCACAAAGTGTTGAAGGTTATACTGCCATCTTGTTAAAGATTTAATAAAAGATCTGGATCAGCTCTACTATGCAATTTTTTTTATTTCATATCAGTTTTAAAACGAACAACCCCAAAATTGCATTTAACAGGCAGTATTGCATTTAAGAATAACAACAACTATTTAGATAAACTATAACAGAAGCAATAGCAACATCTGAAAACAAAAGAACAACCACAAAGCAATATCATTCAACCAACACAGCGCATCTTTAAAACTCACATCTTGTTCTTTGAAGAGCGAATAAAAATTTATGTTTTCTTCTATTGTATCATCGTATTGTTTTGTACTGTACTGTATTGTATTGTATTGCACACACACACCTCACACACATACATACATACAAACACACACACGCACATACATACGTACACAGATACATATTTTATACAACTACACACACACTAACACACACTCATGCCAGGTCTGTTAATATTGATCGGAATCATACTGTACATTGGCGCCATCACAGAAGAAGCGGGAAGTAAATCGAAGCCTAACATGGAAAAACCGAAATTTGAATATTGGTACGGCTATTCATTCGTGTTGACCATCACATCATTTAGTACTGCTGAGTTAACTGGCGTTCTATCTGTCTACCTCTACATTTCGAGGTGAGTGCATGCTGTCCTGTTGTGATATTCTGTTGTGTTTTAGTTGTTGCGTTTTGGTGATATTCTGGTGCAGTGTATTTTGTAGCAGCATGTTGTTGATTTCATTTTTTTTTAAGTTTTTCTCTGGTTTCATCGAATGCTTTTTCAACAATGTTTTGGTTGTGTTTGTGTTATTTTCAGCAACCATCGCCATCGTTGATGTTTCTCATCGTCGTCTCATCACCATCGTTTTTGTTAAAATCCTCTTCACGCATCTTGACAGTAACACCCACAGAAATGTAACTAAACTATATGTACATCTAACAAACAAACATTTATCCAAATCATCTTCTTCTCATTTCATTCCATTATCTTCTCTGGAATATTTAGTCAACAAAGTAGCAGCTGTGAGCTAACTTAAGTTCCATGGTGATGCCCCCACCACCACAAAATTCGTATTAGATCTAATAAAATCAGTTGCCATGTTGTCGTAACATGTACAACGATCTGATGACGTCATCATCTCGTCATCACACTACTTCACGTGACATCTTACTTCATTGCAAATTATCAAGCCACGACCGTCATTCCGCAGCACTCCACTCTTCATACTCCATTCCATCTAATGACAATCCATTACGTGCTTTCAGTTTTCTCTCAAAAATATAATATATACAAATGCAAGCATCAACTAACATCAACAAACACGCAATCACATCATCATGACGTCATCTACAACAGACACAAGCAATAATCGCAAACATCCTTCTTCCCAACATCCAGACACAAGCACTCATACCGAAAAAAAGCAGAACGCCTCCACCAAAACCAAAACTACACCACATCTTTCAACCAACTGCACTCGCGATCTGCAATTTCACTGTCGAACGTTGTAGAAGTCAGTCAGAAGCAACAGCAACAGCAACAACAACAATCATCTTCAAACGACCCTTACAACAACAATGCGACAACAACAAACACTTCTCGCTCCCCCAACACAATAAGATCGAATGGTAGGGCAAACGGTTACATCGGCGGTTTGGGAGCATTCGGCTTGCGAGCAGATGATTGCGCTGGCTACGTTCAACAACAGCAACAACAGATGTTTGCAAACAACAACAACAACAACAACAATTTGCCTGCATACGATGCATCACCGATGTACGTCGTTGACTCGAGGGACATGGAAGCACAATCATCCTATCAACAAAAAGGTTTGAAGCAACACCCACTCACGAGCTGGTCGTCGTCTTGCTTCCAGCAGCCACAACAAACGCAACAAAAACTGCTTATGTCAAAACCGGCGTCATCGGCATCGATGCTGATGATGATGAGCGGCCACGTGCAGCAACCACACGAGCAGTGGCTCTCGAGTGACATGCCACTACACGCCACGCTACACAACTCTAATCTTACTGCTGATTACAACTATCACAATGATGAACGCTTGCAGAGAAATGACGTGGACGACGACGACGACGATGACGACCTGGAGAGCACCAGCAACTATGAGCAATCAACACCGAGGATGCTCGTGTCTGTAATGACGGGAGCGCCTATTGCTGCTGGTTAGTGACGTCATCCAAATAAATTATTACGGAGCGTCTGTGTGAATTATTATGCACCATCTAAAAAATTATTTTGCGCCACCTAAAATTTTTTATCGGCTATCTAGTGCTGACAAAACACAGTTTATCAAATGAAAATTCCGACATGGCCGGTGATTTCAACATTCCTCTAGAAAACGCTGATGATTTAAGTAGCAAACGAATAGAAATTTTTTTCAATATTTGATATAGTTAGATTGGTTCATGCTATCACTCATGTTATGGATGGAATGTTGCACAGTGTGACTGCTGCGTCTAGCTGCGGAAATGTTGCTGTTGCTGCCGAAACATCGAAAGATTTTTCATGTAACTTTTTGCTCATTTCGGAAAAAAAACGAAATCATGACTAAGTTAGTGCGATGTTGGAAAAAATTTAAAAAGCTGTTTTTTCCATTCTTGCTGGCTTTATAACTTGATGAGATTTTACCTTTCAGAATTAATTGAAAAATATGCCCAATAACTTTTTGGTTTGACAAAGAGTGCATGTTAACTCGGCTAAAGTTAAAACAGTCTGAACGAAGATTTTGTGGAACAGGAAATATGATCGATAAAGAAAATCAGTATGATGGTTTGTAAAACTGATGGTTCAAACGAGAAAGTACGACCATGTGACTTTGTGAGTACCTGTAAGAATTCAAGATGGATAAGTGCTAAACAATTTCATTAGATGGAGGGTAGAAAAGTGTTGAGGATCCGGAAGGAAAATGATTTTCAGGGAGCGCGAGTGGAATCATGAGTATCTTCAAAATGTGCGATCCAATGATGTAGAACACTTTTCCCAAAATAAAAAAATTAAATAAAAAAAAACTCTTTTTAGAAAAAACTCAAAACATTTTCATAGGAGAGAGGGCTTTATGTATAAACACTAATAAAATTGTTGTCCCATCAAAATAGATTATTATGTGCTATTTGAACCAATTATTAAGTACTGCCAGAATAAATGAATCGTTAGATATTATCTTATTAAAATATTATGTACTATCTAATAAAAATATTACGTACTACCTATCGACATATTTGTAAATACTCAGCTAATAGGGGATGTGATTGTGAACAGTGTAGTGACTTAGTCAATTTATTTAGTTAACTGCCACAGTAATGTGAGACACATGGAAGTACAGATTGTACTGATTGTACTGATATGATGTAATGACTAATGGTTTTGCTGATATTTTACTGAAAATGTTTGCAGACATAATCAGTCTGCAATATAGGTAATGATGATTTGAGTCATGTTAAGATTGATTTATGATTTGGGGTTTTAAAAAATATATCAATTTATATTAACAAAACGACGTAACCAGATCAAACTGCAAAAACCATCATTCACGTCCTAAAAACACGCTATCACATGAAAACGAAACTGACAACCTCACAATTTTCAAAAAACAACACAAAAACAACAACTAAACCATAAAAACAACAATATCACCCAACAAATCAACACTAACAATTCAACAACAATGCCTCGCAAAAATAACTCAACCACACCGCACCACCGCAGGCTTGAAATCGAGGGAGTCGTCGAAACACGCGCTGGCGTCTGGGCTGCCGCAATCAACGACCAACATGAACACACCTTTGTCTTCAGAGCGGTTCACTCCAAATCACGCTAGGAACTTGGGCACCCCTGACACCATGTACAGAAGAACTACACCGGTTTAAAAAGTGGATGCAACTAATTCCTCTCTGGAATATTTCAACGTGTATATCGGGCTTTCAACACGAAGACATACGATGTCGAAATATTTCAAGAGCTCCGCACGAATTGCAAACTCGGAATTTTTAATTCTAAAATTTCACAACAAATGCTGTAAATGTCATTAAAAATTGTGAGACTTGATCGTCACTTTATTTTTACTTTTATTTTTTTTATAGGGTATATAAAGTGCGTGAGTGGATGAGTGAGGAAGTGAAGATGGATGAGTGAGGAAGTGAAGATGGATTGACACGCGCGTGAAGTTGACCGAGTGCCGAGACGTGGCAGATGTGGATAACAATTTAACAACAAATGCTGTAGACGATGGTCCTTTAACAACCAGCTAAACACTCGATCACCTACCTACTTACTGCTTAAACATGTAGATACATAGATGTAGTGCATACAGACGTTTGAGCGACATATATCAACTTAATAAGACTGATACGCAAAATAACAAACCTTCATTTATGTATGCCCAAAATTTAAACCATATATATATATATATATACATATATGTATGTATATATTATATAATAATGTAGTATTCACAACAGTAAGTAATCATTTATTTATATAAACAACTATAGCGAACAGCATGTATAAATGATCGTATGCATTAAATGGGAGGTTTCATATTCATTAGCGGATGCATGAACATCGGTTGAATTTGTAAAATATTGCATTGATTTTGGCCCTCTGGCATCATATGCAGATGAGTGTACACACACACATAAACATACATACACGTGCACACACACATACTACCTTATGCACACAGAGTCAGGAAAGAGATTATTTTTATTTTCCTGCAGCGAGACACACGTTGTCATTTCTGTTTGAACCCATGTTGTTGTTGTTGTTGTTGTGCATGCATTGGAGTACGTGTGAACTTGTGTGCAACTACGCGTGTCTGTGCGCGTATCATTCTGAGTGGCCGCACACGTTGCATCCGATAGCTGTGATGGAGCTGGGAGGTTGTCAAGATGCGACCAATGTGCTGGGCGTTATACAAACGCATGCTCTCATGTACGCGTCTACGCCTGCGTTTCTGTAAATGTGCATGCATTCGCATATTTAGGCGTGTCTATAACCATGCATTAATGCGTGTCTATGCATGTACATACATACATGCATTGATATATGTGCGTGCATGTTTGTTGCATTTAAGAATCAGTAATCAAATGTGAGCCTACAAGGTACAAGCATCTCTTTCAACCTACAGTCTCGAAAATGCATGTTTGCATGCCTGTCTATGTATGAAAGCATGTATGTAGTATGCATGAATATGCATGAAGATGTTCACGGTACGTATGCATGAATGTGTGTACGTACGTGCATTCATGTACGTATGGGTGCATGAGTGCATGTATATATTGAAACTTGATAACCAAAGTTTACAAAGCCACATGAATTGGAACCGAATAATTACAAGTCAATAAAAAAGCAGACAATACAATACATAGAGTAGAGTTGAGTTCATTCATATGCAAGACCAACCAATGACCGACACATTAACACATCTGAACAATTGAAGATTACAAACAATTTCATTTAATACACTTTTATTGCATATTTGCAAAATCAAGCAGCCTATATTACAGCGTAATGTAACGTTAACATTAATGAAGCAACCTCTAAGACGAACGATGACTTCAAATTCTTGCTAAAATATGGATCGATACGGTGGTCCTATATATTGGTGTGTCGGTGCACTGCACAGACTCATTAAACGTTCACCCTGACTGACGTTCTAACAGAATCTTGAAGCCTAACTTGTGACAATTTGCATTTAATATATTAATAATACATTCAACTACCGTTAATTGTTATATAAAAATAATTTAAATAATAAACATTATAAAGTTAACTCAGCACTTACAGCACAAAAAGATATTTATTTTCTTCTTGTTAACCGTTGTACTTAGAATCATCATCAACATCTTCAATATCATCATATTATATCATTTTATTATCATCATCATCATTATTATTATTGTTAATATCATCAATCATTTTATCATCATCATTGCATATGTTGTATTGTTATTGCCAACAACGCATCAAAATGTAAAGATTATGAACCGATGATGAACCGATGATGAACCGATGATGAACCGATGATGAACTGATGATGAACTGATGATGAACCGGTTAACCCTCTTTCCCATTCGATAAAAATTTGGTCACACGTCAACCTCAACATTGTGATAATAATTATTATTATACGCTTACATTAACATACGATAATGAAAGGATATTGAGCTGATGATAATCAATTCAATTAAACAATCAATCAATTAATTAATTATTTCATTTAAACAATTAATTAATTAATTAATTCAGTAGAATACAATGAATGACATTTATATCGAGTGATAATGTTGATAATGAATGAACGAACGAACGCAATGTGACTAACAAACGAATCGTAATAAACTCAGAGATTAATTAACTTCTTCACTAATGAATGATGATGATTATTATTATTTTTATATATACACATATATTTGTAGTTTAACTTGCCACAATAACTTAATTTATTATTTTCTAACGTTTTAATAACTTTTATTCACATATATAAATACATGAATGTATGTATGTGTTTATATATATATATATATATTATTTGTATCACGATGAGTATTGTTGTATATACATATAAAATGGAAACGAATGCAGATTGCACGTGTGTTAACGGTCATGTTACATAAGCACCACACAAACATTCTACCAGAAATGTTCCAACGTACTAATGCATCGGTGAATTAATACAAATTAACGTTAGAATACAATTAGCCGACATGCCGGTGCATTAATGCGTTGTTGCGTATGATGAACTCGTGTAATGTTTCTTAATGTGATGGCAAATTAATGCAGTGATTATTACAAATTGTTCATATCTTGTAACCACCATCCACACCACCATCATCATCATCTTCGCCATCATCATCTTCTTCACCATCGCATTCATTATTTAATCTAAAAACAAATAAGCAAGCACCAGTTATTTTTTATTATTTATATTGTTAATATTACTGACGCGACCAGGCACCCAGCCATATCACACACATTGTAACATCATCACCAACAACACATCACCGTACCCTTCTTAATGATATATATATATATATATATATATATATATATATATATATATAATTATTATCATCATCGTAGGATTGTTATTCACATTTTCCTGTTCACCAACGAAGTTTTAACGTACGATATTTCCTTTTTTAATTTATTATTTAGCATTCAGCAATACTGTATGTGCGTTTGTCATTTTGTCTAGAAACATTTGTACCGATCAATAATGAACACTTCAATTTGAGAAGAGAGATTCAACTAAATAAATATAATGAGAAGTTGGAGTTGTCTTGCCCGCATCTGTTCTGCGTCTCTGTATGTCAGTTGCGACGCAGAAAAATTTGTTTAGAAAATTAAACAAACCGTGTGAGCGGGAAAGGTTAATTAATGTAAATAATAATTACCATACCTAACCATAATAATAATAGCAATAATAATAATAAATAATAATAGTAAGCAAAAGAATAAACAATAATAATTAATAATTGAACAATTTTTTGATAAGGTGAAGTTAAACTGTATGAAGAAAATAGTCTTCAAAATTTGGCTTCGTGATTGAAATGAGTCGCTAGACGTTATCAAAATACGACAATAAGAATAGAATGCACGATTAACGGTTATGTGAGTGGTTATGAATGAATTACATTTTAAATAAACATAATTATTTTTTTCAATAAAGAGCTAGCAAGTTAGGGCAAACATTAAATTAAAAATGGCAATAAAAAGTAAAAGTTAACAACGGATTCACATCAGATCATAAAATAACTTTTACACATTTCTATCAACATTCAATAACTGCACTGAATAAGAATTCATCAAAAATTTTTTGAAAAGTTATCTTCACCGTAATTACAGTTTAGAAATTAACAACGTTTTCTATCAGTAAAACGAAATTTTACATTACGAGCTGCTTCAGAGCAATAAATTCAATTATCAGAGATGATATCATTCAGTCAATTATCGCAAATTTTAAATCAGTTTCACTTAACTGTGGATTGTTAATTATAATAATAATGGCAGTGATAATAATAATAACAATAATATTTCGAATAATAAAAAATGCCATCGATAATAATAATTAAGCCTTCGAAATGATAAAAAGAACAGTACAAGGCAGTTTCAAACAAGGAAAGTTCAAAAACTTCCAACAAACGAACGAGTGCAGGCAGGTACACGCACTGTAACGTTAATCGAGCAACTTATGCCAAGCTAGTTAATTAATTCACACGTTATAGTGTGGTGGAAAATGAATAAAATTTATTTTAAAAAAACATTTCAACAATACTGTTTGATAAGAAAATAATAAACAATACTAAAAATTATCGACACAGGATTATAAAGGATGTGAACGTGAGAACCGGCCAGGCAAATGGATTAACGAGTTATGATAAAAACTATTCTGAACAACAACAACCATGACAAGCCACGGAAACTATGTACATAGTACGTACATACAATGTACATTACAGTACAGTACATAACTACAGAATGTTCAGGAACCACAAAATTTAAATCTATCACACCAGGTAAGGTAAAAAGTAAAAATCAAATTTGACAAATTAAATATGTATATAATATATTTTTACACGTAAATATTCATTAATTTTATTACAAGTTTAATAGCTGACAAACAAATATGAACATTTTGACGAGCCCAATTTGAACAACAAAGTCTCTAAAATAAACAAGCTGACTTATTTTGCACAATTATATGGAACAGAAATAAACCGATTTCTCATAAATGCAAATACTTATACATGCATATACAATACACACTCTCTCTCTCTCTCTCTCCTCTCTCTCTCTCTCTCCTCTCTCTCTCTTCCTCTCTGCGATCTGTTTTTTGTTTCTCCGTCTAATTTTTATTTACAAACAAGCATTGGATCAATGAAAAAAAGTTTTAAGTTATTTTTAAGAGCATCATTTCGTTTTTATGATATTTCCTGATTAACTGAATTCCTAATTAACTAAAACTAGACAAAGCACTAGAAAGTAAATTAAATAAATGAAAATTAAATAAACAGGAAAATAATTAATAATGTAGAATAATGAAATCACGATGGTGCTAGGCTAGAGTTTGTGCTGTCGAAGTTCAGTCAGAAGGTGCATCACCTGAATACAGAATAATGTTCATGGACATGTTCAATCGTCAGTTTTTACATTGCTTACCGAATTGAGAAAAAAATAGAAAACATTTAAAACACATATTCGAAAAACAACTGAATACAATATAAAGATAAAAACTAAGATGGATAACCCTCTCAAAAACAGTCCAGGAAAGCGCAGATGTCAACGTTTTCTTGAGAAGTCGCGGGGGCAGTCCTTTGAAGAAGCCCAACATCCCACTATGCTGTATTGAAACAAATCATTTTTAGCATGATCTTTCCTTCTCTAAATCAGATTATAACGTGTTCAGAGTATATTTCAGCGTAAAAAAAGCCTTTTAAAAATTCTTAAAGTTAACTCAGACAAGCATTCAGACCTAAAACCAGATGTGGCACAAAAAAGGATCACTGAAAAACATGAAAGTGTGTGGTTATGTGAAAAAGCCTACCCTGACCTTTCAACAACATACCCAAATTTGCATACTATTTTTACAAAAATCAGCTAAAAAAAGCTTGGCTATAACAAAATGGATATATTTAAAAAAATCTGTAAAATGCCCCTAAAAAGCATCTGTCTAAAAAGGTATAAAAATTAATTACAAAGCTATAATTCAGTCAAACACTTGTAATAAAGTACGAACCTTGTATATGTGTCGGACGGCTTGTGTGTAATTATGACAAATGGATGGATATGTTTGCACTTGAGTTTTGACCACATCCGGTGGATGTGTGAGCAGTGAAGACAGGAAGCCAGATACTAATCCACAGGACAAATATAAACTTGTAGAAGAAGAACTCATGCTCAAATCTGTAGCATGTAACAACGTAAATATTTATAACATAATTATTACTAAGTAAATCACAATTGGGAATATTTGAAATAGACGTTATTGGAATTAAAATAGTAAGGTTTTTTTAATAAATGCCAAAAATGGGACAGTAAAATAGAGCGACTGAATAAGAAGAGACCTGACCATCAGTGAGGAAGTGTTTCAAAGAGTTGTAGAGGACAAAGTAGATGCCAGAGTATGGAACGTCCCGACACATGGTGGCAACCAGCCCTCGATAGCTCCCTGCATAATAAACGTTTTTTGTTTTGTTCCCTGTCAAATGTCTTTCAGAATTAAACCGTGGCAATAATTTCTTCAATAAACTTTCTTTTATAAAGTTGAAATCATAAATTAGTTTAAACATTGAAAAACTACTTCTGAAAAATGTTATCTGCAACATATCATAAATAATTTTATAGTAAAATATTGAATAAATTATGCCGCAAGAATAATAAATTTGGAACCTTTGATGCCCTCACCCCTGTAGACTCTTAATAAGGCGTCTACTGTTGAATGGTAGGAAAAAATTCCACTCTATGTTTCAAATGGAAAATTAATTTTCAATTGAGAATAATTGGCTGCAACTTTTCAATTTTTAAAATTATCATTTTTTATATATTAAAATTTAATACAAAGTTTTAAAAAACAAACAAATAAATGCTTAAGTAACATATCTGCAATAAATGGATATAGACACACCCACACCCACATACATACACAAACACACCTACCTCATACCTCGTCTTCAACAGAGCAAAGGGCATGACAGCAGTTCCAGCGATGGTTCGAGATAACATTGCGAGGAACAACGACTCGCTGACTGACGGTTTACTGTCACTTGAATGATATATAATTTCCATCTTTAAATATTTTTTCAACTCATTATAAAAAACATAAATTATAAGAATTCATAATTATCAATGAAACTTGAAATATATATTTTGAAATGAGAGATTGTATAAAAATTATGAATAACAAAAAAAATAGAGTTGAAATTTGTTCACACATTTTCTCTGATACAAAATGGCATCAGAAACATTTAAAGAGGTGCTTTCTAACCAAAACTCCTTAGTCATCCAGTGCAGTGATGTAAAGTAAACACCAACACCTGGTACAGTTCTTAGCAGAGACTTCAAGTAAAAATAAATTTTTGTATGTCAATTTTATTTTAAAAAATTGACCAAATTGAAATTAATGCTACATGTTCAAAATAGTCAAAAAACTTACTGGACACAATCCTTTCCATAGTCCTGTGTAACCCTGTGTTAGCAAAATTTCTTTAACTATTACCAGAGAATGGCTAGCAAAAAGTGGAATAGTGTTTAATTTCATTTATTATTAAATATTATTTTTTTTAATATTAAATATTTAATATTAAATATAATTATTAAATATTTATTCTTTATTAAAACATCATTCACATGCATTTGATTTATTTCATCTGCTAAAAAAATAAATAAAAATCTATTAAATTCACACATCAGAAATTGAACTATGGGCTGGGAGTAGCTATTATTTTCCTACTAAACTTTAAAATAATAACTGGACATCATTTAGTTTTATTTATAATTTTATAAATTTATTTTATATTCACTGAATGACTAAGAATACTCAAGCTAAATAAATGCACTTGGAAAAAGTTAGCAAACGTTCATCAGTAAAAGTTCAATTTTAACTTTTTAAGCAATTTTCAAAAAATAAAAATTATTGTAAATTATAAAAATTTTTATAAAATAATGAATAGTTTTAAAATTTAAGTTTATACTTTACAATGATATCTAGTAATAATTGTGAGTTGGTTATGATTAAGAGTAAGGGAACATTTGCTAACTTTTGACAAGTATAAATTTCAATAAGAATATGATTAAAAAAGGAAAAAGGTTTTTCAGGAAATCACCAGGTTAGATATTCTACCTTGCAAATTATATGAAAACTAAATATATTTTACATTTACACATGAAACACATTAATTGAAATAATTGCAAAATTAATTAAAAGAAACAAGATGGAAATTAATAATTATTAATATATATAATAAATAATTTATTAAATAAATTTTTTAATTTAACTTTTTGAACTGGAGATTATTTCTGTGAAAACCAATTGGCAATCCAGCTTTATTATTTGTATTTAACTTGTCAAACAGCTGAAGCCTTGTTTTCACGACGTCCAGAGGCTGCAGCAACATCGTCGACAGAGCTCCAGACGATGCCCCGATAAAAAATGGCTCAATTATGGACATTTTTCAACAAATAGGCATAGACACATTTCGAAAATGTTTACAAATCAAAAGTGAACTGATAAACAACAAAGCAAGTATGGAAAACTGAGGTGTATGACATTGTACTCTTTCTAAATTTGATTCTTCAAAATATTTTTCTAATATACTTATAATACCACATTTTTCCCATATGTTAACATTCTTAATATACTTTTAGTAAATATTAGTAAATGTTAGTAAATCATATATATATATATATATATAAACAAATCATCTGCATTCAATTAACATAATTTTTTTATTAAGTTCCATTGTACTTATATAGATTCAGACAGTTGCAAAAGAAATAAATTAGGATGAATAATTGAAAATCGAGCAGTTGGTTATTATCACACAAACCCACACAAATTGTTTGAAAATAACAAAATTGGTCTTATGTCTTAAATGTTGAACAGTGGTCACTGGTCATTTCAAAATACCATAAACCGCGCTATGATGTATAAACGACGCTAAACGATATAGGTACATAGGTACATCCTATATAGTAGCTCGTTAAACGTAAAGAATAGAACAGAAATTTAAAAATAATTTATAAATAGATAAAAATCCATCAACGCTTTATCATTCATCATTAAATCGGTGTGTTTTACTTCATACATGCTCTCTCTTATTTATTTATGTACATTAGTGTAAATATATATGTATATATATATATATATATATATATATATTTTACTTCATACATGCTCTCTCTTATTTATTTATGTACATTAGTGTAAATATATATGTATATATATATATATATATATATATATATATATAATGCACAACATACATAGACTACGTTATTACACGAATATAATAATAAATATAAAGAAAACTAAATAATCATGAGCTTCTTGCAAGCTCATACACATACAAGCTAAGGTAGAGAATGGGTTACTTCGATTCAATGACTTTGTCATATAAGATGTATCAAAATATGAACCGGATATACTTGGGGATATATAGTCTAACATATTCAATTTTAATATAATTATATATATATATATATACATATCTATAAATATATATATATATATGATAGTTGATGGTATATATATATGATAGTATATATATATACCATCAACTATGATAGTTTGCCAGTTTGTTTCACATAAATTTGTAAACTATATACGGCAAAGCATGTAAATAAAAAATTCGTAAAACTGGAATTTATAATGATCGAATTTTTCGAAAATTTAATGTGATTCATTTGATTATTTAATTGTGATTATTTGAAACTCGTCTGTAATGGAAATTGACGCAGCTTGTCAAGATAACGGTATTTATTCACTTTCAGAAGCCAGAAACGAAGAAATAAAGAGAAATTTTTTGGAGATTTATAAGAAGTTCATTGACGAAGTAGAACCAAACTGCATACTTGATTGGTTGATCCAGGAAAGAGTTCTGAATATTGAAGAAAAAGAACGCATATCCAGCCAACCAACAAGACACGAGAAATGTCGAGTTTTGTTAGATAAACTTTTCATGACATCAAATAAAATGGCTTTCATCTTGGTGTACAAAGTTTTATATCAAGATTACAATTGGCTCGCTAAAGATATAGACGATTCGATCAATAAGGAGAGAAAATGTAACAATATAAAATTTATTTCCACTATCTACTGTTGTTTATTTTAGTTTTCATCTTTATAATTAAATCAAAATTTAATTGTAGGTGTTCTACCAGCCCCAAATGAATTACAACACAAGTTAAATGCAGCAAATGCTACTATAGCAGATTTACAAACTGTATTAAAATTAAAAGATAAAAACATACTAGATCTTGAAAACAGGCTTTCTAAAATGAAAGAAAAACTCGAGCAGCTTGAACAAAGGCAGAACAAAGTGAAAGACATGTCACAATTTGCTCAAGAGTTGAATGCAAAAACAGAAGAAATACAAAAGCTAGAAAGCCATATAAATATTTTGCAGGACCAAATAAAAAATGCTGCATCAATGAACAAAAGCAGTGATGCCTTGGATGCAAGTGAAGCTCAACTATTATTTTATTAAATTAATCTGTTATACTATTTACTTGTTTTTTGTTTAGAAATTGATAAAGTAAATTATTAGCCAAACCAGTTGGTTGTTTTGTTCTAAATTATAATGTGAATGTTGCATTACCTTAATTATCACTTAATAAACTTTTAATGCATGTTTTCTTTTAATTAATAGGAGTTTCTGAAATTTCTATTGAAATTAAAAAGTTGGCTGTAAATGGATCCTCAGACATTATATGCATAGGTAAAATTTTGTCATATTCTTGTGATCATGTTTTATAAGATTGTAAGTTAACTAAAAAAATTAACAACACAGATGAGCACTTTTCAGATGCTCCAATAACTGATGACACAAAGAAGCAGAAGTCTCTTACGAGAAAAATAAAACTTGTGAATTACAGTGGCTCATCTTTTGATTTGTGGCAAGGAACATTCGGTTAGAAAAAATATCTTAATAAATGAACAATACTTAATGACTAATGTTACCGTTCAAATAAACAGGATCATGCAACAAATTGGTGATGATAAAAGACCTGCTAGACAATACATCTGAAACTCATATTAGTAATTTTATCAAGGAAACCGAAATTTTGAAACAGTTAAATCATCCAAGATTGTGTAATCTTTTAAATAGTTCCACAGTTGGAAGTAATTATTATATGGTTTTTGAAGGTACAAATTTGCCAAACGCTTTGACTGTCTTTAAATGTAGAACGTTCCCAGTAGATGGAGATGACATCCTCCGATGGGTTGTGCAAGTATGTTTTGATTCTTATTAAATAAATTTTCAGACTTAAAGTAACATTCAAATTTTAATATAATTCAAAAGTTAGCTTGTGGATTAGATTATCTTCACTCACACCTAATACTTCACCGAAATGTTTATATTCAAAACATCATCCTTCACAATGGTTTAAGATCTATCAAGCTATTCAATTTTTCATATGCCAAACAATTGAAAACATTTCAAGACACGATTGTGGAAGGTTACATCTTAAGTAGCTTCTTAAGTAGCTTTCAGTTACAATTGAATTTGTTCTAACAAGTTATTTTTCAAACAGAAAATCAAAATGTAAATGCTAAGTCCACTGCCCCGGAAGTCATTTTGAGGAATGAATGGTCTTTAAAAAGCGATGTGTGGTTATTTGGAATGACTGCGCTAAAAATATACTTACGTGGATGCAAGTTATTTCCAGGTTTTTCCGATCGATATTTTTTTTTGTTAACCACGTTATAGTTAGATAACACAGTTATAACCACACACACACACACACACACACACACACACACACACACACACACACACACACACACACACACACACACACACACACACACACACACACACACACACACACACACACACACACACACATATATATATATATATATATATATATATATACTTATATATTTAATTTGTTAACAATTTTGTAAGGAATGACTCAACGGGACATTAAAAATTATATGTCTCGATGGACAGCTGAAGAGTTCGATAAACAATTTTGTAACGCGAAAAATTTTAGAAACACAAATCGTACTCATCTAAAACGTTGTCTGGAGCACGAGTGTTTGGAAAGACCGGACATGTTACAACTTTGCTATTATTCTTGTTATGTAGAAAATTTAGTTCCAAGTATGATGTATTTCAATGTTGGATATGCATATTTTAATGACAAAAATCATTTTCTTTATAGAATTTTCGGCAACACACTGTTTTGAACAAACAATTGTTCACAAATGCACAATCAAAGGAATAACTACATTGAAGAACATACTCTATGTTATAGTGGTTTCTTCAAGTTCAATAAAATGTTTCAAAAAGTCTAATAAGTTTCAACGAATTCAATCAATAAAACTTGGTCAAAAAAAATCGAAATCATTAACAAACTTCATAAAATTGCATAGGACTAGTTCATCATCTTCGTTTGATTCTAGCCGGTCAAGTATTAAACAAATTACTTATAGCAGCAACGTACTAACAAGTATAGCATCATCTGAATATGGCCAATGCATATATGTGCTGGATGGATTCAAAAAAATAATTTTCCAAATAAGTGCCGATAAACGTCGAATCATTAATTGTTTTGAAGCATGTCCTGGTGCACACAGTCTTTCAGTTACAGCGGATAACAATCTTCTTCTTAACTGTCGTCTAGATGAAAACTTTATTTTAGAATGTAATAACAGTGGTCAGAAAACGAGGATCATCAACACAGAATTTCCAGATAGTGAACCACGCAAAGCTATTAAACTTAATGATGTCCAATATTTATTTTTTCACAAATTAAAAAATGTTAGAGACGATGTTTTAACTGTTAATGTAGTTGACAACGACGGTATTCCATCTTCTGGTTATGGAAAACTATGTTTGAAAAATATATCTGATGTTGCAATTCATCGGCCATCCAGAACAATATTTTTAACCGATTACAATGCTAATAAAGTGATGTTTATAGACCAATACATGAACTCCGAACCTCGGGAAATTTTAAATACTGAAAATGGAATATTTAACCCCGTAAAAATTTACGTAAGCGATGAAGGTCAAATTTTTGTTGGTCTGATTTCAGGGACAATAAGGTTTTTTCAATTTCACTGGAAATAAATTAAACTGATCTACCTTTGTAGGTTATTATATTTATCTAAATGTATCTCAAATGAAATAACTTAAAGTTACCAGAGTTTGAGTTTGACATTTATAAATTTATCATTTTCGAATAATGCTGTAAATAAAATATCATTGTTCTAAATGAATTAATGTATATATGCTCTATTTTCTATATACACTCTAATTTCTGTATCGTAAAACTGAGCTTACATGTGCTTTTGAAGTATTGTATTTAAAAAATGAAAAAAGAAGAAGACTGTAGTGGAATTTTATTCATTCTACTTGTCTTGCCTCTTTAAGCCAAACACGAAATTGCGTAGTTGCCAACCGTCCCAAATTAGCCTGGAGAGTCCCGAATTTTGCCCCCATGTCCTCTTTGGTGTCTGCGGGACGCATTTTTGCGAAACCAAAACAAATAGTTTAAATAATGAAATAGCAATTTAATAACAAATTTAAAAAAGCCATGGACGCCAATTTTATTTATGTTTCTAACACAAATACATCAATGAAACAATTTTTTAACTTCAATGCGATGTCAGTGATAGTTATGTTCTTATACTGACAACACACATCAAAGAAAAATTTCTTAGTTTGATTTGGATTTCGTTAATGATGTTGATTCTAATAAAACAACAAGAAAAACAACGTCGAATAATTATTTAATTTAATTGTGATATTGATGATGATTATGGTTGTACAAAAAACATCAAGCACTGAGAGACACATGGACTTATATATATGTATGTTGGAAGGAGAGCATAATTAATATATTATTGTTAAGAATTCTATGAATTGTTGGTATAATGCCAACTATTTGTAGAATTCATAAAATATTGTAGTATATATATATATATATATATATATATATATATATATATATATATAAACACATTTGTCCCGCTTTTAAACATCCAAATGTTGGCACGTGTGAAATTGTGAATAACGGTTTGCGCACGACACCTCGTACAAATTCAAAAATGTTTCCCACCAAGCTGACAAATCATGTGTATAAATAGCTTACGTATAATTATAATAGGGACATTAGCTAATTTCATCTATGCCATGTCCGCCAAGCCATTTAATTACGCCCGCGAGATCATGTATAACCAAGAAAGGTCGTCAGCCACAAATCAACATCTTAAAAAATTCCCTTTCGGTCGACGGTCGAAAAATGTTATTTTTATATAAATATGCGGTCCTCCAAATAGTTTTCAATGCGGCCCTCACACCAAAAAGTTAGTCCACCCTGTTTTAAGCTAACAATTTCATTCATCAATCGTCGATACTACTATACAAGCAAATGGACCCTTAAAATACATAAGTTATCGCCACCGTGTTATTTATTTATTTATTGGCACAAGTATTTAGAAATTTTCTTCTAACTGGTTATTGTCTCCAGAATCATGTTAATAAATAAAATATCTATAACTTTCGCATTTTTAAACAACTGATAAATACACAAAACATTATTCAACGAGATAACGTAACACGGAATAGTGAAGTTTCAATCAAATACATGAAATAGGAGCTATTTTTGGATTAATTCCAGCAAAACAAACCCCGGTTTTTTTGATATCCTTTCAGCACAGTAGAATATCAGAAAACCTCTACGTTTTCTTTAGTGCTTTAACCGTTTGATGTGAGATGGAAAAACTTCTTGCAGTTACAATTGAAGAGAAATCTAACTTAACCGAGCAAAATAAAATGCAGCGGGTGCACCCAAAAAGAAGTTTGAGGATATCACTCAAATAAATGAAACTCAGAATGATTCATACGATTTTTTTCAACATGTCACGATTTTTAATTTTATCACTAAACCTAATTTCTTGAACAAAGTTTTGTTAAAAAATGATCGCAAGTTGTTTCACTGAAAAAAACGCGATTTCAATTTAATGAGAAAACGTTTTCATAATGATAAATTCTTAAGTTAATTAGTTTCTATTTAGGCGCGGTAGCAATATACTTAACGATTTCATTTGAAATTTAGTGAGCTACAACTTTTAAATCATGTTTCATAATTAATAATACAGTATATTTCAAATTATCGTGTCGTTGGAGAAACCATGTAGATATATAATGACCATGGGAGAAACTAGCGAACAGTGCGTGGACCTAAACACTACTTAGAATCTTGTTTTGTTTCTCTCTCTCTCTCTAACACACACACACACACGACACACATTTACATGTTACTTCGAATGAATACATTTAAAATACCGAGAGACAGCCTGATAGTTAATGCTTCAGGTAAAAACTTGTTGCACCTGAATTGGTTATTTAAAAACAACTCCGTGTATGTGTGTAAGTTCATTTTAGAAACCTAGCAATCGGGCAGCAAACTGTTTCAGTTCTTTCAATTTTTAAATTTGCATGAGTTCAAGCAAACAAATTCAAAATTCAGATACAAGATTCCCTTCATTAATTTAGTACTGATTGATTCTACTGTTAATTAATTGTGAATTAAGAATCACAGTTGGCTCGCAAAATCGCTACATGGGCAACTGCTGTGAACCACCAAACAAGATAGATCATTTCTTGTACGTTAAAACAGGGGACATCAAAGGCAATTTGTCTAATGTGAAACTACGTGCAAAGCTGCAAGATATAAATGGCAAAATAAGCAATGAGTTGAAACTGGATCTTCATTTTGGAATAGATTTTGAAAGAGGGCGAATGAACGTGTTTGAAGCTGTATCTTTGAACGGTTTTTCAGATATGGTAAGAGTTGAACTATGGAGAGAAGACAGTGAAGAAAATCAAGGAGATGATTTGACGGATGGAGTAGACTGGTTTTGCGAATCTCTACTTGTTAATAACAGACAGACCGAAAAATGCTTTTATTTTCCTGTGTTAAGGTGAGCAAAATAAAATAGCATACCGTCACAATTGTCAAATACATGACTTGATATAGGTAATTTTCGTTGATATAATTTTAGCTTACTATATCAGATATCTAATCCAATGGGACTATCTTCCTTTTTCTTTACTATTCATCCACTTAGGACAGCTTGTCTTTAAAATCTAGATAAATCTAATTCCCAAATAATGTTGAAAAATGATTTGTCTAATAATTGTTTTAAGCTTGTTCTCAGTCAGCTTAAAATTTTTGCTTATCAGCCAAATCTCATGTCATTTGTTTGCTGAATACCTTTGAAATAATTTACCAAAATTTAGATAAACATCCATAAGCTTCATTCAATTAAAAACTACTGACCTTGCAATATATATTTTTTCATTCTACATCTTGTTTGCGTTACGGTTTCTATTTTAAAATTAATACTTGTTGCCTTTTTTATCCAGTTAATTAAGTTAAAAATTAAATTATAATACTCGAATTAAGTATTTTATAAATTTTTTTTGCATTTTCAAGGTGGGTTTTGCTAAACCAGCACTACAAAATAGAGATAAATGACTCATTGTTGCCTCAAACTGATCCAAACGCAGAACAGAGAAAGGAAGAATTAAATCATCTTCAAGAGCTTTACCAATATGGCCAATCTGCTCCTGATTTACCAGTTCAAGTATTATTGATTGTTTTTTAAATTTTATTTGTATTTGATTAAATTTGATTCCATTTAAATTATATCAGGTCAGTACACTACCTCCATATGAGCAATTTTCAGATGAATACAAGGTCACTACTTTTCTTATTTTAATATTTCAATTATTTAGAATTATAAGTTTATTTTTTAAAATCACAACAGTGGGACATAATAAATTCACAATTCCAAGTGCTTGCCAAAGCAGGCCTTTCAAAACTGCCGGCCACACCCTGGGACTCTTTAGAGGAATTGCTTGGAGTATATGTTCCTGAACTACCAGAGCCTGTGGTAAAAACTATTTGGAACTTTTTACATTTCACTTGTTTGCATAAAATGTGATGATCCCAAAATGACATAAAAAATTAAAAACTTTTTTACCATAATGTGTCAGTATGAAAAACATTTAAAATTTGGAAGGGAGTAGATAGATGGAGCAATGACCTGTGTTTTGGAGCCCAGCGATTAATAGGATGTAATCCAACGATGATAAAACTGTGCACTGATTTGCCAGAAAAGTAACAAATGTTCTCAATATAAATATATCAAATTCAAAAAATTATATTAACCTGATTACAATTTCAAGCATATAGTTAATTTAAAATGTACAACCCCAAATAGCATGAGTGTCACAGCAGAAATGTTAAGACCGTTTTTAGAAGGATGGACTATGAAACAAATTATTGAAGCAAAAAGATTGTATGTGGTTGATTTGAAAATATTAAAAAATATCAAAACTGTGCCAGGACACAAGGTTTTAAAAATAATATATTCTATTTCAATAAACTACAAAGCTTTTTTGGTCTATGTTAACAGGTATGTGCTCCTATAGGCTTATTTTTTGTAACTGGAGATAAACAGTTTGTACCAATCGCTATACAATTATTTCAAAACATAGCGCCAAACAATCCAGTAAGTTTTCTTATCAATTATTATCAATTTATTAATGAAAAATGTGTAATGGAAATGAATTATTTGAAAACTAACAATTTAGGTCTTTTTGCCTAATGACCCACCCTTCACATGGTTATTAGCTAAAATGTGGTTCAACAATGCCGATTCTGCTGTCCATCAAGCCCTGACGCATTTCTGTAAATGATAATTATTATTTTGTTGATATAAGTTTTATTAGAGTATGTTAAAATGAATTTGACAAATGTCGATAGTGCCTACATATAATTTTCAGGTTTTACTCATTTGATAATGGAGTCTGTGTGTGTGGCTATGCATAGAACAATATCTCCAAGCCACCCAATCTATAAACTTTTAGCTCCACATTTTCTTTTCCTGCCTTCCATCAATGCGTAAGTTGTTATGTATGATGGTTATTGATTATAATAAATCTACAATTGAGTACGTTAAAAAGCAGGGCCGGATTAACAAGATGAGGGGCCCGGGGCCTATTTTGGTGGGGCCCCTTTCAGGGTATGAAATATTAAATGTTGAAACATAAAACAAGACAAGCAAGTTTTTAAGGATAATTAAACATTAAACACAAGTTTATTTAAAAAATCGTTTATATTACACTATCAGTAAGCCAAAATGATGATTAAAAATATGTTTATATTTCCAGTATTCCAGCTATTTTATAATAAATAAATTTTGTCGTCGCGACACATTTGAGAGTTAATGCTGATGATAAATCAGTATTTTCCATAGAATCAATCAGTAGTTGATGCCGATGTGTCGAAATTGTAAAAAAAATACCATTTCTAAGTTATCAAAAAATGTACAGTACTTGAGCAGCTTTGTGTTGCATTTTTAGCAACCAAATTTAATAAGTGTGCTGTACAAGGAATCCAGAAAGCTAGATTTTTTCTTTAACTTCGGTTTGCAGGCCGTTATTCATTGTCATGCGTCGACATAGTTTTGACCGCGGCAGTTTCCCAGATCGCGATTGGCTTGAGTTTTGATATGTTATGCATGAAAATCATCGTACTGGGCAATGAGTTCAAGATTGCCTTAAAAGTTTCCGTTTCTAGGTGATCCAGTTAATTCGTTATCTCCTCTCTAAAACGCCAAACCATGCTCTGCAATAAATTAAATAACATTTACCACTCGTTTCAATAGTGACTGCCGGTAGTAGTCCTGAGACTCAATTTGTTGCGATAACTTTGTATCAATTCGACCAATTGCTTTCAATCTCATATTGAAAACAATGTTGGAGTTCATGTGTTCAGCTGACTTCATGAATTTTTATTCATTTTTGAGAACGTTTCCAATTACAAAATCATAACTCGAAAACATTGAGAAATTTGCTGTGATGAAACACATCAATTTGCAAGTGAAACAGTAAAGTATTGAATAGCAAGCTAAAAAACAATCAAAATTTCGGATATTTAAAAAACTAAAACTTTCGAAACTCAAATATGGCGACAAAAGAATTCAGACTAAATTTACCATGGTCTATCTATTAATAGCAAAGATCATTTAAATACTTTATCAATTTATATTGTAAGTTAAGAATTATAAAGTACGTTATTGGCATATGAAATTGAAATAAAATAAACTTTAAAAATAAATGGTTTGGAACGTTCATTTTTACCTTGGTGGGGGCCCCCAAACATATAAAATCCCCCTGGTAATAAAGGCTCTTTAATTCGGTCCTGTTGAAAAGTATTTTTGTTAACTGATCAATGAAGGAGAGGATTAGATCAACTGATCAGTGAGAATGGTTGGATAGACAGAACGACATCATTAGGAAGAGAAGGCATGTTTGAACTGATGAAAAGAGGGTTATTAATATTCAAATGATTTTTCGACATACCTTTGTTGGTTGATTAAAAATTTATTAAATTCTATCCATAACGTATTTAAAAAGGATGGATGATTGGAGGATGGATGTACATGGCACGTTCCCAAAAGAATTGGAAAGCAGAGGAGTAAGGATTTTTTAATACGCAACAATTTTTTTTTAAATTTTATCATACTTTATTCTAGATTTTGTTTAATCTTTTGTTTTCATTTAATTTTCCAGCTACTCGATTTGAAAGTACTGAATGATTATGGATACAGAGATGATGGAATGCTGGTTTATAAGGCCCTGGAAAGATATGTCAACAAAATTGTTTTCAAATGTTATGGTAAGAGAAATTTTTTATGTAACTTTGAAAACGGTTCATTTTTAGCAGTACCTGCATTAGTTTATAATTTCTTTTGACCACATCCAGAAAGCCTTGAAAAATTAAACAATGACATTGAAATCCAAAATTTTGCCAGAGAATTATCAATATCAAAAGATGATGGAGGGGCTGGTATAAAAGTAATTATTAACTTTTTGAAAAGTTTTCATTGCTTTGTTTCTTTCTTTTGTGAACAAACGTTGATTTATACAAATATAATTTTCTTTTTTTCGACTTTTCAATATTTTCTGTCAAGCTGTAATAAAATTACCGAAAGTTTCATAATTTTTCAGGGAATTCCTGGGAAAGACATCAAAAAGAAAAACGGCACGGAAATTTGTAAAACATTTACAAGGGCAGAGGATGTGTCCATGCTGTGCATCAACGTTATTTTCACTTGCACAGTTCAACACGCTGCTTCTAATTTCCCCCAATACAACGAATACGCATTTCCGCCTAATTATCCATCTATTCTTAATGGTGTTCCGCCAACAGATAAAGTAGATAAATTTTGCCATTTTTTCTAAATACTGAATTATATTTTTATCATTTTCAATTTTTAGTTATTAATTTTATAATTTTAAATAATTTTTCAAGTCTCCGCGTACCGAAGAAGACATACTTGCAGTGATCCCAGATAAAGCCACTACTCTAGAGATTATGTCCATTACAAAATTATTTAGTACGCGTCCACCGAAAAGTTTAACACAATGGGACTTTCAAAACCAGTTTGATTACACAGCAATAACGGCAGAAGCTGAGTATGTTTTAAGTTTTGAATAATGATTTCAGTTAACGAATTTTTTTCAATAAAATTGTTGAACTTCTCAAACGCAAACCACTCACCATCGTACAGACTACGCAAAGAACTTGAATCGATCAGCCAAACGATTAAGCAAAGAAATGAAACAAGGGACGATATTGTTAAATATTTTTACCTTGATCCAAAAAATATTCCTAACTTCATATCCGTCTAGAAATTATTTTATGTGATTTTATAGTTTTAACAAATATTTTATTTATAAGGATTTTTTTACTCGAAAACGTTGTAGCGAATGTTACAACGTTTACGGTTTTAACTACGATTTCTTGCGATTTTAACTTTCCAAGTAACAGTATTTGAACTTTAGATCGTGCTTGTGCTGAAATTGTTACATATGAAACGCAATTATTTTTTTAAGACATTCGTTCTTATTTAATCACATCATTCCATTTGTCGCATTAATGCCGTTAGAATTAGTCTTCCATTTCATTTTCATAACAAATAACGCCATTATTGAAAGATATAATAAACTGTGTTAATCAGGAGACATTTTGCAGAATTATAAAAAATTTAATACGATTTGAAGCATCGTTTATGAAATAACGTTTGGTTTACAGGAAGTAAGATGAAAAGCAAAGTGCGTGCTTTAGAGCAGAACGTGATTGAAAAAGGAACATATGAATGAAACATCGAAATATATACACACAATACGCATATATATGTTGAACGTTAGTGGTATCAAACAAATGAATTGAAATATAAAATCTAAGTGTGGTGCAGTTCATCGTGTTCGTTCAACATGTAGTCTCTTATATACCGTAATCAATCCTATGATTTTTATCCTATAGAACGCATTTTTTTATAAGTAAAACTTTGAATGACGAAGAACCCGTACTACATTAGAGAATTATCAAAGTAACATACATTGGAAGTTATTGAAATTGGAAATAAAAATTATGCAAAAACATAAATGCTTATTAACAAGTTGAGGAAAAAATCTGGTAGCGAAGATGTTAAGTATGTTGAAATGGAAAGGCGTTCGATTGAGTAAACGTTAAACGTTCGTCTCGCTCATTCGCGTTAGATGTTTATGTTGAACATATAAAAAAGTCTGTGAGATACAAATTTTGTAACAACGTGGCAATTTTTTCCCCTAAAATTAAGAAATAAACGCTAGACCATAAAATAAGGAGCTGTATATTCATAATTGGAGGTGCACAGTAGTTGAAAATAATAAACACAATAACTAAATGCTAACGAATTTACAAAAAATGTTTAACATGACGTTGACGGATTGCAATTTTCGGCACGAACGTTGTCAGCTGATTAGTTGGAGTGGTTATTTGGTAGAATTGTTTTTGAATGAATACATTGTGAAACTGGATTAAATTGATGAGGTGAGGATAGTGAAGATGCTGAAACTGAAGAGAAACGAACTAAGAGATTTACGATGTAGTGCCGTGCCACAATTTTATAAAGTCGAATTGATACGGTTATTTTTTTAACCCTTTACAAGTGATATAGTACGCAGTATTTGCAATGATTTTGAAATTTAAACAACACGTTGGGATTTAATCACTCCTCAAATATGACGATCAACACCTGTTTTGCAGAAAACAAATGGTCATCAGCGATGTTTTCTTTTGTAAATTCAGCTGAAAATTCAACAGTTAATTATTCCGGCAGGTTTGATGAGGTTAGTTTTATTTTTGTTACTTTTTCACTTGATGTAAAATTATTTTTCACTTGTTTACTTGTTTTTTTAAAGACCATTTGTAACGTTTATTTTAAATTTGATCACTTAAACACACGTTTTTTAAATTGATTCTAAATTGTGTGAGTGGCCACACAGCATTGTTATTTGCACTTCAGGAATGTCTTTATTAAATGTTAAAAATGATGCTCGCATTCGTTACAAATGATTTCACTATATAAAAAACATAGCATGCAATAGTTTTAAAAGGGGATTTTACATTCTAAACAGTTTTTTCAAATGAAATAGCTAAAGTAACCATTGTAAAAGCTATAAGAAAAAGGAAATATCGTCAAATAGAGATAGCATTAAAGTATCAACTCTCTAACTAACCAAGATGAATGCATTAGTGTTACTGACTGAGAATGAATATTTTTAGACTCTCACAATGAAATGCAGCTAAGGACATCTGTACGCCGCATGGCATGATTAAGTGCAAGCGATCGTCCAAAAAACTGATTTCCTCATCCATCAATCAGCAACCATCGGTGTGAGCTTGCTTGGAATGAATGGGACAGGGAATGCCACAAAGCACGTTTGTCAGTATTCGATATTGATAACTGTTCTTTTAGTAATATTTTATGAAGAAATTTTAGTTATAAATGTTAATGAATAAAATTTGAGTATTTTAATAATTCTCATTACTGATAATAAAAATAGTGTAATAGAGTGTTTACAAATCTTCCTCGTTTTGGTGCCAGTTATAAGTAAGTACCCTTGTAACTGCTGTTATTGATATTGATATATAAGAGCACCTCGTAGTATGTACGTACGCCGTTCTTGATATCCAGCGAATATTCGTTAAAATTTAAATTAATGACCACGCATGCAACAAACCTCTTCCATGTTGGAGGAATTATTTCCATCGCAGCTGCGTCGAGGTTATGCAATCAATAAGTTCCCTATCACTTCAAACCACATGCAGTGAATCAATTTGCATGGAAAACTTCAACGCAACTGAATGAATGTACGTCAAATTTATGGGTCCATGTGTATGTGTATGCTCTGTGAGCAAAGAACATGAGATATGCCGAAAGACATTTAGAGCAGGTGAATGTTGCTCTGATTGCATGATTTGATCGATCTCAATGAAGCCGACTGACTAATCTTTCTTCACACTTGATTCTATAGCAAATGAAAATGAATTGCGCATTTCTGTTCGAATTTATGAAATTTAAAATACATCAAAACTAAATGAGGAATTGATAGCTACGGGTCATTCTACTGTCCACCCTATAATTTGAGGGAAGCAATTTGATTATAATCTAGCTTTAATGCTTTTGCCAATGCTTTTTAAAATTATGGTACCTACAAGTTTGTTTATCTATTTTTTTTAACCAAACTGACCAGAGGATCTCAACAGAATAGCCAGAAAAACAAAAATATAAAATTTAAGAATAGAAAAATTAAGTGTTACTACACTGTAGTTTAAAAAACATATCCTTACATCAGATTCAAATAGCAAAAGACAACGGTTGTTGCCTTGTTAATAGGTAGATTAATAGTAAATAATGTAGTAGTTAGTAAATAATGAAAATAAACAAGATTAATAGTAAAAAGTTATTACTAAAATTATAAATCAATTTAAAAGTTGAAGCAATAACAAAGCAAACAGGTACAAGTATAATCGTCAATGTCACTTTACATAATGTAAAAAGAGAATGCGAAATTGTTGCTATTAAGGAAATAAACTTTTAATGAAAAAGCACACAACTTGTGAGTTGTATAAATGCTAATAAATTTGTTTGATGTAAGGCCATCCAATTAGTAATTTTCAGTGAAAAACTGACTCAATAGAAATGTGTTAAAAATATTCGAGTAAGAATGTATGAAGACCGTCAGGATATTGTAAGCTACGTTATGTTATCCTGTTTGGTAGGTAGCATGTGATGTTTAGTGATCTATCGGTTAACCTCCGCGGTCGGGAAATGATAAAAGTACTTGCCAATCACTGCGTTTGAGTTATCATCCATAAATTTTCTTCTTTTAAGAATTTAACATGAACATTATAACTTTTGCAGATGTTACTGAGACTTAAGTGGAATAATATAAAACAATTACATGAAACTTTATTAAAATGTATAATTCAATATAAAAAGTTAGCCTCGACTTAACAACAGTATCGATTTATATTTAGATTAATTCATTACCATCAAAAACAACAACCACAAAAACAACCACAAAAACAACCACCACAACAACCACCACAACAAACAACAACCAAACAACAACAACTATAGCGTACAATGCCTTCCAACACAAACCACTTGAAACAAACAACGTATGTTTATTCAAGTTGCATTTCGTTTCTCCTCAATCTAAGGCATTGCTGCTTTATTCGATGAAGAAAATCAATTGGTCTCTTTTCAGGTTTCAACTTAATGGTTGTTTCCTCTCTCGTTAACCAATTCAAATCTAAAAACTGTTTAGTTTTTCCAACTTTAAAGTTGGTGAGTTTGACGTTCACTCCATAGCGAACAAGAAAATGTTGCTATTTTGTATTTGGCTATATATTGGCTATATAGTCATTGTAGATGGCTAGGGTTAAAATAAAAATCTGTTTGCAAACTGTTCTTTAAACATTCTTTGCTGTTTATTACGTACAAATTTATCATTCGCAACCGAACACAACAAATGTTATCACACGTAATTTTGGGAGCAATTTTTGCTAAAGTAGAAAAGAACATTTTCATATCTGTGGTCATTATAACACGGATTCTATTTTCAGGTTCATTTCGTGAATGATACATATCTATTCTTATAAATTTTGTCTTCCCTCGTTTATTGTTTAGTAATTATTATTCGTTGGTGTTATTATTGTTGTGACCAGCTGCCGTCTAGAGCTCTACCGCCAACTGAAGACGTCAGCAATATGTAATGTAATGGCTGTTGAGTGTATTTGATATAAAATTTTATGAGATTTTGCACGATCGCACGATTACCAGATAAGAATAGCATGTATTGTGTAAACCTCTTAAAGGAAACATTAATAAGATCTCAATAGTTCACAGGACACTTGAGCAACTTAACATGGAAATTTTCTGGAGACCTTCAACAATCGTTTTGGTGTGTACGTACAACATTCATGAAATCTTTACAACAATGGAACTGCAGGTTGCAGTTGTTTTGTTATTGTCTTCTGTTTTATAACGAGTTTCTAGAGAAAATCAAAACTAATATAAAACAACAATTTATCACCGGCATGTATGATGCGTGATGTTTTATTACGCCGATAGAACGTCCCTTTACGATATTCTTTAAGATGATTTGAACTGTTGAAGTTGACTACTTGAGTTATATTTTAATTCGCAGAGGTTTTTTTAATAAAAAAGATTGTTCACTGAAACTAACCTAGGCATATACGCAAACGTACATTCACATAAAATAACATAATACAATCACACACGTCTACTTGCTACGTTAGCCTGACGCAAAAACAAACATAAATAACGCTGCATGGTCACACATAAAAACATCACAAACACACACAAACACACACAAACACACACACACACCACACCACAACACACACACACACACACACACACACACATACTGCAATCGGTCCGATGCCTGATTTGACTTGTGTTGCCATTGAAGAAACTATTGAAGAATTTCATTTATTGCGTGCCGATTCTTCAAAAAATATATCCTCTCTCACTCTCCATCTAACATTTTACATTTTTATATACATTTTATTTATTTAGATTATGCTGAATCTTGTGACACAAATTAAATTAAAGAGTTATAAAAATACATAATCAGTGGTTTCAATCAGAAATTTAGTTGTTTTTTTTAATGTTTAAAACGTTAATGGTCTACTGCATTACACTATTCTTGGGTTCCGACAGAAGATCAACAGCACACAAACAGCGTTATGTAAATATGTGCTAAACGACGCATCCCACACACAGCTTGTCATTTGAGGGGATCGTTTGTCGTTGTTTAAACCTGGTCACTGTATAACAACACCAGGCGACATTAACCACCAGCTAGACCATCACGCCAGCCGCCCAAAAATCATGTTTGCTTCAAAGATGGTGTAATAATAAACACCAGATGAGCTGATGATGTGATCATTTTAAGATATTTGCTTGGAACTTTCATGTTACAGCAGAAGAAGGCTTTATTCAATCAAATCAATTGATTCAGCTTATTTAGTTTCCAATAAAATTTTGACGGGGTGAACTTCTTGACTTCAAAATCTTTAATAATGTTTGAATGGAAAGGAAGATTCGTGAACACACCGATATTAACGCAAGTCCTAAATGTAACTCGTTTCAACAGATTTTTCCAAACACTTTTACACCATCATTCCGTATTGGAAATTTTTTTTACAAAAAATTAACTAGATTATTCAAAAAAGTGAAGTGCCTTCAATTTTAAAGTAATCATGACTAAAAAATATATCAAAGGCTCCATCGTTCGCGAAAACAAGAAAAAAAAATTTATTCGAATAAGTTATTCTCTCCAGAATAATGAAAATTTATTTCGAAAGGAATTTTTTGTTTAATTTTTCAAAATGTACATTTGCTTGTTTACAATCTTCAGGTTCGTTCAGTTACCTAATACATTCTCATTTGTTTGGATACAAAATTTATTGCATTGGTGCGACATACTTTTCTTCCAACTAAATTCCTTTTTAAAAATTTAAAAACAAATTCATGAAGAATGTTTAAAACTTAAGCAGGTAGCTTTCAAAATAAAAATCAAATATTTTAATAAAATTCCACAACAGTATGACTTTTAAATAATTTTCTCAACAATAAAAATGTAAAATAAATACGAGGTTGTTATATACCAGCTTGTAAATTAAATTAAAGTTAAAAACACTTTTGCGTCTGCCACTGGGTTCGTTAAGAAAGTCTTCACGTGGTCCTCCACATACAATGGGGCCAGTCGATAAACAGCCAAGAACAAAATTATTCGACAGACACTTTTAGCATGTTAAATTTTTTTGTAAAAAAAACCTTTTTTTAGACGTTCAACTGCACAAAAATGGTTTTTAATGCTCTTAGTTTGATAAATACTTTTTTGAAAAATTTGTTTTCTACACAAATTTTTTGTCACAGAAGAAAGATTTGTTTGGCTAAAGTCTTCGTTAGCTAGTTTAGTGCCTGGATGTTTGTTTGATCGATTGATTGTTCAGTTTAAAGTTATAGCATCATCCTATTTTGTTATTTTATTTTGTTGGGTGTCAAGTTCAACTTAATGATGATAGATGACGATGAACATTATTGAAACTAATTAAAATTGCTATCAAAAGAATAAATTTGTTTTTTTTAAGTGTTCGAATGTATCCGTTTAGAAAATTGTTATCAAGAAGTTTGTCTAAAATTACACTGCATGACATTTCACTCCCCAAACCATCATGTCTGAAGTTTATGCAGATTTCGATTTTTAAAAATTTATTCATTTTTGTTGTTTTTTTTTATTAGCTCGTTGTTTGTTTTTTCATTTTTTTTCTTTCTTTCATTAATCAGTTAGGGAATGTCAAGTTTTAGTGAATTGTTAAACAGAATTTTACAAAATTTTTATGTTTCCATGGATTTTTATGACCATGATTACAAGAAATTTATCCTGTAGTATAAAAATTAAATCTGGACAGAGTGTTAGCACAAAAACCTTCAGGACAATTTATTTTTTCAGAATATGAAACCAAATCGTTACGTCTTTTGTAATCGCTGCTGAACAGGATATAAAATTAATTGTTAATTTGTGTCATTTGTGCAGCATGGAATTCTAGATAATATAAAAATTTATTAAAATTCAATTTGTGTGTGTGTGTGTATGTATGCACGTATGTATGCGTGTACATTATATCATATATGGCTGGTTTGGTTAATTAAAAATGCATGTAATCAGCAGGCAAGCAGGATGAAATTGTAGGGATGGTGATTGACGTGAACACTCGACATCTGACAGGCGGCTATTTGCTTCAAATAAAATTTTTTCTTCATCAACCTTTCCAAATATTTTTGAACGTTTATTATTATTGTTGTTGTTGTTGTTGTAGTAGTAGTAGTAGTAGTTGTTGTTGTTGTTAATGTCAGGAATACAACAGTTTAACCCGAAACTGAAAAAGACAATAAACGAAGATTGGATTGATTATTATTATATTATTATTATTATTTTATTTTTAATTTAAAAAAGAATGATTTATTACATTTATGTTCTTTACAATGTAGCACTGACAAAATCAGAAATGTTTACTAAATCATTTTGTATATAGTTGAGACATGTAAATGAAAGAGGTGACGCACATCAACAGAATTATATACATACACTAATATCAACTATGACATCAAGGCAGACATCCATACAGACATCCACACAGACATCCACACAGACATCCACACACATCCACACAGATATCAACACATACATTACACAGATATCAACACAGACATCAACACAGACATCAACACAAACATCAACACAGACATCCACACAGACATCAACACAGACATCCACACAGACATCAACACAAACATCCATTCAGAGATCAACATGGACATCAACACAAACATCCATACAGAGATCAACACAGACATCAACACAGATATCAACACAAACATCAGCATAGACGTAAACGCAAACATCAACATAGACATCCACACAGACACAAACACAGACACCAACAGCACACCACAATATTTGCGGATACGCAAACAGACGAATGATATTACAACGCCATCACTCATAATGTAAACAATTTTAATCTGTTTTTCTAACCATAATAACGTGTGTCGAATTAACACCGAGCATTTCTTTGGAGACCCACACAACACAACAACTACTTTCTTGGTTTGCTGGTTTTGCACTCCATGTCGTTTCTCATGATTCTGCTTTTTTCTGTTAAAACAACTTATGTTGATTCAGTTATGTTTTTATTTTGATACAATTGTTGCTGAAACATTTGTTGTTGATACACGTGGTGAAGTTTTAGATCTATCACCGTTGTTTAGGATAATTTTGTTTGTATGCATTAATTTTTCAAGTTAGAACTATATAATTTAAGTGTATATAAGCTTATACAAAGATTTGTATTTCAAACGTATGTTCGATTGTTGAATGTATAACATGATGAAATTGGAAAGAGTTAGAGGAAGGAGATATGAGACGGCGCTGCATTGTGTTTCGACCGGCACGTGCTTTCAATAAAGAACGAAATCACATTGTGGTCAACAGTTAAGTAGCATTGTTGCGTTGCGAGACCATTGAGCAGGTTGTCATTGAAAGCGATTTGCTCTTTGTATGAAAGATTTATTAGTTTTGAGTATTGAAATAACGTTTTAGTATAATTTGTTGGATCTTCCACAGCGTTGATTCAATAAAAAACACGTACATTTACGAAAGCATATTTACGTTACATTAGGATCAGGCATAATCAGAAACTGCTTCCAGAAAAGCCATGAATAAATGTTTGATAATTTCCATTGTGGTACTTTTCTGGTAACGTTTTATATCATTATCGTAATATAATTCCTCCAGCAAATTGGTGAATAGAATCATGGAGCTCTGGCGCCAGTTAAATCAGTCATGTATTAAAAATGTCATCCACGATTGACCACAACCAGTCACAACCAGCCTCCAACTACTTTTTTATCAACCACAACCAGGATCAAACACACACAATCACAGACACGTTCACGCACGCACGCACGCACACACACACATACACACACGCGTACATACATAACAATATCTAATATTTATCTTTTGTCAATTACAAAATTTTATGAAACTTTGCGTTTATCTATTTTACATGAAAATGTTATAAAAATATTAAAATAATTTTTTTTGCAATATGGCGTCCGAACTGAAAGCTATTAAATAATGAACAATGGGAAATAAAAAGGACGTTCCAGGTGTCGTGGCTTGGGATCTTTCCATGTCGAAAATATTTTGTAACAAGCAAGTTTTCAAAACGAAACTTAATTTGTTTTCGGTAAGATGTTTGGATAATTCGCTACCTGTATCTATGAATTTATATTATAAATACCTTGAAATATACGATCAAATCATACAAAATACAAACTTTACTAAAATATTTATGCAACCTCCTTAATTTTGAAAAATAAATTATTATAAATTTTTATTAACATTTTTTTAAATTAAAAAATTTTCTTGCTACGGTTTTAAAATGTGAAAACATTAGCAGGCATTCAGTTGAATAGCTCTTGAAATGTTTTTTTTGTTCCAGCTTATTTATTTAATGTTATGATACGATAACTAATGTATTGATGATGTGATTTTTATAGTTATGAAATTTTTCAGTAAAATTATTTGATACGTTTCAGACAGATATCAATCTATCGATGAAATAATAAGCCTTACATCAAAACTAACAACAGACTAAACATCCATAATCTTAAATCAGAAATAAACTTAAAGTCAACAAAAATATCTTTGACACCAATAGAAAAAAAACCATCCACACCCCCACCAAACAGTAACATCAATCCCAGCAACAATAACGTTGCATACACGCCAACACAACAACTGCACCGGTATTTTAGGATCAATACATACCACACACAGCTTTACGTATTTTTACAGCCTTTTTAATATCTTTAGCATTTGGGTATTTTTAAATTTTTACGGCGTTTTGTAAGTTCCTTGTTTTATGGCGTCTCTGGAGTTTTGGGTTTTTTTTATCTCCTATTATATTTTTGATGTTTTCAGATTCTCGCTTCGAAGGATAATCTCCATTAAATGCCTTCTTTTGTATACAGACGCCACCGCGCTTGATAATTTATTTTATTTCTCATCAGAAACGAGCCGTGCCAACATCAGAAATGTTGCTAGGAACTAGCAATCATGAGTCATTGTTACGATACAGAATTTTCAAAAAATGATTCTTTGATTGTCTTTTAAATGGTTATAGAAGAAAAACTGAAAACAAATTATTAACTTTGACATGTCCGTTAACATGTAAAATGAACTAGTTGTGAACTGTTTAGTTAAAAGACGCACAAAAATTGAATTTAAATTAAATTGAATTTCCTTTACGGTAGGTACATTACTTTTCAGAACACTTTCCTCCGTGTTTCGCAATTTTTAATAGAGATTTTTGGACGATTTTGTTTGTTTGTGTTTATTTATTGATAATAAATATTTTATTGGATAGGCGCAAGAAGCTTACTTCTAAGCTCTTACAGAAAATTGGTAAAGTAAATTGCTGCCAATCGTAGAAATTATTTCATTGGAGCAACTGAATGATTAATTGGTAGATAGAAATACTGATGTTATGCTACGACCATGATGATGAAAATAATAGTCTGGATGGAACGAATGTAAGAACATGGTGGTAGGGATTATATGGTGAGAGGATTGCAACGATGAAAAAGATGAGGACATTAAACAGAGAGCAGAAAATTATGATCAGTCTGACGAGATGAAGAAAATGATGACGACAATAAAGGTGTATAATCGTGACGTCGTGTTTGGGCCTCTATGAAGTATCGATCTGAAATTTGATGCCTCACTAACCGATCATTTTGTATCATATTATGAATGGTTATAAAATGTTGTTTTTATAGTTTAAAATGTTTATATTGATACTATACTATGTGCGTGGCGTTCATTATTCCTTCAACCTCCATATTGTGATAACCTAACAAATGTTCAAGAGATGTTTACTTTAAAGGTTTGATCTTTGGTTATGTTTCAGCGAACAAATTTAAAAAGTTTTTACCAGTTTTTAACATCTGAGTTCAGTTTTCATTGTTTATTCAAGCAGAAATTTTATTACAAAAATTGTTCAGTGAGACGCATGAAACTTTTAATGATGCGCGAGAAAAAGAACTCTGCCATTACAATAAACAGACAGATCCACAACCACAAACAACCGCACAACCACAAATAAACACACAAACTCAATCCAATCAAATATTCAAACATTAGCAATGAAATAACTGGTAATAAATAAAAATGTTAGAACAAACAAACAAACAAATGAAACCGATAAAAAAGATTCCTGAAACCACCGAATGCGTCAGAGTTAAACTCATAAAGCACTAAAAAACGCAGTAATAAAGAAGCTTGCATCGGCAAACAAATGCCACAAAAATGTTTGCAATAATAAACTACAAATATAAACGTATAAGAACAAACAAACTAACTAACAAACATGCGTTAGTAAACATGCATGCATTAGTAAACTTACATGCCACAAAGGGCATTAGGTCAAAATTTAAAAAAATAAAACAAGAAGCAAATCAGTACACCAGAAACTGCAATAAAATAATATGCTGTATATAAATACCACAGCAAACAAACAACGAAACAAACAAACAACGAAACAAACAAACAACGAAACAAACAAACAAAAATCGAAACAAACAAGCAAACAAACAAGCACACAAACAGACGACACGTTGAGATTACTGAACCACGGCGTTCCACAGAGTCGCACATTCCACAAAGGTTCTGCTTTTTCAAAAATATTTTTATTTTCCAAAATATTTCTTTTTTTCAATTACAATGCAACATTCAAGTGTGAAATGTGTGAAAAAACAAAATAAAACAATATAAATTAAAACCAAATAATTAAAATAATGAAAGTATTAGAAATAAAAAGTACATCTATCTATAAAACTGCAGCGTTAAGGTAATATAATAGTCACATAATTAACACCAATGTTAGTGTTCGATTTTATGATGAGATGGCCACTCTGAATGAGGTTTATACGGGTTAAACTTTCGTTGCAAAGCAGTGTTATCATATTTTTATTTCAGAATTTTTTTTGGTGTGTGGCATATTTTAGATTGGAATATGTTTGTTTATTTTCACATGTTTACGTTTTTATATGTTTTTAGTAATGCAAACATTTTTTAAATGGCATTTTTGTTAGTAAGATATACTGACACATCTGGTTTTCATCATAACTGCAGTTTCAAAAATATTAACCCCTCCACAACTAACAATTGTAAATTAATGTTGGAAGTAATAAATGAATGGTTGTATAAAATAAGCATATTTGATGGGATTTAAATTTTTCAATAACTTTTCTAAGGAAACTTAAAACTTCACCATTTACTCTCCTTTTCAGCATTCCTTTGTGATTTTATGTAGATTGAATCACCCTCCATATGCATATGTGTGTTTAAGGTCTGATTCTTGCATTTGCGTAGGTTTAAATTATTTAAAGGTTTATAAGAAATGCGACGGTTCTGAATCTGGTTCCATTTTCGTTTTGAAACAGCATTTTTGGTTTTAGGATCGTATGCAAATTAGATCCGAATTCGAATTCGTCCGGATCCATCATCAAGATTCGGATTCGGATCCAGATACCGTGGATCTCAAATTTATGGATTCGTCCCATTTCTAGTGTTTATTATGTATACAGAATGCCATCAATGGGTTAATGTTTTGTACATCGTTATTTGAAAGGCACCAAATATTCAAGTTCTGCTGAAGCTTGTTTGTTTGTTATGAAGTGATGAAACTTTGAAGTTACATATAAGTGTGAGTAAGCATTTATTTCTTCAAGTGGTTGTTAGTCAATCCAAGACATCCTCTTATTGTTATTTAAAAAATGATTTATCAAAGTTTGACATAGTAATGTAAGTCATTTATTTAGCAAACGAACAAGAATGATGCTGCTAAGCGGCCAACTAGAAGCAGATGCTGAAGAGGAACGTTTTAAATATTCTGTGAAAAGTTTGAAAGTGATGAAATTTTAACTTTTTTTCTAAACACAACTTTTCGCAAATGCCTCTGAAGCAATCTTTACTTTCCAGGAAATAGATGCTGTTTTTCATCCACTCGACATTATGAATGGTGGAAGAAGGGAAGAAAAAAGAGAGGAGGAATGATGAAATGGGGAGCGAACAGTTGTTGAGAAAGTTATGCTAATGTTCGAATGTCTCCATCAATATAACCGCAAGTGGATGTGAACAAATAAACTTAATGAAAAACTAACGTTTATTGCTTCATGTGGAAAAATAGATGTCAAAATGTGGATCAATTTAACGAAGCTTATTTGCAATATTTAATTAACATTTTGACAAACAAACTCACCAAATAAATAGGAAGATGCAAACACGCTTACAAACAAACAAACGAACGAACAAGCATGTGGACAAATAGACCATCCAATAAATATTTAATTAAGCAAACAGCTACCAATACCGAAGACATACAAACATGACAGCACAAGCGCAGAATCACGCAAATACGATATAACAATAAATAACATACACAATTGTACGTACAAGTGATTGAGTAAACCTGAAGTAATATAATATAAGACTCTGTGTGGCTGTGCTGCTGGGCTGGTGATGACCGTGGACACTCACCCAACTCAATAAACTAATAAACAAATGAACGAACGATCGAAAAAAGAATATATGAATGAATGAAAGAGTGGAAGAGTGAATGAATGAATGAAAAAACAAATGAGTATACATATGGTGAATGAATGGATGAACAAGCAACGAGATTAATGAACTAATGAAAGAATGAGTAATGATCAAAAAAATCACCAAATATATGATACTAAAAAAAATAACCAAATAAAATTATTAAAAAAACAAAAAAACCCAAACAAAGCAAAAAACAAATGAACAAACAAATGAATAAATGAACAAAAGTGTAAACGGAAAGACAAACAAATGAATGAATAAACAAAAAAAACAAGCAAGTAAACGAATGAACATAAGAACAAATGAATGAGCCAAAAACGAACGAGCAGAGAAAATGTTGAACACGTACAGTGTTCATCGGCAGAAATGCTCTTTAATGAACAAACACAATCAAACTGCACTCCAGACATGACAGCATAATGACACGATAACAATAGCATTAATATTATGGCTATTGTTATTACTTCTGATGTTATTATTGTCATCGATAATGATGAAAATATCAAAGAACTTGTTGGGACATTGACGGGCCATAATATTTTTATTTACCTTCATCGTCGTCACAAACAAAACAAAACATGACTGACGTGTGTGTCTGTGCAAACTGCCAACTGTGAACATTTCATGTCTTTACCTTTGCACTTCTAATTAAACGTAATATTGAATGATATGTTGTTCTTAACGCAGATTACATAAAGTGTTAAAAACAAAGATATTAAAATTTTCAATTTTTAAATCTTGGAAGAAATTAAACTTTAAAAAGTCAAGGAAAATTTTTCAGACCTGACTTAAGAACAAAATAAAAACACTGAGCGTTTTCCACAGAACCAAAATGTTGCATGAACACAAAATTATTCAATAAATATTTGACGACCAATCCTACATATCAACCGTTCATAAAGAAATTTTATTAAAGTTGTCTAAATCGTCAAAGCATTAAACGCCAACTCGTTCGCTCTACAGATATAATATCACACTGTATGTCAGAGATGATATTCTATCATTCGTACACCACTTTTTAATTTAATCAAGTTCACGTGAATTATCATGCGGTTGATATCACAATGTGAATTATATCATAATGTGAATGATCATCTTGTGAAATTTTGTCATCATGTGAATTTTATCATTCTGTTTTTTCCCATTAGATAGCTTGTGGGAGTGTGTTAAGTGCATATGAATGTTCACTTTCCAATACGTCATCCTTTTCATCCATCCTTATGAAATTTGCTCAATGCCAAACATACGTCATGTTTTTATCTGCAGTAAATAAAGCTGTCTCGTGTTTGTCTGCCTGTCTGTCTTTCCGTCTGACTGTCAATGTGTTTGGCTGCTCGTCAGTCTGGCTGTCCGATTATCTGGCCGTCCGTCTATCACTCTTTTTGACTGCTGTTCTATGTAACTACCACTATGTGTGGATTAAAATTAGACTAGTCGCGATTGTGTCCACTCTACCGTAAATTGTTGCTCTACATTTCAGAGAACTCTCTCTCATTTCTAATCAAACGCTGACACATTTACACAGCAACACAGAGCGACACGCGACGACACGCAACGACAGGCGACGCAGGATGACAAGACTCAGGATGACACACAGAACGGGACAAACAACACGATGCTCATCGTCGAATGTGTTGATGAATATTCATTCAGCAATAAATCAACGGACGCATACTTTGCATATAAAGCCAGGCTGTAAAATTGGCATAACGGCAACAACGTCAACAGTAACAACGAATTTATTTTGGTTATAACCAATAAGCAACAGTTGGACTAAAAGATGTCTAGTTTAGTCATTTTACTTGATTAAAATAAACAGATACCAAATAAAAAAATGATTGGACTATTTTTATTGTTAAAAAAACATAAACAAACTAGGCAGCAGAAATAATAATAACTCCACGCCATTACACAAAAACTTTTCTAACGAACCGTACTTTTTTCATTACACACCATCATGTGATAGATACTGTGTTTCAAAATACTGAAGATGCGATACTATACTGATGGTATGATACAATATCGGTGATGTGATACAATACCGATATTCCGATACAATACCGATGCGATTGTGATACAATACCGGTACTGTTCGATTCACTTCTATTTTTATGTTTGATGTTATGTTATGTTATGTAACTAATGGACCGAAACTTTAAATAAAAATATTTATAGATAAATTATACATAAAAACGCATCAACGACTTTATTATTATTTTCTTCATCGTCGTTATCGTCATCACCATCGTCATCCTCATCATCATCATTATCAGGATCATCACTATCATCAGCACCAAGTAGCGACTGCAGTAACAATGAAATGAAATTCCTCTCAAAATAAGATTGCAACAACAACAACTTGAACGGATTTGTTCTCCAAAAAAATGTTCACGAAATTGATGCTATTTCATATCTTTGTTTCACTGACCTTTCTATCCAAGTTTCTATTTTATCGTTGTTGATGCTGATGTTGTTGTTGATGTTGTTGTTGTTGATGTTTTTGATGTTGATGTTGTTGTTGATGTTGTTGTTGTTGATGTTTTTGATGTTGATGTTGTTGTTGATGTTGTTGTTGTTGATGTTGTTGTTGTTGATGTTGTTGTTGATGGTGTTGATGGTGTTGTTGTTGATGACGTTGCTGCTGCTGCTGAGGTTTTCGTTAATAATGTTGTACGTTTGCTGTTGTTGACGTTGGTGGAGCTTTATATCTACTCTTGATAAAAAATACTGAACCATTATTCATGCCCGAACCCTATTCCGAATTTTTGCAGCATCGCCATAACTGAACATGTTAGAACATTCGCCAAACGTCACAGGTTCTTAAATAAGTTTTATCTATTTTCATTCTGACCATTTTAATGTTGAAACTTGCGCCTAAAAATATCACCAGACAAATACCGGTTAACATTCAATATCATCGATATACCAGACTACAACAAAACACGTTGAACTGTGTCTCAAGATTTCTCATTGAAATCGAACCTTCACAGTTTTGGCTGTTTGTCTACTTTGGCTATTAAATATTTTTTTCTAATTTCTATTAAGTTTTTCCCTAAACCTCAATTACAACGCAGACACAAGCACACATACACACCACACACACACTCACACACACACATATTCACAAACACACACACTCACACACATAATCCATACCCAACTGCACACATTGCAATGTGATAGACGGGGATTTTCTTTGCATTTCAAACCAGTCATTCATTTTAATCGTTTCGACGAGCTGATAAAATTTTGTATGCAAATTTTTTTTTTGTGTGTGATCGATACAGACTCACACAGATGTGCCAAGTCAGTTCAATCAATGATTCAGCAGGGTACTACCCTAATGTTAGAAACATCATTCCATGTCTTTAAAGAACATTCTCAGTTGCCTTACAAATTATGAAATCAATTTTGTTCAAAATTTTTTGTTCTTTTATACATTTTTTAATTGATACAGCAATTATCATAATTTGTTAATAATTTTAATGTTGAAAATGTTAACCTTAAGAAAATATAAACATTTTGGTCAGAATTTTTTAAAATTTTATCATTCTTTAAAAAGATAGATAGAAATCATTTTAATAATTGTTATCATTATTTAGATTTATTTATTCATATTTTTATGTATTTATTTATCTCGTTACATCAAAAAAACCAGTTGACTGGCAGCAATTCTTTTTAACGTTAATCCAACACCTCAGATTAAATCTCCATTCCCAAAAATGGTAAATGCTAAATGGTACTTGCACGTCAATAATGGAAACAAACACGAGTTCAGAGTTCAAAGTTTAAAGATGAAGGTCAGACTGGACATGAGATCGTGGCAATCGTGATGTAGTGTGGCCAGCATTGGAGAGTATTAGCAATGCTGTCACTGTGTAATATTTTTATCTGCTAAGGTGGTTGTGAAATATTCATTCTGTGAAAGAACATTGTCACTTTGGGTTATCTAGGAGTTATAATATAAAAACATTGTTGTGTGTAATAATGTTCCTCTTGTTGAAACATCTCTGACTAAAAAATTGTGTTTTACTCTCTTTTTAGTAACATTTCCACTGCTAGGAACTTATTAATTTCATTACATTTTTTAAAACCTGTTTCTTAGACATACACATAGCAAAATAAATTCTTCGGATGAAGCATGACGGGTGTGTGCTGCGTTAAACATTTTATCCTCATATGCCTCTTTCGGAAATTAATTTTTTTTTAAATTTTATTTAATCATTCTTATCAACATCACCATCATAATTCTCATTAACATCGTTATCATTCTTATCAACATTATCATCATCATCATCGTCGTCATCATCATCATACTCATTCTTATTAAATAGAAATAAAAATGATAATTGACCTATTTTTGTCAACATACTTTTAATAAATTCATTGATCCTTTTTTTTCATAAAAATTTTTCGAAGCAACCAAAGCAACCAAACAAAAAAATATGCAAACAAAAACCATTTAAACGCTTATATAAATTTACAAGTGGAATCAACTCAAAGTTTAAATAAATATATCAACAAGTATAAATAAATAAATAATTAAATGAGTAAATAAATAATATATATATATATTATATGGAAATCGAAAAAAAAATGGTTTTCTTGTAATGATTACCAGTGACATTGTAAAAATGAGAGTATATTTTAAATATTTTAGTGTTATATAATGTATATATATATATATAAATATATATATATATATATATATATATATATATATATATATATATATATAATTTTAAATCAAATGATCGAATACAAATTTAGTTGCACTAAAAGAACATAAAATTAAAGAAATGTAAGCAGAACTATGTTAGACTCAATTGGATTTCATAAAAATGAATGAATGAATGAATGAATGAATGAATGAGTGAATGAATGAATGAATGAATGAATGAATGAATGAATGAATGAATGAATGAATGAATGAATGAATGAATGAATGAATGAGTGAATGAATGAATGAATGAATGAATGAATGAATGAATGAATGAATGAATGAATGAATGAATGAATGAATGAATGAATGAATGAATGAATGAATGAATGAATGAATGAATGAATGAATGAATGAATGAATGAATGAATGAATGAATGAATGAATGAATGAATGAATGAATGAATGAATGAATGAATGAATGAATGAATGAATGAATGAATGAATGAATGAATGAATGAATGAATGAATGAATGAATGAATGAATGAATGAATGAATGAATGAATGAATGAATGAATGAATGAATGAATGAATGAATGAATGAATGAATGAATGAATGAATGAATGAATGAATGAATGAATGAACTGAGATATTTGTTTTTGATTCTAAAAAATCATATTTATTTTAAGTTTAAAAAAAAATAAATTCGGTATTCTCAAAAAAATAGAGTGTTGCATAAGTTTCTCACGAAACATTTGTGATGGTTTCTTTAAATAACCATAACAATTAATACATTTCTAAATAAGCAAGTATTGGATCAAAATAAAAAAACTAACGAAAGTACCACTGAGAAAGTAAATGAAGCAACCAAATAAAACCCAATCGTACAAATGAATGTAGGGAAGAAAAATATAGGAGTCCATGAATGAATGCTTCAATGAACATCGTTAAGTCCAGCCAAAGAAACAAGAACGTAAACAAATAAAAAAGAACCACAATGGCCACAACAGCAACAACAAAAATAACTACAACAACAAAATTAGTGACTTGAACAGAATCATCACACACGCCATCAACAGTTAGAAATAACAACTAAAATTTCACTTCAACAAAAATTAACAACAAATTTGAAAAGCATACACAAAAGTATTATAAACGCGAATTACAACATGAACCATCAAACAAAATGACAAACAGCGCATTGTTAACAATGAAATAAAAACGTTTCAAACATCATCTCTTACAATTTGCCACACAGCATCAACAGCAAAATTTTAACTTCAGAACCATCTTAGCTTAAAACAAACCCAACTGCAACTAACCTATGCAACATACAAACTCAACTGCAAACCATCTACGCAACAAAAAATGTAGCAACGTAGCTAAAAGCATCAAAAAAATGTTGGCTTGGTTGGGGAGAATGATTAGAATATTCATTATTCGGCACTGGTGAACATTAAACGCGGAATCTGTCTGAGAGAGAGATAGAGAAAAAAAGAGAGATAGAGAAAAAGAGAGAGATAGAGAAAAAGAGAGAGATAGAGAAAAAGAGAGAGACAGAGAAAAAGAGAGAGACAGAGAAAAAGAGAGAGATAGAGAAAAAGAGAGAGATAGAGAAAAAGAGAGAGATAGAGAAAAAGAGAGAGACAGAGAAAAAGAGAGAGACAGAGAAAAAGAGAGAGATAGAGAAAAAGAGAAAGATAGAGAAAAAGAGAGAGATAGAGAAAAAGAGAGAGATAGAGAAAAAGAGAGAGACAGAGAAAAAGAGAGAGACAGAGAAAAAGAGAGAGATAGAGAAAGAGAGAGATAGAGAAAGAGAGAGAGATAGAGAAAAAGAGAGAGATAGAGAAAAAGAGAGAGATAGAGAGAGCAGATCACAGAGAAAACAACAAAATTGGTGCAGATGAACAACAACAGTAACAACAACAACAACAACAAACAACAACAGCAATAGCATCTTGGCCGCCACTGAGGAGGTAACAAAGGACAAAATAGCAAACACTCCACGTTCACATTATTCATTTGAGTTCAAATCTTTCAATTTCATAAAACGTCATCATCATTCTTGTCATCATCGTCATCATCATGCATTTTGAAATCTGTCAATTTTTTCTGTGTTAATTGATATAATCATCGGTATTATCATCATTGTAACAAATTCATCATCATCACAATCGTCATCGTCATAATCATTACCATCATTCTTTTCATCATCGTCGTCGATGCTAACCAAGCCAACCAACCTAGCTAACCAGATGCAACATCTCATCACCTGCTTCCCTTTTTTTCTTCTATTTTTCTATTTTCATTTTGCAAAAAAATAAACAAAACTAAAAAACTAACGTTCAATAATTTTCTCATTTAAAAATAAAAACAAATAAAAAACGAGTTTTGTGAAAATTAATATCCACGCCCAGCCAACCAACCAACCAGCAATTCCTATTAGCGAACACGCTAACTATCGACTAATCTTGACCCTACGGCCAACCTTGTTTACTAGACTTATACATCTGCTATTATTGTCTATTTATGTCGAGAAACTTATTCTTTTGTCATTGGTCAATTTATCTGGCTATCATATTACTGAAGCTTCTCAATTAACATAATTAAGACCTATAAGTAAGGTCAATATTAATTAGCATTAGTTTTACCAACTGCTACTATAATTCTGAAACTCTCAAACCATTATCAACATCATCATGACAGTCCTTGCACTTTTATTATCATTTACATCATTGTTATTTTAGTAATTAAACTTCTCGTCGTTGTCATCATCACAGTTGTGGTCATTTTTTCCATCTGTTTTTTTACTTAACTTTCTTTCCTCTAAGGTCCTTAGACAACTTTGCATATCTTTTGTCCAGTTGTGCACAGTTTGTTTCGTGTGCTCATCGTCATCGTCAACATCATCTACCTCTACTTATCATCGTCATAATTCCCATCGTCTTCATCGTCATCATCACCATCATCTATCTGGTCATAATAATTTTCATTGTTGTCATTATCTATCGCATATTTTTTATCATCATTTCAATCATTCATCCTCACATCATCGCATTCACAATCTTTGTGTG